AAAATGAAACCAGCCACAAAGGGTACATCCTGCTTGAACCCATTTGGGGGCAAAAACTGATAGAACGAATCTCACTGTTAGAGGCCAGGGCAGCTAGTGGTGGGTATGAGAGGTGGCGAGTGGAAGAGGCAGGTGGGGGTGCAGGAAGCAGGCTGTGTTTTCATCTGGGTGGTCCTATATGTTAAGGTCATGAAAATTAAACAGACTGTGTACTTTTTTTCAAGGGGAGCATGAGTGGCGTGGGCTGCAGCCATTGCTCACAACCTACCTTGCCGGCCCTGGGTTTTCTCTCTGCTCTGGAGGTCAGACCAGAACTCATTTCTACTATACGAAGCAGTAGACCTGGCATGGTGGATCCCGTATTTTAGGTGACATGAATCACTAACTGGATTTGAACCTGTGGATTTAAAGTCAGGTGGTGATGAAAGGTCCCGCGGTGGGGACAGGAGCACAGCTGGCAGCGACGCGGTGCATCTCCATCCTGAAGCCCCCCAACTTGAGATTCCAGATACTGTTTCAGACCCACGACATGCCCAGGGTCGCTGACTTGATGGGTCAAGAAGAAACATGACATTTTCTCACTCTTGTCACATCTAAGTGTTACCTTTCCTGTAAACCACAATGAAACGCCCATTTGTGGGAATGTAGTGAAGTTTTAGGTGAGTTTCCAGCTATTTTTAAAACGATGGATAGCCAGACCGGCAGACAGGCATTATTAGTTCTCATAAACAAAAGGGGTCTTGGGGGCCTCCCTGGTGGTGCAAGGGGTTAAGACGCAATCTATGAAGCTAAGTGCAGCCACTGCAGCACAGGTTCCATCCCCGGCCAGGGAGCTGACCTGCATGGCACAGCAGACCTCTCCTGACTTGCCACTGCTCCCCTAAGCAGTGTATTTCAGTCGATCTGCCTGTTCTGTTCCCCACTCTGTCTCTGGTGAATCCTCTCACCCCCCCTCACCTCTGGCCTGTACCCCAGTTCTTGTATGCATAAATAAATAAATCTTTAAAAAAAGAAAGAAAAGGGGTCTTACTGCCCTTCCCCTTTCCAGAAAAGGTCTTGCTGAGAAAATCGAGGGTTTTTCGTAGGTCCTTTTGGTCTTTGTCTGCAACTGACTTAGCAACCCTCCTTTACAGAAGGCATTTTGGAAGCCTGTGACTCATGGCTTGTAATAAAGTGACATTCTTGGCAGAGAGAATGTGGGTCCCCTTGCTGCAGCCCTCACTTGACAGCAGAAATCCCAGAGAACCCTGGTGATTTATTTAGAGGTTTCCTGGTCTTTTTAAAAAAGAATTTTACTTAAAGTGATTGCCCTTTAACTTCCTAATGTAAGAGAAAGGTGCCCCACCCCGAGACTTCACTTTCGTGTGATTGACTGGTCTAGCGCGCTCGTCAGGCCACGGGCTTATGAATACCAGCAAATTAAACCACACTCATTACAGAGAAGCTGAACAGGAGGGAAAATGGCCATCCCCTCCTGGTGTTCTTTTTAGCAATTCTTATCAAGATGAAATTGCTTCTCCTCCCTTAGATGTAAAATGCAGAGGTTACTGCATTATACATAAGGATGGAGAACTGAACATTCTTTCATCAAAAACCATGAATCGATAAATCTTATGATCTCACTACTTGTACTATCATTGAGCTAAGTTGTCTTAAACTGGGCGCTGTTCCTGGGGTTTTCTGAAGCACGTGCACTGGTTCTTTGAGTAAAATTGAGGGCTGACCTCTATTTCCAGGAACACAGAGACAGGGCTCATAAATACTCATATTCTGCCCCACGTTCATCCGAGCAGGGCCTTTTCCTCGGGCCTGGAAGTGTTCATTGCCTGATTTAAGTCACGGAGAAAAGGTCTCAGCTGTGCACTCCACTGTCTTTGCAGTGATGGGGAGAAGTACCAGGTCACATGACACAGGTGCACCGTATAGAGAAGGTCGAGAAAATGAGGGAGAAGGTGAGGCATTGGAAGACAGAGCCGAGGCGACCTGGGTGCAACGGCAGGGAGCCTGTCCCAGCGAGGCCTGACCCGCAGCCTCACACCTGCCATTGGCATGTGTTCTTGTCTCTGAAGTATCAGAGATTAATTTACAGAGATTTTCTTTACAAAAATGAACTTCTAAGATTAAGACCAGCGTCATGTTCAGAACCGGAAATGAAGCACCAGAGTTGTTCTTCAGCCAGCGTGGAGGCTTTGACATTCTCAGAAACACAGCATTGGAAGGCTTCAAAAGGCCCTGTGGTTGCTGTGGTTGTCGTGTTGTTACACCCAAGGACTTCTGTGGAGAAAGCCAGGCCACTCCGACAGCCATGGGGCTTAAGGGGCCCCTGTGGGAACTCTGTCGTCAGGTCTGTGGCAACAGCAGGATCCGTAAGGTCGGGGACACAGGCTGGGTCTTCTTTTTCTGTTTTAACATAGCAGTGAGCTCCCCACCTCGCCACTTGAAAAAGGGCACTGTGGGTTTTGGCAAGATGGTAGGGGCTGGTGAAAGGGGAGTAGCGTGTTTGCTGTGTAAGAAGTGACGGTGGTGGGTGACGGGACGGGAACCAGGGCCTTGTCAGAAGACCTGGGTTAAGTCTTGGCTGCCTCTCTTTGTAGCTCTGTGGCCTGAGGTGTGTCCCGAACACTCTCTGAACCTCTTTAATTGCCAAATTGGAAGTAAAGTTAATTGAAGTAGGGCACCTGCCAAAGACCGGCTAAGCGATTGATTGTTGTTCTTTTGTTTTTGTTGTTTCCTTTGTCTTTTTTTAATCATCCTCTTATTTGAATTTAAGGCAGATAAATGCCCACTTGTGCCAATATCTTAAAGAAAGGTCCAAGTCTGTGCTTGGGGTGTGGGTTCATGGAGGGGGTTCTCCAGGCCGCTGTGTGTTCTCCTTCAGCGCGTGGTTGTGGCTCCTTCTGTTGGCTCTGCTGCCTCCTCAGGGCCCTGTGACTGGCTCCAGGGAGCATCTGCGCTGGCTGCTCTTCCTGAGAGCCTCTCCTAATCCTATCCTGAATTCCCCTTGTCAAACAGTCATTCTCGGCTTTTTCTTTTGTACGTGGTGATTCCCTTTGGAAACTGAGCTCTTTTCGTGTCCCGTGTCCCATGGCCTGGAGTCAACCTGCCACGTCTAACTTGCTTCGGACTCTGCCCACAGCTAGTCCTAGCCTCACCCCGCCCAGCTGGCCTGCGCTCAGAAGTGCAGTGAAGACAGCCTTGTTCGCAAAAACTATAAAAGACAAGCAGGATCTGAATCTCATCGTCTGAAGCAATTTTAAGCCATAAATTCACAAGTTTCTCTGTAACTTCAAAGCATTCACCACTTTGAACAATGAGCATTCCTTTCCTAGCGCATGTGGCAAAAACCACAGCCAGCAACACTTTCAGATCTCCCAAGTATTCATAAAATCTTTATGGTCAAAGTCTTACAAGCCTACAGTGTGTCTGAACATCGTTTTTAATGAAAGTTGATAAATGGACACATTTCACTGTATCAAACAAAAACACTGCGTGAGAGTTCACCCTGCAGGAGTGAGGACAGGGCTTCCTGGCCAGCTCACTTTGGGGTGTCCTAGTCAGGAAGGGCTCCTTGGGGTTCTCCTGGGTCTCAGGAAAGGAGACCCGACACAGGTGAGCACTAGCCATAAAAAGGAAGTCACCTTCTGACTGCCTTTCATTCTCCCTGTCGGACAACTGCAGAGCCAGTGGTGAGCTTGCGTCACGCTGCTTCTCGGACATCTGCCCACCAAAGTCTGTCATGTGGATGCAGCTGTAAAGGTGCCGCCTGGAACAAGCAGGAGTAGCCCTTCCCTTGACTTTCCTCCTGGCTCCACCCCTCGGCCTACCCACCCTTCCCTGTGAGGCCAGTGCTGCCAGAGTGCTCGGACCCCGGTGTCATGCCAGAGTCTCTGTGGGCTAGTGGGCTGTATCGCACACCCAAGGATCCCCGGCAGGTGCGGGTCATTCGTGAAGCCCCTGCCTTGCAGAACAGCTCCTGCGTGTCCAGAGCTGTCCCAGGTGCTGGGGAGAGAGCAGATCCAGAGCTGCTCCCTGCTGTTGTAGTGCTGGGGGTGCCCGGGGGAGGGAGAAGAGAGGACAAATGCAGCCCTTCTGGCAGGATGCGGTGGCTGGTGCGTGCAGAGCACCAAGAGGAGGGACTGCGGGCTGCAGGGTGACAGCAGGGGAGCCCCCTCCATGGGGTGCTCAGAGGCCGGGCTATTTGGGGCCCTGGAAGCTGAGTAAGCCCTTTGGGGATGCAGATGATGGAAGAGGGCCTTCAGCGCGAGCCCACAGGTTAGCAGAGGCGCAGGAATGGAAAGGTCCACAGCCTTAAAATCAGATTTGTGGCTTAAAAACTTACCCTAGCTGCCGGTGATACCCCACGTGGCTGCCTGGTGGAGAACGTGGGTGCTGTCAGTAGACGTAGGTTGCTCATTCCTTGAGGTCAAGTTCTGTCCTTTCCTTCCTTCATTACTGCTCACTATGCCTGGGAGAGTGTGTTTATAGAGCAGCTGAAAGGCTTGTATCATCACAAATTCTATTTTTGGTCTGTTTGCAGCCCCCAGAGACCCCGGCCAGTGATGATTCAAGCAGGACTCCAGTCAGAGGAGGGTCAGGAGGCAGAGGGCTGGGGGGTGGGAGGGAGGCCAAGAAGGTGATGGAGAGAAATCAGCTTACAAGTGAGTCCTGTGCATAAAAACAAAAACAAACAAAAGCAAACTACGCTCTCGTGGAGTTAAATGATGCAAATTATGGAGCAGTGGAAGAAGAAAGAGGGGACATTGTTCAGAAGCTTCGAGGTGCATCCAGTTGGCTCACGGACAGGATGGTTCTAAAAATATTTGCTTGATGTTGACACTCCTGGTTGACAGCTGAAGTCGAATTGCACTTGTTAGATTTCTGTTTCATGCTAAAATAAAGGTGACACTCAAGCCACTGTCCCCCCAGGTTTCTAGGACACAGTACACTGCAAATGCCAGAGTGATGGACAAGCTTTGATTCTCCTTGTGTTCTCACTACAGGAAACACCAGGAGCAGCCCCCCGCCCTATGGGTTCCGGCTCTCCCCGGAGGAAGAGATGAGGAGACAGCGACTGCACAGATTCGACAGCCAGTGAGGAGCCGGGGCCCTGGCGAGCATGGCCTGGTGGTGAGGTGGCTGCCCATGTGGTTGACCCCCAAATTCCCATTTCATTGAAACAAAAGCAGGGCACCCCACCTGCCAGGCCTGTGCTCTGTGGCCCCGGGAAGCTGAATACATGGCAGCTTGTCTTGTTTGCAAAGCAGGCTGCCGACTGCGGGGCACAGCCTTCTGGCCTTGTTTGCTCCCACAGACAGAAACCAGATCCCCCAGACAGGGACCAGCTCCCCCAAACAGGGACCAGCTCCCCCCCCCCCCTTTCTCTCCCTGCTGACCCAGTGGAGCCCCTGCTGGTTTTGGCTCTAAAAACTGTGACCTGCACCAGACTCCTGTCCACCCTCTGCCAGACCAGGCCCACACTTGCCTGCACCTCACCCTCTACTGGTAGGAAGTGAGGCCCAGGGCTGCAGTCTTGGCTTGAGGCCTCGGTGACACTCCAGGAGTGGCTGTGTCTGTCCTGGTCACCTTTGCCTGAGCCCTGCGCCCCATGTCCAGGTGCTGTTGCCAGCACACTTGCTCAGTCCTTTGGTCGCTCTGCCATTCTAGAATGTTTGACCAGCAGAGCTTGAGTAACACCTCAGGTGGGAAGCCTCAGGCGGAAAGCCCCCGGCTCACTCCCATCGGCCCAGCAGCCTGGCTACTCCGCCCCTCCAGTGAGGCGCCGCCCCAAGTCATGGTTGTGTTTAAGCAGCACCAAATGCCACGTGCAGAGCCGAGGGAGGGTGGTCCGTGGGCTGGTCACTGAGAAGTCCCTCGTGAGAGAGCATCTTTTTCCCTATAAAAGTGCCTTTTAATCAGCCACTGTAACTGCCATGCGTCCGCGATGCTGCCCTGGCCCCCAGGGAATCAGAACCCACACCGTGGGTCCAGATCACAGAGGGGGTTTCCTGGTGCTCGGGTTCCACGAAGTCAAATATCACTGATGTTTTACTGTCACTGAGATATTTATTTTTTAAAGAGAGTTGGGCACAGAAAAGGCTCTTTCTATTTTATCTAGCATTTATGTCATTTCTGTCTATAAAAGTAATATATATGTGCCTTGTGTATGCATGAAGCGAACATCGAGAAGGAAATACATCCACGTGTTAACAGGTTTCTTTGCGGGATGAGTACATGGGTTTTTATAATAATTTTGCACTGTTGTAAAAAAGTATGTGTATGTATTTTTTTGCAGTCAGCAAAATGAACTATATAAGAAGAAAAAGTTAAGAAATAAATAATTGGAAATGTAAACCAGAAAACAGACTTAATAAGAAAACTGTCTTGAGAAAGTTGACAATATAAGCAGAAACATAAATAAACACATATACAGCTTAAAATCACCTGCTTCCTTACCACACGGTGCACTCTACATTGACGTTGGGGGGGTGGGGGTGTTGCTTTCTCAGCTTTTCTTTATATACAGTTGACAACTTTGGGGCAGACCATTTACTTCTGTATGACTTGGCCTGGGAGAGTCTTCGTCCCTTGCCAATAAATGAGTCAAGAAAACCCCTGGCATCTGACCTCCCCCTGACAACTCAGCTCCTTGGCTTCATTCCTAACTGATACAAAGCTGCAGCCTTTTATAATCCAAATTGTAGTTGTGAGTCTGGTCGCTTTAAACCCTTTAAATTTAAATGTTCCAGCGAAATGTCACTCCTCTCTCTGCCAAACTCTGCGAACTTGACTCCCATGACCCAGTAAGAGCAACCCCCAGCCCCACATGGTGGTTCCCACAGCTGGCGAAGAGCTCAGTCTGTCAAGGCACCTCCCGTCTCTCTGATCTGTGCTCAGCTCCACCGAGACCCGCCTTCTGCGCAGGAGGTGGATGTCAACATCTTGGGACCAGCCTGGGCCTCGTTTGTCGCCCTTCTCTCGCCCCCACCACCACCCAGAGGCTGGTCCTGGCTTTTGGTAGGAGCTTATTAAATGTTAGTTTACCACCAAAGTGTCTGTTCAGTTGCATTAAGTCTGCTTATGGCAGTTTATTCCGAGTCTATGGAAGTTTTTTTTTTTTTTTTTATTGTTGTTGACTGCAGTAATAGTAGCTCCTGGCCCTGTTTGACTTGTCAGATTGAAAACACCAGAATTGGATTTCGGGGTGGTAGAATATGCACGCCTTCTTTATTTATGGAGTGAAACATCACTAAGCTTTCAGAGATGTGCGAAAGGTCATTTTAGTTATAAATATAAACCAATTATCTTAGCACTACCGTAAAGATGTTCTGGAAATTATTATAATTACTTTGTTCATTTATTAGGCTTGCCTGTAACCCGTGTGTATTATTTTCAGTGTCCCATCTCATCTTTTTTTCCTACAATAAGGATTCTCCCAAAATGATGCCACAAACTGGAATTGGGTTAAAAAAGACAACAGCAAGTGTATTAGACTAATTATCTCTAATGGGGAGTAAACATGTAGAGCTGTTTTTTCAATTTGTTTTCTTTGGGCTTCAGAGTGGTTTCCTGACGTTCTGTTCAGCAGTTCCCACAGTTTGTGGTCAGTCAGCTATGAGGGCTCTTGATTCAGAATCTTCCCTTGGCTTTCAAGAGGAGGGAGTGGTTCAGGCTGCTTCCTCTTGACGACCTGGGCCATGTGACCTGTGATTCCAAAGTCCTGTTCAAGCCTCCTCCCTCCTTTTCAGTTGTCTGCTGCTGAGGCTCAGACCCAGCAGCCCAGGGCTGGTTCGAGTAGAATTGGGGCCTACCTGCATATTTGACACATGTCCCGCCTCCTGAGGAGGAGGAAACCGAGGGGTCCACCACCCCATGGGTGAGGATCGTGAGACCAAGACAGTGTGGCCCAGCTGCCTCTTCATTCCTGGGTTTTCTCTTTCTTGAGGGAGTCAGTGTGCTGTAAAGAATCCTATCAATTCGCTACTTTAAAAACCCACCATCCTTTCTTCCCCTTGCCATGGATTATTGCAACCATTTCCTGATTTCGCCCCTGGTCTTTCATTTTAGAATCACAGACTTTGTTTAGAAAGACCTTAAAATCTCTCAGTCCATCACTCAGCCCAATACTTAAAATACTTCCTCGCTCAGTGCTTCAAAGTTCTGTCAGTTAATCTTCCACAAAATCTACACTCAGCACCTCAATACCTTTAATTGTCTCTCCACCACCAAAAGGTCAAGCGCAGGTCATTAGCCCCAACCAGGGGGCTCCAACCAGCCCTGAACCCTCCCTCCACTTCTCCGGGAGTCTGCGCTTCTGCTGACTGGCCTTAACCCCAAACTTCTGACATAATTGTCCTGTCCTTTCCCGTGAAACAGCCTCTCCCTCTGTCTTGGCGCATCCAGATCCTCCCTGTCCTGTCTCCTGGCACCTCCTGCAGAGACACTGTCCCTGTCCCATCTGCTACTCTTGTCGGGTCGTCCTCCCAGGGCTCCCACAGGCCGCTTGGACTTGCTGGTTCCCCTCATGTTGTAAGCTCTCTACTCTCTAGATTGTCAGCTTCGTGAGGGCAGGGCCCGGGAATGTCTCTGCGTGTCTCCATGCGGTGCCTGGAACAGAGCTGTCGTGTGTCCAGGGACTGAAACAGAAGAAGCTCATTTACGCTGTCACCAGCGGCACCCTAAAAAAGACAAGCCCGTTGCTTACTGATACGGTAGATGTTCTGATTTTGTTGTTGAGTCACGTCAACTGTAACAGAATTCCCCAAGTCTTCATAAGGTTCTGAGGCTTCCTGGGGCCTCGGAATCCATCCTTTTCCCAGAAAATGGGGTCACCCTCCACTCTGCCCACACCATGGCATCTGCATTTCAGACTCTTTCCCTGTACCCATCCCCGTTTTCCCCACGATGCCAGCTTTAAGGTAGTGATGCCTCTGTGGGAACAAACACATCCCCAAATTTGAGATTGAGTTCAACATCATAAGGTTCCCTTCTGAGTGGCTGGGGAGAAGGTCCCCGACTGTGTCCATCTAAAGGCGCCCCCACTTCCCCGAGTGCTGCAGCCTGCTCCAGGAGCTCGAGATTGCAGGGAGGCTCGCCGGGGTGTCCTGGGAACACCATTGATCTGCCTGGCGTCCTTCTGCAGGTGCGTGTGTGCTGCGTCTGTGGATATAGCACCGGGAAGGACGTGACCTTGACCTCTTGGACAGGTGGCAGATGGGAACCCATGATTCAGTTTATAAGGGAAAACTGAAACGCTGCTCATGGAAACCCAATGTGATACGGATCCATATTGCTGTTTGGGAGGAGAATGGGAGGATAAAAGCAGAAGTGGGGTGCGGCCTGCAAAGGCTACACCACTCTGGGGGTGCCCACATGGCCTGAGGACCCCACTTCTGCCACCTGCTCTGTGCAGAGCCTGATGGGGGTCCTTCGTCTGCGTTGAAACCAGTGCATGTCTGCAGGCTGGGGTCTCCTAGGAAGTGGGAGTTCTTTCTTTCCTTCACTTTGTTTCTCCCTGAATATTTCCTGTATGCCTGCAGGGAAATGCTGAAAATAAAAATAAATCAAACAAGAAGTCTGTGACTTAAGAGTTCCTGGTATTTCTTGGAGGCCCTTGGAAGTCAGTATCCTGCTTTACCCTTGAGATGCTGTCCACGAGAGCCTCTCCCCCAGCGACTTAAATTACCTGTACACCCGCAGTAGCAGGTGACGGCTGAAACACTCAGAGTCCCAGAATCTCATTAAAGATCAGCGCCAGGGCCAAGCTCCCTGCGCCTCAGCGTGCGGGCCCCAGGCCTGCAGGGCCAGTGGCTCTTGTGTCCCCCAGACCAAATGAACCTTAATCTGCATTTTAATAGGCCCCACAAAAGAAAACTGTATGACCTCACTTTATGTGTGGGGTCTGGAAGCAAAAATCAGTCCCATTAGAATGGTGGTTGCTGGGGGTGGGGGGCTGCGGGAGGGAGATGGACATAGGAAGGTGTCAGCGGGTAATTTCAGTTATAAAATGAGCCCACAGATCCTGAGGCGCTAAGGTTTGTGATGACTATAGTGGATAGTTCTGTATTATAGACTTGGAATTTGCTAGGAGAGTAAATCGTGTGTCCCTACCGAAGGGAGTGGATCGGCGGGTGGGTGGGTGGAAGGAAGGAAGGGCTAGATCCGTAAGACAGGTAGACAGGTGAGTAGGACGGCAGATCCAGCGAAAGATTAGAGAGAGAACGTGACATAGAAGAAGAAACCTGGTCTCAGGTAGTTGACAGGCTCGAGTCTCACTGTTCACTGCGCACAGAAGCGCTGGAAGATGATCCTTCTTATCCTGGGACTGTAACGATCACCCTGCTCAGTCGAGTACAGTCGTCTCATTTCAGTTCAGATCCCGAGGCTGGGCGAGGTGAAGAGGTGGGCGCAGGCATGCAGCTGCCCAGCGGCTCTGCCCTCTCTGTCTCCCTGGCCCTGAGTGGAAGAGTAGGCCTGGCCCGAAGAGCCACAAGAGGAAGCTGCTATAGTTACTTCGTGTCACCAGCGTCGAGGAAATGGGTCCAAATTGAACCCCTCCTGGCAGGCTGGTTACACCCTTTATTGTGTGTATTGCAGCTTTGGGGCCAGACATTTTCTTCTTCCTTGGGTCTCCCTGGTGGCGCTAGGGGTTAAATCTCAGCACTATGAAGCTACCCACAGCCACTCAGGGTGAATTCAATCCCCAGCCAGGGAGATGACCCACATGGCGCAGCAGACCTCTCCTGTCTCCCGCTGCTCCCCTCAGCAGTGTGTTTCAGTAGATCCACCTGTTCTGTTCCCCACTCTGTCTCTGGTGAATCCTCTCACCACCCGCCCCATCCCTCTGGCCTACACCCCAGTTCTTGTATGCATAAATTAAAAAAAAATGAATCTTTAAAAAATAAACACTTAACCTACTTTTCCCAAACAAAATGAATGCCTGTAGAGAAATAAATCTTTAGCTGATAAAATTGTAAGTGGAATCTCAGCACTGAGGATGCAAGTTGACCCCTAGAATAACCCTGTGGCAGGAGGTGCCTTTCTGGCAAATGGGAGAATAAAAATGGTGACCATGGCTGCCTCCACGGTGACTGGGTCTCCAGGTCAGGGCCTCTTGATACTTCCTTCTCCAGCTCAAAGCAGTTTCCCCTGAATGACTGGCCTTAGGCCTCAAGGGGCTTCAGAGTCCCAGTAGGCGTTCAGTAGACACACTTTCTGGGCTCCCTCCAAAATGATTCCAACCTGATGTCCTCCCCATGGTCACCCCTGCCGGGACAGTTGAAAGCTGTGCAAGGTGAACTGAGTGGGCCGCCTGGGCACGCTTGACCTGGTACGTGATGACAGCAGTGATGACAGCGGTTCAGGGCCTCAGAGACATATACCTCAGCCCTCTAGTTCCTAACCAGGCCACCTGCGGGGAAGCCGGGATGCCATGCTGTGGAGGGTAAGAGAACAATCTTTATCCACAGAAAACCAGAGTCCCAGGCTCCCAGGGAGCTGTTTGACCAGTATAGCCTCGAGCCAGTTGCTGCTCTCCCTAAACCTCAGTTTCCTGGTCTGTAAAATACTATAGTTAAGAGGTTAAAGGGAGCAGATGTAACAGGATTAACGCAGTTCCTGTCACATAGTAGGTGCTCAAGAAATGTTAAATATTTCTGTCAGGTTAAGTTTGGACCAGATGCCATGGAAGTTGCTTCCTACTGAAGAGGAGCAACTCTGGGGAACAGTTACCCGCCGTCTGCCCCGCGTCTGTCCCCACTCGGGATCCAGCACAGGCTGCAAGTGAATACACTCAACGCCTGACCCCTCACCTCCAGTCACTAAGTGTACAAGCAGCAGCACCCCACATTCTCTGTCTCCGAAGCTGTAGCTCTTCCTTTGAGTCCTCAAAACAACGCCGTGAGCAGGTGGTCTCATTCTTCAGCTCACGAGACAGCTGAGGCCCCGGGCCCGGCCCACCGCACGGGAATCTCACCGGCGGCCGGTGCAGACCCTCTGGCTGAGGCGTGGTTTCCTTCTCCCCCACCCCCAGCACTGTGTGCGGGGCAGTGCTTCTGGGGGGCTCAGCATCCCATTCTTGCCCCAGAAAAGGGTCACTCTCTACACTCTGCCCACACCACGCCCATCTGCCCTTTCCTGCCTTCCCACCATGCCAGCCTGAAGGTAGGTGTGCAGCTGTGGACACGAGCATGTCCCCGAAATGGAGGTTATTTGAGTCCAAAGAATAAAGCAGACAGGGCCTCCCCTGGTGGCGCAGCGGTTGAGCGCTGGGCTGTGAGGCTGCCCGCAGCATCTGCAGCGCCGGTTCGTTCCCCGGCCGCGGGCATGTCCATAATCACGTGTAAAGCGTCTTCGGGTACATGACTGTAGGGTAAGTGAAAAAGTACCAGGCTTTTCCGCCCTCCCACCATTAGCATTCATGATGGATCCCTGCGTCCTACATGCGTGCCTGATGGCGGGCACCTGGGGTGGGGTGTGGGCCTGCCTAGGTGCGCACTCCTGGGCTGAGGCTGGTCTTATAAAGGTGGCATCAGGGAAACCAGGAGACAAAAAGTAGAAGAACAGGAATGAGAGGAGAACCAGCAGACTAGAGAGCACAGGAGAATGCCAGAGAGCCCAGAAAGAGTGAAGACTCCCTGGAGGCTGGGAGGCCTGTGACCCTCCCGACACCCCTGCCTTGTAAAAAGCTCAATAAAAGCCTGAAAAAGCCACCAAGGGCTCCAGGGCTCTCCTTTACCCGTCTGCAGAGGATCATAGAGACCCTGCTCTGTGCCATTCCTGCCGCTGCAATTACCTACAGAGGCCCAGGGCGCTGGAGCCACCCTGGCGGGGTCTTCGCTCACCCTGCTTGTATGTGTGACCGCGCTTGTGTAAGATGAATGACCCCAGATGCATCTTTGTTCTACTGAGATGAACAGGGTGGTTCATACACATGAAGAAACTCGGGAAATTGGCCATCTTCCCAGGGGGAGGGAGTTACCTGTCACGGGCCTAAGATGGCGTCCGTCCGCACAGGACGGGGTCAGCTTGGTTGTCTTACGTTAGGCCACATTCTCCAAGGCAGGTGAAAAAGTAAACTCACTTCGGTGTGAAAAAAAATCAATGCACAGAGGAAAGGGTTGTTTTCAGGGGTCACAGAATTTTATATGTAATAGTACAAAGCATAATACAACAAAGATTTAAGTGTCACTAACAGACCAGGCATCTTGCAAATGTTACATGTTGAAAGTCTTTAACTCTCTAACCATAGGTTAGAGAAAGGGATGCCATTTATTTGACACATTTCACTTTTTTTCTTATGAATCATTAAAAATTTAAGCACCATAAAATTCAAGCATCTCACATGGATGTGGCAGCCAGCCTTGGTGGTTTCTGCATTATGCAGAATCGCTGGCAGATAATAACAGTGACGATTGCAGAGTTCTGGTTTTTAATGTCAATTGTTTTGTTCCCTGCAGAACTTCCTGATCATGTCCCTGCAGGAAACTGTGATTTTTTTTTTTTTTTTTTTGTGGCACAGTAACTTTGAGAATTGAAATAAAATAGCATTCCCAAAGACATTACAAATTGGCCAGGTATAAATAATTCTAATCAGTAATTTATATGCCCTGTGAGAATCACAATATAATTCTATTCTAAAAAAAATATTTTGCAAGTGGATTATTTTAAATAGATGGTGTAGCTGTATGTGCTGGGCATATAATCTAATTTTCAATGCAAGAGAAGCTGTTCTGTCCTGTTGTATAAAGGAGGGACATGGAGTCCGGAGAGTTGGTGTAAGTCTCCCAGGATCACCTTGCTGGAAAGTGACAGAACTGGGTTCAGGCAACTGGGAAGTCCACATCTTCCCACTCTTGCAGCTATTCCAAATGAAAGTAAACAATTATCAACTTAGTCTGTGTGCTGATTGAAACACAAACCTGATGGAATCTCCCAGAACACACAATGATTTGCTTTATTTTAACCTATAAGAGGCACAAAGCAAAATCTTTGGTCAACTCCAGTTTTAGGGGACCATTCAGTTGACTATTTTTCTAAGCACCAGTGAGATGTAGACACACTTTGCAGGGGCGGCTTTGTGCTAGAAAACGCTTGCACGGCTGTGGGGGAGCACAGGTAGAGCACCACAGCTCCCCATATTTCAGGAGAGTCCTCCCTCAGCCAATTCTCTCAAATCTTACCGTTTCTGAGATTTCCGTTTATGGAAAAGGGGCTTTTCAGGAGGGGTTGGTGGTTAAGGCCTTCAGTTGGCTTTCAGTCAATAAAGAATGGTGGGGGCTACAGATATATTGACAGCTACAGTATTGAAATCAGAAGTTGGTGCCGCTATGTGGGGAAGCACCTCATATGTGGACGGGAGCAGCTCACACACAGGCACAAACACCTGCTACCTGCTGGTGCCTGCGGACTTGTCACTTGTCCCTGAAAGAACTGGGTGTCAGCATGTGCTCAGCTCCTTGCAGGTACCGGGCACACGGCGGTGAGTAGGCACAGCCCTGCCCGCGAGGGGCTGATGTCTCAACAGGAGAGGGAAAGAAGTGAGGAGCACTGCAGGGGCGAGGGTGGACAGCAGAGGCAGGCAGGTCCAGTAACCTGCCCCGAGGGGCATCACGGAGAGAAAGAGCAGGAGCAAAATCTGAGGGGAAGCTGCCTCTGTGGTGACAGCTCCTGTGGGCCCTGCCACCATGGGAGTCGCTGCAGGATTTGAAGCCAAGGAGAACAGAAGCAAGTTGGAGTCTTAGAGAAATGACAACTGGGATTTGAAACTGGGGCCCTCCATCGGCTGGGAGATGTCTGCCAGAGGCTACCGGCGAAAGGCAAAGGTATGTGGAGACAGGCCCACTGAAGGGGCGGTCAGCCCGCAGCAGAGGGCGAGCAGCACTGGCGGAGGAAAGCGTGGCCCCAGGCTGAGGACCTGGCTGGGCCCCAGAAGGAAACCCCCCACTTTCCTGCCCATCACCCAGAGCAAATCCCACGGGCAGTGCAGGCGCACCCCAACCAACAGGTGGGGGGACAAGATTTGGGGAAAGAAATTCCAAACAGGTTAATCAGTAGGAACGGATTCGAGAAACAACCCAAAGCTCTGCTCCTCCTTCACAGGGAGGATAGTTGCAGGTGTTGCTGGCGGGCCAGGTGAAGGAAATAATGGGCAGCCCACGTGGCCGTCTCTTCCACTGTTTTCCCCTTTTGACCTTTAAAATACTTTCCCACAAACGGCAGCATCCGTGCTGCGTGTGGAGTGTGGGCTGTGATCAGGCATTTGGGGGAGGCTCACGGACCAGCTGGCCTAGGAGGGGGCAATTTGCTGCAGCCCCCAATTCAAACTTTTTCTAGCCGTGCATTTGGCCAGCCTATGAGACAGCATGCTCACACCAGAGCCAGAGACCACGCAAGAGCGGCGCCTTATGCTCTAGTCTCCACTTTACCTCTTCCAAGAAAATGTTCCAAACCAAGTCCATGAATGCGCAGGAGCAGGCTCCAGTTTGGGTCACGTGATAAAGTTTTTGCAAACAGAAAAGCATCATTATAAATGAAGTTGACTTACAGTGAAGGTGCTCAAAATATTTAACAGGCCACAGCACAGTTAAAAACTTTCAGGGTCAAATGAACTAGGAAGTGCAGCTGCACATCGAGAAGAGATGTCGCTGTAGCATGTGCGTTTTTGTCTTTACCATCATCTTAAACTGAATTGCCATCCTGGGGGCAGCCTGGGAGCATCGGCCGGACATGCGCTCTGCATAGAACACGTTTCCGTTCGCGTACGCAAGGAAAACGTTTCTCATAAATGAAATTTTCACTGAGTTTTTCTTCTGTTATCTTTAAGTGCGTCAAGACGAAGCACCTAAACGAGCATCATTTTCTCATGAGAAATTATTCATTGGCCCTAAAATGACTTTTTTTTCCCCACATGAGGAAGGCAAGTTTCCTAAAAGTCTTTACCAATAAGTCTTGATTCTTCGACCCCTGACCCAAGCAACATAGAAAAACCGACCCTTTGCTGTTCAGAAAACCACTCATCATAAAGGCACGTCTCTCTCGACTTTTATAGAAAATGTGAAGGCGGCTGCCTGGGATGGTGGTGAAGGGAACTACAAGAATGTTTTTAAAATCAAAAACCCAGGGCACTCCCATACAGGCCAATAATAGGGACATTAAAAAAAAAAAAATTCTAGGTTGTCTCTGTTTCCTTTAAAAATAGGGCCAAGTCTTCCTGGTGGGGTGACCGTGACTTAAATGAATCTTCTTACCTAAGTTTCATTAAGTTGCCCTTAATTTTCTCCCAAGTGCGTAATGACGGCCCTGTCACGTCCCCTGTGAGATGCCATTATGTGCGTGGAGGGAGACAGTCCATGGTGGGCTGGAAGGGGCTCTTCAGGCACGCCTGGGGAGGGAGGGAGAGGCTTTGTATGAGCAGAGTGCCCCCCTGAATAAGCCCCATGTGGCTTCAGCCCCATTAGCGCACACACACCAAAGACTAGCTGGACCCCCACTGGGGCAAAGTGGTCTGTTTGGAAGTTCACTGCAAGGGGGAGTCAATTTTTGTGAATCACCGCCTCAATATTCATTAATAGCTTTTAGGCTCTTAATCCCTTATTGAATATATTTTTCCCCCTAATTGCTACTCTTCAAAAGGGTTGCCAAAGTCTGCATTTCTAGTCTCTGGAAAATGCAGAAGAGAACACACTATAGTGTGCTCACGTGTGATTTGTTTATGCTAATGCTGCCTCTCTGGAAAAGAGCGTCTGTGAGTCTTCCTGACATGGGGATGAGCTGTGAGCCGACTGTGTGGGCTTTGCTTTGTTTTTAAATCTCCTTGGGTCATGGTTTTACAATTATTTAAAGTGCATGGAAAAATAAATTACAGGGGAAATCACTTTGAAATGTTGGAAATCTCTACTTTCTAGTTTCATTTGTTGGCCTGTTTATTTGTTCCTGTCCAACCCATCCAGAAGCCCAGTGCATTGCAGAGGAATTGACTTCAACTGTTGGGGCTGCTGGGAACCAATGAATGAAGTTTTCAGTAATGAATAAGTAATGAATAATTTGTGATCTGGCCTTTGTTGCCAACTTGCCTCCCTGTGAACTGGCATTTATTTAAATACAGCCAGCTCTACCCCATCCTCCGTGAAATAAGAATATCTGTGCTCCATCTAGATGGATAGGTCCAAACAGATCCTCAAGGGTAGCCTCGGCTTCATCTGACCGGAGCAGAGGCAGGACATACAGTGCTGTGGGAATAACCCTGTTGACACAGCAGGCCCTTGCAGACTGCATCCGAAATGCTCCAGCGAGTCTTCCGCACAGCCCGGCCGGCCTGGACGTCTCCCGGCGCCTGCGGGGGTTGCGGGCTTCAGCTCTGCTTCAGGCAGACCTGGCACCTGCTGGTTCTCCAGCGCTGGGCCCGGCTGTCTTTCAGGGTGTCCGGTGAGGGGGCTGAGGGGAACTGCAAGTCTGGCCTCACCACGGTCAGCCAGAAGCTGTACTTATTTGCGAAAAAGTGGCAAGTTCCCTGCCGGCCTTGGCACTCCAGGAACGGCGCCGCTCTGAAGTCCTCCAGGCAGCTGCCAGGGGATGCGAGGGCCTGCCCTCCGCCCTGGTCCCCGGCGCCTGTGTGCTGCCGACGACAAGGGAGAGTTAGGGCCTGACCCGCACCAACAGCCCCAGACCCATCCCGTCCGCGGTATAGCCTGACACCCGACCTCACCTCCTGACATTACTCCAGGAGGAGCCAACTACAGCCGGCCAGGAAAGAAGGGGTGGGCGTGAGTGGGGTTCACACCAGATCAAAGTGCTTTCACCCCCGGGTGAGCACATCCATTTTCTACATGCCACCGAGACATACAAGTTGACAGGAAAAGAGAATGGCCTGAGGGGCTGTAGGGCAAGGTAAAAAAAGATCAGGCTTTTCTGCCCTCCCGCTATTAGGATGGATGGTGGATCCCCGCGGTCCTGAATGCATGCCTGACGGCGGGCACCTGGAGTGGGGTGTGCGCATGTGTAAGTGGGTGCACCTGGGCTGAGATACTGGGCTTATAAGGGTGGCGTCAGAAGGGTGGTGCTTCTGGGGATGCCAGAAGCAGAACCATGAGACGAGCAGAGAAGCAGAGTGAACCGAGAGAATACAGGAGAGCCCAGGAAGAGTGAAGACTTGCTGGGGGCTGGGAGGCCTGCCAGCCTCCAGGCCCCCCAGGACCCCTGCCTGCCGTGTACCTGGTAATCCCAATAAAAGCCTGAAAAGCCACTGAGGACTCCAGGACTCTCTCCTCCACCCCATCTGCTCGGGTGTAGAGAACCTGCTCTGTGCCCTTCGTGCCGCTACAGGGGGCCTCACGCCCCCCCCAACTGCACCGTCTCCACAATGGCGCCCCATTACTGACCCAGAAGGCAGGGGTAGGGTGGGGTGTGGGGGTGCAGGGGCTCACCATCAGGAAGGAGTACCCGACCCAGAGGCTCCTCCAGGCCGGCGGGCACGGCGGGATGGCCTGGTCCTGGCTGTGCACCGCCACGGCCTGCGCGGGCGCCTCGCACACGGCGCAGCGGCTGACGTGCGGCCGGATCTCCTCCTCCGACAGCGGCCTGGCGGGCAGGGGCGCCGCGCTGGCCAGCCAGTAGGACCTGTCGTTCCTCCGGGCGTAGTGGCACACTTGGTGGACGTTACAGTAGGCGAAGGGCAGGGTGCTGAACACGGGGAGGCAGGACCCCGCCTGGCCTGGGGGTGGAGGGAGAGGCGTGTGGGTGCCCGGCTGCTGCCCGCGCCTGGGGCGTGGAGCCTCTGGCCCAAGCCCACGTCGGTGCCGTCAGTCATGATCGTGCCGTCGCTCTCACTGCTGAGCCGACCCGTGAGCCAGATGTGGAGGCAGACAGAGCAGCCGCACAGCCACCTCGGGCCTTGTGTGATCGACCGACGGGCACTGGAAGGCGGCTGAGCCCCCCGTGCATGAGGAGCGCCGGGCCAGGCAGCCGGGGCGGGAACTGTCCGCTGTCAGCTGGGCCTGGCCCAGGGGAAGGATGGCCGGCCCGGGGGTGGCTGGTGGCGGCCAGCACGGCAGAGGGGACGGCGGCCAAGGGAGCCGACGGTGCGGGAGCGGGGCTCTCAAGGAGCCGGAGGAGTCCACGTCCCCGGGCGGCGGGGAGAGGATGTCTGTGTGTCTGTCCGTCTCAAGGGCGTGCAGGACAAAGCCAAGACAAAGATGTGGGCTCTGTCAGTCTTGTGGAGTTTAGATTTCAGGCCCAGAGCTCTGCGGAGCGTTGCAGGCTCACCCTTGCGACACCCGAGCAGGAGAGGCAGGGCTGGGGCAGAGAGGCCAGGCAGGGGGCGGGGAGAGCAGTAAGTACATTAAAGGCAGGAATCATGACTTGGTCCTTTCCCCAGCCCCCTGATGGGGAAGGCCCTGGGTGAACCCAAGAGAAATGGCGAGGGCTTGGAAATAGCTGCCCCCCTCGCTGGGGACAAGGCCCACTTCGCCATCAACTGTCCCTGCCGGGGACGCCCCTCTGCCCATCCCGCACCCCTTTCGTCTTGAAAAGAGAGTGTCCAGGGCCTCCCTGGTGGAGCTAGGGGTTAAGCACCGCACTATGAAGCTATCCGCAGCGTCTGCAGCAGGAGTTCGACCCCCGCCTGACCAGAGAGAAAACCACATGGCGCGGCAGACCTCTCCTGTCTCGCCCGCTGCTCCCCTCAGCAGTGTATTTCGTCAGTCTGCCTGTTCTGTTCCCCACTCTGTCTCTGGTGAATCCTCTCAGCCCCCACATCGCTGGCCTGTACCCCAGCTCTTGTATGCATAAATAAATTAAAAAAAAAGAGAGAGTATCCAGCCCCAGAAACTTAAACCCAAGATGGAGTCAGTTCTGGCAGCTTACAATCTACTATTGAAAACTGTACCAAGGGGTGATGTGATGTCTTAAATCTGTGATTTAAGAACAAATTGGAAAGCTTTGGGGAGAGGGTGCTGACAACACCCCACAACGGTCAGGGTCCGTCCAGACGCCATGTGACGTATAAACACAGGAACTAACTGTGCCGCGATGACCTCACCCACCCTTGGAAGTCAAAACCGCTTTCTGGATCAGAGTCGTATTTAACTTAGATTGGAAGAATCAGTTTTCAGAACCAGCAAGTAGCCGGACCGTTATAACCCTAAGCCAGGGGAGCTTCCTTGACACCCGTGGGATCCTGGGTTTAATAGAATTAGTTAAGAATTCACAAGAGAGTAAGAAAACACCCCACAGACAGGCGTGAGGATGACGATGAGCCCAACCTGTAAAATCACCCCGAAGGGCTGCTCGTAAGCAACGGACTTGGCCGGCCGGAGGCACCTACCCAGGTCTTGGTTGTGCGCTTTCTCCTGCCCCTCCAGGTAGAGCAGACTGTAGCCCGTCCAGAGCCGGGGCATGCCGCTGGGGCAGGCGGGCTCCGTGTCCGTCTGACTGTGCAGAACCAGGAGGAAGCCGCCGAGGTAGCCGGGCCCCCAGCCTTTAGGCCCGGGATCTCCAAGGGGCCCTGGAGGGCCTGGAGGAATAACGGGAAAAAATGAAAGCAGTTGCGGGGGTTCAGAGAAGACACCTCTGTGCCCCTCCATTCCAGCTGTGCTCTGAGACAGAGGCGCCACCCCCAGGGGTGCTATTTGCTCCAAGCCAGTTCCAGGTGAATGGGCTACATGAGCATCAAATTACAGAAGAGACTAAAGCCCTTGCTCTCCTGGGGGGCAGTAAAAGGCCAGCGGGGAGGACCCTGGAAGATGGTAAATGCCGAGACCAGGACTGGGTGGCGCCATCGCTGGGAGCTCCTTCCCGCTCCTCAGGCGGCTCCTCGCAGAGGAGATGGGCCAAGTCGGTCTTTCTGTACCTCCCGACCTCCCCTGTGGTCCTGGCACTTCGCTCCATCCTAAGCAAAGCCAGGGCCCGGGATCCCCAACTCCGGAGCTGGAAGGAAGGGCTTGTTCTAAAATCCTTGTTGGCAGGTGCTAAAGGAAGAGTCTAGAGAAATCTAGTGGGGTCTGTCTGCTTTGCTGCCTCTCGGGGCTGGTTCTTGGAGGAAGGGCCAAGGAGCTGTTTTTTCAGTACATGTATTTTAAAAGGACAGACTTACTAGGAAAAGAAAGAGACGCACCCGCGTAGACTCAGTGTGAGCCTCGCCCCCCACGCCCGAGGTCTGCGGGGCAACCTGGCTCACCCGGGAGCCGATCCCAGAGCCAACGCCAGGCTGACCTGGGAGAGGGAGCCGCTGAGACCGCGAGGCCTTGGGAAGGCCGGGCTGAGGTTTGGGGGAGACTGAGCTAGCTTGGGAGCTTGACTGGCTCTTGCCAGGGCTGAGCATTGAGCATCCCCCAGAAGGTGGGGCTGCAGTTCCTGGGGTTTCTCAGCCTCAGTCCCTGGTAGCTCCTATCTCGGGCAGCTGCTCTCCCAGGATGAGTTTGGAAAGTTCAGAGCCCGGGACAGTCCTGGGATCTACCGCATCAGAGAAAAGAAGAAAATCTGAAGCTCCTTACCTGGCGCTCCCGGGCAGCCAGCTTCTCCCTTGTCACCTTGGCGTCCAGGAGGCCCGGGGGGGCCAGGTCGGCCGTCCGCGCCCCTCCTGCCATCCAGGCCCGGCTCGCCTTTGCACCCTGCACAGAAGTTGCTGGTGGCAGCTTTGGCCCTGCTGGCACTGAAGTGAGCCACATGCGGGCCTGGCCAGCCGCATGGACTCATCTGCCCAGCACCCTGAGCTGGCCGGTGGGGTCAAGAGGCTCAGCCAGTGACCGGAGAGGGGCCGATGAGCTAGTAACAGCCGACACACCGGGTGCAGCCCACACCGGGCGGGGGTGGGGAGTGGGTGTTGAGAGAGGTTTTCACCTGTTTTTCAAACTTTGGTCTATTTAAACTTCTTTATATTGTAATTTTTTATATTTTTTATATTGTAATTTTTTTGACGCCTGAGTGAAGGAATGAATAAGATTCAATAGGAGTCACCTGGGGATCAGGTGAAGTTTGGAGCAAGAGCAGCAATTCCCACAAGAAGCCCTGTACTGAGTGTGTACAGAGTGCCCGGTGCACCAGTCACGTTACAAGGAGCACCTGGCTCAGTCTTCGCAGCAGCGGCCGAGGGTGGACACTCACCCCAGGGCATGGGTGGGGAAACTGAGGCTCAGCAAGACCTGGGGAGGGGAGCTGTAGGGTAAGTAAATGATATCAGGCTTTTCAGCCCTCCCACCATTAGGATGGATGATGGATCCCCGTGGTCCTGAATGCATGCCTGATGGCGGGCACCTGGAGTGGGGTGCGGGCATGCGTAAGTGGGTGCACCTGGGCTGAGAGACTGAAATTATAAGGGCGGCGTCGTGGGGACACCAGCAGAACCACGAGAGCAGCAGAGAACAAGGCCACAGAGAAGGCCAGAGAGCCCAGGGAGAGTGAAGACTTGCTGGGGGCTGGGAGGTCCTGCCAGCCTCCCGGCCCCCCCACATCCCTACCTGCAGTGTACCTGGTAAATCCCAATAAAAGCCTGAAAAGCCACCGAGGGCACCTAGGACTCTCTCCTCCTTCACCCGTCTGCTCGGGTCACAGAGAACCTGCACTGTGCCAATTCTTGCCGCTACAGGAGCCCAGGGGCGGGGCGGGGCGGGGGCCGCATCCTCCTGGCCTGGTGGGAACTTGGGCTGCCGGGCTTGGGCGTGCTTGGAGGACCTCGCCCACCGGGCTGGCTGGTCCCCAGACACCCGAGGGGCTCTCTGTGCTTGGTCGCCTTTGGCCAAGACATCCCACCACCAGCTGCGATCTCCTGGGCCTGGGGAGAGGCGCTGTCACGGCGCCCTCACCGCTCAAGGTTTCGGGTTTACCTGTTATCCTCACTGTCTCCCTCCAGCGCCCTCGCTCCTCCACATCCCTCCCTCGGTCTCTCCCTCGGTCTCTCCCCCAGGCTCCCTCTTTCCACCTCTGCAATCTCCCTCGGCGCCCAGTCTCCCTCTCCCTGCCACAAATGAGGCCCCAAAGTCACCATTAAGTCAAAGAGGCTCACTCAGCAGCTTCCGTTCTCCTCCACTCTTGGTTGGCTTCTTAAGCGGACGGGGCGCCCCTGCGGGTGCAGAGCAGGGCGGGCCCGGCCCCTTGGCTGGCGCGTGATGCCTCCCAGCTTCCTTCTCTCACGCGGGCCCCTAGTCAGCATCTAAGGTGCAGCCCCCGCCCAAGAGAACCTCAAGGCTTTACAAATCCTCTTCTGTCCGGCCAGCAGACACCCCCCCCCTCCCTGGCTTGTGGCCACCAGTGGCCTCTGCCCCCCACCCGCGGCCCCCAGGGCTTCCCGGCTCCCTGGTTGTCGTCACACTTTGGTGGTGTTGGGCTGTAGGAGAGCTTTACCTAGTCCAGGTGTGAAGATGTGCTTCAGCGTCATAGATTTGTAAACAAATGGTAAATTAACAACATTTGATTTTTAAAGGAATAAAACTACATCGAAGACAGCCCTCCGCCCTGCAATGGAGTGCCGCGTCTGAGGGAGTCGCCTGTTGCCTTGAGGATAAACACCGGCAGGATATGGGGTGCAAACCAAGAAGGAAACCCTGTTTGTGTTCCTCACAGGAGGCCCCAGCCCGGGAGGGTCCCCCGGGAAGGGAAAGTGTAGAACGAAGAGCCACGTGAGGGGGAGGCGCTGGCTAGTGCGGCAGAGGGCCCTTCGCAGACACCTGTTCAACTTAGTGAGGCTGTTACCCACTCACTAGGCAGGAATAAGCCAGAAGTCTGATTTTTTTTTTTTATGTGATTCTCAGCTGCAGCACTTGGCTACCATATCAGCTGAGTAATAAAAGGGTTTTGACGGGAACCTAGGAAGAGCCAACAGTGTTGTGTGAGTGAAGAAGAGGCTTCCTAATGCAGCTGCCGTCACAGCCAGACTCAGGTTGGGGTGGGCTCCCCTCATGCTGTGCGAGAAGAATCCCCTTCAGAAAAAGACAACGTGCCCACGGTGACCTGCCAGCCAGGGCTGGTCCACGTAAGGCCCGAACCCTCCCCCAAGCCCCTCTCGTGACCACATATTTCCTACAGATTCGAAGATCTATTTTTGCTGTGCTTTGCCAGTTTGTTTTCTTTGGTTATATATTCCACAAACAAGAGAAACCACTTTCTGACAATTTCACTGAGCATAATCATCTCAAGATCCTTGTTTTCCCAAAAGGCATGATTTCATGCTTTTACACAGCTGCATGGTATTCCACAGCCTCCTTACCCAGCCACTTGTCATTGGTTGCCCCATGCCCTGGCTGTGTGGATAACGCTGCTGTGAACAGAATTCTGGATCTTTCCAGAGTACACGCTTCATCTCCTTGGGGTCATTATCTGGCAGTGGTATTTCCACTTTCATTTTTTGAAGGAATCTGTTTTCCACGGAGGTTGCACCAAACTACACTCCCAACAAGAGTGGGTGCGGGTTCCTTACACTCCACATGCTCACCGAAATTTGTTTTTCATCTTTTTTATACAGACCATTCTCACAGGGGTGAGGTGATCTCTCCTCGAGGTTTGGTTTGCATTTCCCTTCTAAAAAGTGATGTCCATATAGTTTCATACGCCTGGAGGCCATCTGAATGCCTTCTCTGAACAAGTGTCTATTTAGGTCTTTTGCCCATTTTTTGAGCAGGTAGTTTGGTGTATGCTGCTGAGTTTATAGTTAAGGTTTCTCAAACTTGAATGTGTATATGAATGTCCCACGCATCTTGTTACAAGGCAGATTCTAATTCTGTAGGTTTGGAGCATGGCCTGAGCTGCTGCTGGTCCACAGAACGTGCTGGGAGGAGCACAGAAGCAGCGGCTCTCAGTCACCAGGTCAATCCGCCCACCAGTGCCCCTGCCACCTCCCTGGTGGACAGGAAGCCTTTCTCTGGAGGCTCAGCAGCAACGCCCGCCTGCGGGGTCTCCACAGTCCTGCCCCCGCCACACTGAACTCACCCCCTCCGGCCCGATCGCCTAGTGCTCTTTGCTGGTGACTCCTCAGAACACGACATACCCTCCCATTACTTAGAGATACTTAGGTTTGTTCTGCCGGCTCTTTCTGCCCGGAGGTTGTAAACCCTGAAGGGAAGAAACCTTTCTTAGTCCCATTTATATTGTCTGCGTCGCCTAATAATATTTTTTAAAAGTAGAGGGAATCTGGAAGTATTTACTGCGCTGAACGGGCCGAATCCCATTAGAGGCCACACCCACTGGAAAGTCATTTTTGAAAGGTGGGGGCTCTCGCAGCAACATGTGCAGAGGGGCGGCCTGGCTTCAAACGGAGCTTGAGCAAGGCCTCACGCAATGCTTACAGTTCCCGAGAACGTGGCCCTTGCAGCGTGCGCCAAACAAAAGGAAAGTGAAGTCACATCTGACTCAACTCCCAGTGCTCAAGGGCTGGGAAAGGAAGTCGCTACCAGCGACACCCAATTCACTTGGTGAAATAAAAACACAGCAATTCGCCAGGTGCAGACTTCAGAGAGCCCACGCCGAGGAAGGCCCGCGGCAGAGCTGGCCTGGACGCCACTGACAAGTGACCCACCGGGAAGCTCGTCCTTGGCTATTTGGGTTTGGGAAAATGTGAGAAAAGCAGGTGGTGATTCGGTTCTATTTTTTGACCCTGAACCAAAAAGCCCTCAGCCAGGCAGCAGGGGAAACGGAAACACGGGCGGCCTCATGCCTCTAAGGCTAATCCACACTCGGGTCACCTAGAATCAAGGGCACTGCCCCTGCTTGGAGGAGGCCAGTGACCTCTAGGTGACCGGCCCTGGGTCCCTAATCTCTTTGTAAACTACTCATTGCATTGGGAATAGGTGAGGAGAAAATAAACCACTTGGAGAACTTCTATTTTTTTAAAGGGTGGTTGGTTTAAAAACTTAAATAAGGCCCTGGGATCCTGCCAAAGATGGAGCAAGGCTCAGGCCCGTGGGTTAACAAGGCTGCAAGTGCCATAACCTCAAGCGACCCCCGCCCCCCACACCCCCAGCCATGAATACACCTCTTCCTCCTCTCCTGGAGGCTATTTCTGTTCCAATGAGCCAACTCAATTGCTTTTCATTCAAAATCAAGTCAGAAGCTATTAATGACTATTACTAAGAGCCTCTAGTCTGTTGTGCTAAGAGGTTTCAAAACCTCCAGTCCAACGAAAGATTAAACAGGAGTTCAATGCAAGAATAGGAAGGATGTATTGATCCAGTTTGTATATGATGTAGCCTCTGGGGAAAAGTATGAAAAATCTACAAGGGGAAGGAGATTTTCTTTGCTTCCTCACTTGTATTGGAGGCTCTCTATGAAAAAATACATAGCAAACCTCCTAGATTTCCAGTTCAGCAATATATGGGGAGATTAGGAGTAATCAGGCCCTTACCTGGTCCGGGGGGGCCTCTTGTTCCAGGGAATCCTGTGGTTCCTTCTGGTCCTCTTGGGCCTGGCACCCCAGGAAGCCCGGGGATCCTGGGGCAGTCTTCTGGGTCTGCAGGTGGCCCTGGCTCCCCTGAAATTGGAATCAGCGCTTGTCTGAAGGCTGTGGTCCAGCTCCTCCCCCATGCTCCCTAGACGGGCCTCTCACATGACGATGATATGTTGGCAAGAATGATCCCCAGTCCAGGGGGAGCCCCAGGAGGGGTTTCTGTTCACTATGGGGAGCATGACAATGCCCTGGAAAGGATATTGTTCAATGAATGAATAAATGAGTGAATGGATTAGTGGGTGGGATCTCAGGAAGCAATAAAAGCAGGCAGCAGTGAAGGTCGGCTCAGACAGCAACCACCACCCAGTGGTGGACTGGACTGCCCACCTTTTTTTTTTTTTTTTTTTGCATAGAAGAGCTGGGGTGCAGGCCAGAGGTGGGGAGAGTGAGAGGATTCACCAGAGACAGAGTGGGGAGCAGAGCAGATGGATCTACTGAAATATACTGCTTAGGGGAGCAGTGAGCAAGACAGGAGAGGTCCGCTGCACCATGCGGGTAGCTCCCTGGCTGGGAGTCGAACTCATGCCACAATGGCTGGGGCTAGCTTGCTAGCACTGAGTCTTTAACCTCTGTGCCTCCAGGGAGGCCCCGACTGCCCACCTTTTACTGGGGTAGCAGCCCCAGGAGGCATCAGGAGAGGTGCTCGTGGGTTTCTATACTCAGCTTAATGTCCCTCTCATTCATTACTCCACACTGCAGCCACGTGGGCATCCACTGTGTCCACTACTCAAAGAGAGAGCATTTGAGGGGAGTGACTGTCAAATCAAGGGCACGCTGGCATTATCCCAGGGAGCTATAAAAATATACGGATACCTGGGTCCTTGCCCCAGAAACACTGGTTTAATTAGTAAAAGACCTGACTTGGGTAGTGACCGTAAGCTTGGTTGACAGTAAATCCAGTTGACAATAAATCCAGCTGACAATAAATCCAGCCGGCAAGAACTTTTCAGAAGCACTGGTGCCGGGATCCCAGCTACACTTATTAATTAGGAATTTCTGGGGGTGGGACCCGGATATCAGCATTTTTTTAATTCTCCAGATGATTCCAGTTTCCTCCAGGACTGAGAAGCATCATTGTGAAGCTGTTGGTGACCCGAATTTGTGAGTCAGTGAGTGTGGGTCGGGGGTGTGCCTGACTAACATGTTCCCTGGTGAGGCTGCAGGCTGATTCAGGACCTCACTTTGAGAAACACCCCTCTAGACACTGGACAGTTTTTCCTTCTTGATTACATTCACATCTTTACAATACATTTTTCTAAAGTTTCATTCAATTCAGCAGGATTGAACTGAATTGAGTGACACTGAGTTGAATTCAATTCACTGAATGCTGTGCTGAGTGATTCCCTTCTCAGTGCTTCCAACAAGTGTAGGCACTGAAATGATAAGGTGGCAGGCAAGAAAATTTAGGCCGAGGTAAACAAGGTCACATCGAAGGTCACACAGCAAACACATGGCAGAGTCTGGACGAAAATCCAAGATGCTCTGGCTCCACCAACACCCCCAGTCTCCAGGCCACACTCTCAGATTGTCCTATCTGGGTGATGAATTCTAAGAAATGCAATTTATCTTAAGAAAAACTTATTAGTTATGATGTTCTTAGAATTCATGCAATGTGCAAACCAATTTTAAGAAGAGCAATGACAAAGCAGAAATTCCTAGAAGATGTGGCCACAATAAGGTTTTAATTTACATCGCACTAATGTGTCTGTGCAAATCGGACTTGAACTTTCTAAACAGTTTGGATTTTAAGCCCTCTGTGAAGCCACAGGCAGCTCCAAGTTGGACATATTTTTACAGTCTATACAGTTTAACATAAATCTTGGCTCTTCCACTCTGGGTGACTTGAGAACGATAAACATGGATATTTCCTATTTTTCCTGAATCAGTTGGTGATTATTGTGGTAATTCACCAACGGTGGAGTGGAGGCAGGAGGTAAGGGACAAGCTGGGGTGGGGATTGGGCTGGTACTTTCATATTTCATAGCACTTTGATGTGCTAACGATGACAATGCACTGGAGAGATCATTTTAATTTTTAAGTATGAACACTTAAATAGCAGATTATTTTGAAATTCTGATTCTGCTTTTCCGTACTTTTTAACAAACCAAACACTGAAGGAAAGGGGCTGAGGCATCTATTCTAGGGGCCTAAAAATAAAATAAGGCATCCGTAGCCACGGCAACTTTCATGAGGGCTAATAACAGATGCCTGGAAAGAACAAATATGAAAATTCCTAATTTTTCTTTTCTTCTTTTGAAATTATTTTTATTCTCTTTGAACATGCCAGGCACAAAATAATATATTGCTCTGGCATTGTGGAGAATGAAGAGAACAATTAGTTGAAAAGAAGAATGACATTTTCTTTTTAACACAATGAAATCTGCCCTCTGAAAATGGACTTTGGGTGGGATAGGAAGGCTTGTCCCAGCCCCATACTGGGTTAAGGACTGATCTTTTTATGTTGTTGATACTGATTATTTTAAGGGTGTCCAATGTATTTATGTTGTAGAATTTATGAAAGAAACTACACTGGTATGTGCAGCAGCATTTGACAGAGAAAGCTCTCATACTCCATGCTAGAATTGAAATTACATAAGCTAGGCATGTACACTGTCTTGACAACCTATAATGAGGCTTGGCATCAGGACACTCTAATATGGGGTTACTTTAACTGTAACGAGGATGCAAAGGCAATAGAACCTAACATAATTGCGGCACCCCATCTGTGAAAGTGTGACGAAGTTTAAGTCACAAATACAGAGAAAAAAGGCAAGTGCAGAAATGACTGGAAACAAGATTTAGAGGAAATTATTCACAGTTATGCTTACCTTTGGAACCTGCAGAGATTCAAAGCTCAATTGAAGAAGCCACACGTTTTCATATGGTGGAAAGAGATTTAAATGTGTGAATTAGGACAAAAGTGAAATGGATTGTTCGAGAACATCAATAATCATTTGAGCACAGCTTCAAAAGCAAGTGGAATGACAGTAGCTTATTTACATAAAAAGTCCACTTTGATGCTCCTAACAAGAAAGTCCAAGTTGATTTCTTAATCAACTTATATAGAACGTATATAGAAATTCAACGTATATAGAAATTCTGTGTATTTGAAGCTTTCTGCAAATTCCATATGAACTTGCCCAGGTTTAGACACTGTGCACAGAAAGAAAGAGAAGGTGAAGCCAAGTGTACCTGGCCCATCACACACCTTGTTTATGCCTCCGAAACTAACCTGCAAACTTAGGAGACTAGACGAGTCCAGGTGGACCCCACATTACCATGATATTGACCTGGGATTGTGAAAGACATTCCTCCTGTCCATCTCAGATGTGTGTCTGTCTCCTTTCCAGCTCAGCCTTGGCTAACTCTGACCCTCCAATGAAAACATGTTGTCTCTGGAGCTTAAATTGAGTAACTTTTCATAAGAACTAATGTACCTTCCAGAAAAAAAATTAAATAAAAAGATCTAGGTAAATCAATGGGAATTCAGAGACAGAAATTGACTCTACAACCCTCACATAGAAGAATCAAATCAGTCTGCCTCTTGTGTGAGGGAACCCAGAGTTATATTTACCCTAAGGAACATTAGATGTAAAATCGACTCCTAATCTTACTGACTCTGATCATAAATATTAATACATGAAACACAATACTTTGCAACAAATATAATTTTTGTTTCAGAAAGGACTTAGCTCATAAGAATTTGTTGGTAACTTCAGAATAATTTAATGGCTTCCTGGAAGATGACCATCATCGAGGATGACATGTAGAGGCAGCTACATGGAGAAGCTTACCTGGGGGGCCTGGGGGCCCTCGAATGCCTGGAGATCCAGGTAAACCCTTCTCTCCCTGGGGCCCCAGAGTTCCCTGTGGCCCCTGCGGTCCCGGGAATCCCATTGGTCCTAAAAGGAACACATTAAATTGAGGGCACTGGAATGGAGCCATATATAGACAATGAAGGCTTGACTGCATTCGGAAGTTCCCCCAACAAAAAGCAGGACAAAGTCTGCCTGGGAGTCCATGTTCATCTCTCACTGTTTTCTGTCAGGCTGAGATGAGCTGCCTCTGTCTGAAGGAAATGGTGACCCATGAACACAACCAAGGGAAACGATTTCACAACCAAGAGAAAACTAAATTACAATGCAAAACCCGTGATCCGGGGTTTCCTCTGTAGACAAAGGGCTGGGGCGGAAGGGAAACTAAGGAAAGGTGCTTTGCTACCCGAGGACAGCCTGTCTCCCAGCCCTGAGTGCCGGCTCTCTTCCTCACTCTGTTCCAGGCACCCCAGTCATTTAGTTCCTCACACACTCTGTTCCTCTTTTCTTTTCCATCCATGAAGTCTCCCCATTCTGTAGAGGTCATCAAGCCTCACTTCCTCCAGGAAGCCTTCCCAGGAATCCCGGCCGAAGTTCGGTTACTTAGTGACAAGCTGCTACAGAAAAGATCCCTTCACTCGGAACACACATTCGGATTGGTACATCAGTTAGAGTGAAAACCTGGCTTTCCCTGTAAGACACGATACCTAGTAAGAGTGGGCACTGTCCAGCTTTGTTCACTACAGTTATTGTAGGTGTCTCATTTGTATGAAGCAGTAAACTGAGGACACTTCCTGTGCCTTCTCACAGGGAAGCACGCTGCCTCCTCCTGCCCACTGCCATGGGAGTTAAGAAGCAGGATTAGGGCTCCACCAATATTTATAACTTTGGTAAGTCACTAATATTTATATAGTTTGATATTTTCCCAATCTTGAAGTTTATTCCCGGGTGGGGGCTCATTCTCTAGGGTAACATCTGGTGAATTATTAGAAGAGGAACAAGGTTGTATCACTAGCCTCCCCCCTTCTCTTGGTGACTAGAGTGCTAGCATGTCTTTCCAATTCTGGGGTTCAATAATTGGAACCCCACATACATACAGATTCCTTAAAATTGATTTTATTGCTAATAAAGGTAAAGAGAGATTTTGGGCACTGTTGTACAGGTTGTGCCCTGCACAATTCCAGGGATGTCATTGGCACTCTAGTCATGACAGCCCCATTATAATTTTGATCTCGCCTCTACCCTAATATTTTGCCTTATTTCACATTTGATTCTGAAGTCAGGCAGGTTGCTAGTTATTTGGTTCCAGAAAACTTGAACATTTCCTTCTTTAGTATCCAGAAGTCTTATTTATATATAGCATCAGAGGGTTAAAATGGATAATCATTATTGGTCCTTCCTCAAAAAAAAAAAAGTTCTGTGAACCTAATAATTCTCTGAAATCTTAGAGACCAAAATCTAGTATCCCTTAATATTAGCAGTTAGATAAAAAATTAATTAAAAATAAAATAGCTTTTAATGATGGAAGAAATTCAATAGTGGGGACTTTCGTGAATATCAAAGAGCAGTCAGCAGTCTAAAACACCTGCCCAATACAAAACCCACTAATCACATGCAACCCTTGGACCTTGAAATTGACGAGTCCAAACTGACTTGTGCTTTTACTGTAAAACATAGACTGGACTTCAAAGACACGTCTTCTTTGAGAGCGGAGCTAGGTTTGTACAGCCAGCCCTGAAAATCCCATTGATTATCTATGTTAATTATATGCTAAAATAATATTTGAATATGTTACATTAAATAAGATAAAGTACGAATGTTATTTTCACTTGTTTATTTTTTTAATGTGACTGCCGCATGTTTGAATAATATTTGTAGCTTGCATTATATTTCTGTTTATCAGTTCTGATCTAAAAGAGAAACAAGTGTCACATAAGATGAACTTATTTCTTCTTTTTACTTGTCCCTCTTTTACCCAAACTCTAAGACTCTGGGCATATCAGGACATTTTGGAAATGCAGTCACTGTTTCCATAGGAAGTAGGAATTACCTCCCAGTGGCACAGCATCCCAGCACCTTCAAGGAAAGACATGGAGAGTCTTCTGTACTATTTAAGGAACAACTTGAATTTTTACCTTTCTGGCCATCTTGTCCATCACATCCTGGGAAGCCTTTGTGTCCTGGAGGGCCCGGTGGACCTGGGGGGCCAGGTGGCCCCGGCAAACCACAGTCACCTGGTTCCCCTTTTTGAAGGTCAACACTCCCAGGGGGACCTGGAGGCCCAGGAGTTCCTGCCACAGGGAAGAGGTAAAAAGACTCTTTAAAGACAAATGCATGCTGCCTGCCTGAGTGCTTCTTAAGGAAAGTAACTTAATGGTTTGCAAACCAGGAATAGAGGGAATTCAAAGAATAAAAGAGTCAGTATTATCAGAAATGAAAGAGTATGTCTCAAAGAACCAGTTGAGAAATTGTGTGGTCTTCAGTTGCTGTTAAACAAAAAGAACATTGTCTCTCCTCCCTTCAGAGTCATTCCTTCTGGAATTATCAGCTTATGATTATATTTACATTGCCATCCCACTGCTTTGGATGGATGGATGGATGGAAAGTGGGTAAGTGAATAGATGGATGGATGCGTGGGTGGATGGATGGATAGGATGGTAGGTAAGTTGGGTGGTTGGATGGATGGGAGGATGGGTGGAAGATGGACAGATGGATGGATAGATATACAGATACACAGGCACGTTGGTGAGAGGCTTTTGAGAAAGAGTGGTTGATGGAAAGAAATATTCATTCAATTAAATTTATGATCCTGTTTGAAACCAAGTATCTAAACATAGGGGTTGAGCCCAAATTCTATTTTACTGTTTTAACTTCTCCTATTTAAATTCTATATTTATTAGCACATTTTAATTACTTTTATTTTCTACAATATAAAATTATATGACATTTGAATCCCACCTTTACAAAAGCCCTAGGGTTTTAAGGACAGTGGGTTTGTCACTTAGAAGAGCTCTAGTAGGAAGGCGGTGATCTGTTTACAACGAGACTGCACGGAGCCATGCTCTTCCCACCCCCTGATCAGCTCCAGTCTGACCCTGTTTTGTCTGATATTGTCTTGGGTGGTCTGTCTCTGAGAAGTGATGAGAGGGACAAAGTGTACTGTCAGAAGCACATGAAGGTCATGTTTCCGTGACCTTCCAGGCCTGCATCCAGCCACTCTGGGCTAGTGGCAGTGGTCCATGTGGCAGGGGCTAGAGACCAACAAAGCAGATAGGACTCCCTCCTGCAAGCCGCCTTTGAGACTGTGGTCATCATCAAGCCAAGGGGAAGTCTTGCTCTGAGTCAGCACCTGTACCCCCAGACAAGAGTGGGCTGGAATTGTAACAAGGTTGCTCTGGTCCTGGGCATGGTCCTGAGGGCCCATCACTACCCACCTCTCCATCCACCAAACTGATGGGCCTGCCAACGTGCCACCTCCCTGCAGAGCTGGAGGCATCTAAGAAAAGGAGCACCCACCCCCATCCTTGGCTCTGACTTTCTCTTACCTCTTGGACCACTGAGGCCGGGAGGTCCCTGATCTCCAGGTGGACCTGGGTGAGGAATATCACCCTCCGGAGCTCTTCCTCTCGCACCTTTGGGACCAGGTGGCCCACGTCTGCCTGAGGAACAAATTCAGACACTAGTCTCATTATGTCTGGGAAGCGTGGACTTAGCTATTGACAGAGGAGCAAAATGCATGCTTTTTCTCACCTGGGGGCCCGGGGGGGCCTTTTTCTCCAAATGGACCTGGAGGAGAAATGCCTGGGCTTCCTCGGTCTCCTGGATCTCCTTTCAACCCTGGTGTCCCCATTGGGCCAGGTGGGCCTATTGCATGCAAACCTTAATGAAGATAACAAGGAAAAGAGCATTAGCACAGAGTCTGCCGAGGTGCCTGGAAAGGAACTACTTCCAAATTGGGGCGTGGCAAGACAGCTGGTTCTGTTGAGAGCAACCACTGACTGCACGATCTCCCTGGCTCCATTTACTCTCCTGGCACCAACACACCAGTCAACCACAGGTGTTTATTGTGATTGCCAGGTTTAAGAAATAACAGCTGAGTGACTCACCCTCCAACCTCTATGAGGGAGAGTGAAAATAAGTTAGATCCAACAATAAGTAATATGAATGAACTGGTTTGAAAGTCAAGGTGGAAACTGGTGGATAAGTAGAACTCATGTGGATTTTCATGTGGACTGAGGACACCACTGGTGTCTTAGAAGGGACACAGATTTTAGCAGACTATTTGGAAGAGCCGCGAGAGGAATCCTAGGTGACCTAAATGACTTCTTGATTTTCCAAACTGAGTCAAGATTTTGTCTCTTTTCAACAGTTATTCAAACCTACTAGCACCAAGTCAACTCCTTCCCCTGGGTCCCTCAAATCCTCCTGTTTGATTTCAGCTACTTTGTCTGATTGTGAGCTATTTGTCTGAGAAACAAATGTGCACTGTATTAAAATAATGAAATAAGTTAAAATGCAGTTGTTGATGATCAGCCTATTTGTGATATAAAAATAACAGCAATTTGTTCAGGTAATTTGTTTTAGCAGCAGGCTATTTGAGGGATGCTAAAAGCACTAATTAGAGCCACGTGGTTGTGCTTGGCATGACTACACTTAAAACAATACAAAAAAGAAACCCAACTATTTATTTGTTATTCATAACATTTTGAAATTTAACTCCACCTAAGCAATTATTCAGAGCATTTCAATAGACAGTTCCAAGCAGTATCAACAAAAGGCCCTGCAACCAGTCATTCCTTTTTAGAATATTCTCAAATGGCATTTTTATATAAAAGTCATATTCAGCAAAAAAAAAAAAAAATGTTCCAATCAATCTGTATCTCATAGCTAATCCATTTTCTTAGTTTTGAAGCCCCAATCTTGTAAAGTGAGAGGACACTGGGGCAGCTCATAGTCTACTGACAGCAGCTCAGTTTCTTGAAAATGTTTCCTCTTGGGCTTCTCTGCTGGTACAGGGAAAGTCTCAGCACTATCAAGCTCTCCACATCCACTGCTGCATGAATTTGAGCCCCAGTCAGGGAGCTACCCATGTGGCACAGCGGACCTCTCTTGTCTCCTCATTGCTCCCCTCAGCAGCGTATTTCAGTAGATCTGCCTGTTCTGCTCCCCACTCTGTCTCTGGCCAATCCTCCCACCCCCCACAACTGGCCTAGACCCCAGTTCTGGTATGCATGAATAAATAAAAATAAAATCTTAAAAAAGAAAGTAAGAAAGAAAATGTTTCCTCTTACCTGCAGCACCTTTAGTTCCTTTCTGACCCTTTAAGCCATGCAGGCCATTCAGGCCTGGTGGCCCAGCGGGACCTGAAATAAATCACAGGCCCGTGACCCTCAGGGAAGACCAGGCACTGAAGTTCACTGGCCCCACCTGCTAGGCTCTGTCCTTTTCTGAGGGCACAGTAAGATCCCACAGTCTAGAGGTCATCATCAGGGCCTAGTCCATGCCAGTGGTTATTATTTAACAAATTCATTTAATGGATATTTTCTGCTAAGACAGCTTAAAGCACTTTTTTTTTGGTACAACTGTTGATTTATGACCCTACCATGATCATCTCTTCTTCCAATGAGACACAGAATTCTCACCAGTCTAGAATTACTGAATCTTGGTATAAGAAGTGACCCTTTCACTACATGCAAAAGAATGAAGCTTGACTACTACCTCACACCATGCACAAAAGCCAACTCAAAATGGATTAAAGAACTAGACATAAGACCTGAAACCATAAAATATATGGAAGGAAATATACGTGAAACACTACATGACATACACCTCAGTAACATCTTTACAGACACATCACCCAAAGCAGTGATAGTGAAGGCAAAGGTAAACAGCTGGGACTACATCAAATTAAAGAGCTTCTGTACAGCAAAAGAGACAATAACAAAAACAAAGAGACACCCCACCGATTGGGAGAAAACTTTTGCACACAACACTAATGATACAGGACTGATCACAAAAATATACAAAGAACTGATGAGACTCAACAAAACAAAGTAAATAATCCAGTCAAAATTGGGCAGAAGAGCTAAAAAGAAACTTCTCCAAAAGGGAAATACAAATGGGCAACAGGCATATAAAAAAATGTTCAACATCACTTGTCATCAGGGAAATGCAAATCAAAACTACCATGAGATACCACCTTACACCAGTGAGAATGGCACATATGAAAAAAACTAGCAACAACAAATGTTGGAGAGGATGTGAAGAAAAAGGAACTCTCCTGCACTGCTGGTGGGAGTGCAAACTGGTCCAACCACTATGAAAGCTGTGTGGCGATTCTTCAACCTGCTAAAGATGGAGCTTCCATATGATGCAGCAATCCTAGGTATTTACCCAAAGGACACAGAAATATTAATTCCAAAGGGCACCTGCACCCTTGTGTTTATAGCAGCACTATTTACAATAGCTAAGCTATGGAAACAACCCAAATGCCCCAAAACAGATGACTGGATCAAGAAGATGTGGTACATATACATAATGGAATATTACTCAGCAATCAAAAAAGATAAAACTCATGCAATTTGCAGCAACATGGATGGAGCTGAAAGGGATCATGCTCAGAGAAATATGGCAGAAAGACAAAGAAAAATACCGGATGGTCTCACTCATAGCAGGAATTTAGAAAATCTAAATAAAGGACCAGGAAAAAACCTAATTATAATAAAGTAAAAATCAAAATCAGCAAGCAACTATAAACCAGAGATATGCTACAGGGTGGGGGTTTGGCGGGAGGAGGGAGTAGGATCAAAGCAAGGGGGGTGGGAATTGTATGGGGACTATAACCAAGAGGAAAATGCATGCATTGTGCAAAAATGAAAATGATGTAAAAAATGTATAAAAGAAAAAAATGAATTAAAAAAAGAAGTGACCCTTGATTTGATGACAATGAAATCATATTAGATGAAGAAAGAGATTGGACAGGAGCAAACTCAGGCTTCTTCATCCCTGGCTCAGGATCTTTTTACTCTGCCATGGTCTGCTAGTGCTAATTTCTTCAGATCTAGTCAGGCAAATGTAGTAAGACAATAAGGGTGGGTGGGGCCTGTGGCATACTGGAGAATTCATATCCTACCTAATTTCTGTTTTCAAGCACTGTGCTATTCTGAAAGAACACGCCTCAGGTCATGTTTGACTACATTTGTAACCACTTCATTGGGGAAGAACCATTCTGATGCTACTTTACAGAAGCTAAATTTATTTCATGTTAATCATTGAAAACTCCAGTCTCTATAACTAGATATATCTCATTGATGCCTTCCTCTTCTGTCAAGATCTTGTCAGACATCAGGATTATTCTTTAAGGAGTCATTTACCAAATTTACTTCTCACTGGACACCTATAAATCTATAGGTTTATACATATATACATTTATAACATCAATATTTATACCATATTTGTAATAGATACCATTTTAATATATACAATTAACACTTCAATTATAAGTTACTTATAGAACTGAAATATTTGAAATATATATTTGTAATATGTAAATACATAGATCTAGAGGGAAAGCATAGAGAGAAAAGAGGGAAGGTAAGAGGGAAATAAGGAGGGACATAACTAATAAGCACACAACGTCACTTGGGTGCTTCAAACATGTCTTATTCAACTGATTGGTTTGGGGGAAAGAAACTCCTTAGCCCCTGGTCAAGCCTGGTAACCTCCTATTCCATGAATGGATCCTCCATCCTGCAGCTGTTCTATCCCATCCAAGGCTAAAAGCCAGTTGTTCATTCAGTTTCCGGTCACATGCTTCAAATTTGTGATAAAAACCTTCTCAGTTTATGTGACCAACACACAGACGTGCGCTCACCCACCCCGACACACAGCATTCCTCCAGGCCCTTATGCTGTTGCTCATCCAACATATACAACAATCAAGTCTTTGGATAACTGACTGACTTTAGGACTTTGGGCAAATTTTTTGAGGGCAAGACCAAGTCCCATCAGCCTTTTCCTCCCCCACATTTAGCATATATCCCAATGTGAACACATTTAGTTTTCAATATGTTTGTTGAATGAGCGAGTGAATGCAGGAGCAGAGATGTTGAACAGGGAGGGAGAGGGATTGAGAAGGTGGAGAGGAGCTTTAAAAAGACGTGCTACAGTTCCCATCTCAAGTCAGGGCCTTCTCTGATAGATTGATAGGATGGATGAATGCGATGTGGGGAATTAGAAGAATCCATTTGTATAGAAATAATTCAAGTGCTAATTACTCTCTATTCATTAAAGAAGTCCTCTGTGGACTGAACAGAAAAGGACCAGTTAGTTGGTTCCATTCTATTTATTATCAGCTCTTGAAATGGATGTTATTCTATTTTTAAAATCTAAACTTGAGATTGGTGCAAATGAGACATATTCTCTTGCACCAAAAAAAATAATAAAAGGGGGGCAGGATGCCCTTCTTTTCCCTAAAGCTTTTCTTTCCTAGCTACTTTTAACAGTTCTGGCTTCGTTTATTTTCTAATCCTCTTCCCTACGTATGAGCCAACGTCTCAAGTTTGCACCAAAAGAACACAGAGACCTTCTTTATCTGCCAAATCTGGATATTTATTGGCATCTATCTATCTGAAAAAATAATAAATTCTTTGAGATCACTTTGCTATTTCAATGTGTTTGGATCTTCAGCTTCAGCCACCATGATTGATGGCTCCGAGGACGTGGCACTCGGGGGCGGGATGTCTCGGCTTCTGCCAAGCCCCCACTGTCACATCAACACGTCCAGATCCTGGGTTGTCACAGTCCCACCCCTCACCATTGTTGCACTGGCCGACCCTTATCTGACCCAGTGTTATCTTCCCAAGCTGAATGCAGCTACATCTGGGTAGGTTTTTAAGGGCAATTTTTCCTTTTTACTGAAAGCTTTTTATCAATCCCATCTCTAAATCAGAAAGTTGTTCATGCATAAAATATATACAGTGCAGATGAGAGGCAATTAGGCTAACAAAGCACATTCCTTGGTAATGAGGAAGTTTTATTCACCTCGCTGGGCCATCCTCCTGCTTCATGCCATATTTAAGACCGTGTCTCAAAGCAGGCAGGCAACGCCCCCCACTTCAGAATCATGGCCCTCTCCAGTCACAATCGGAGCTGCCATCTGTGTTAGCCAGTCAGCTCGGGGTGACTGGACCCTCACTCTGAGTTTTCCTTCTGTTGTAAAGCCTGAACATACTTCTCCAACCCCAGGGACCTTTAGACAGGTTCTATTTTTAATAGGGTGACCACTTCATCCCTGTCTGCTGGGGACTCTCCCAATTTGAACACAAAAAATTCTATGTCCTGAGATCCCTTCAGGCCCAAGCTAACAGGGACAGCTGGTCACCCTAACTCCAGAGCTGACTGGGAAAGAGAAACATAGGTGACTGCAGCTGCAGAGGATGAGTGAACCAAGTTGAAAAAGTATCAAACCAGATTCTAACATAAGACTGAATTCTATTATTTGCAGGTGCCTCCTAAGGGAACACACAGAGTATAAGACATGGCCTCCTAACCCAGGAAGCCTCAGATCCCAAATGCACCTAGTGACAGGCACTGACGAGATGATGGAGGGAAGAAACAATCCTGACTTGACAGAACAAACCGGGCAATTACATTCAGGGTGTAAGTGCTGTGGGGCGGGACAGGAGGGGAAACTCGTGTAGTGGGAGGGGAGAACCTCTATAATTTTTCACAGCTCTAAGCTGCAGAGCATTTCTTTTCTGATAAAAGACATTTCAAGGTGCTTTTTTTTTTTTTGCTTATGCAACATTTTACTTGCTGCCAGCCCAAATAACCCAATCCACATTCTTCACACTTGTCATGCTGCAGCGAGCTGTGTCTGGGGCTCCAGGATTCCATCCTTACATGAGTTTGCCCAGTTAGGGATCGAGTGTCTTCCTTTTACAGGGCTCATGTACTTGAGAATTCCTATCTAGGAATCAAGCCATTTGGAGCATATGTTTAAATTAAAGTTTAAATCTGACTGAACACAAGCAGGACGCAGAATCCATATGGCTTGTTGTAGCAGAGCAAACAACTTGGAGTTCAGCAGCTGGTTTGTTCAAACAAGATAATCAGTCCCTTTGACTTATTTAAAACAGACTTCAAATATTTAGTTTCTCTGTTCAAAGTGTTTCTGCGGGTGTGTGGTTCATTTTTATAGCGGCATGATAAACGGCAGCAAGGAGTTTACATTGTAGCTGTTTTAAAATTTAGGAATGTATCCCACTGCTTTGTTTTAAGACTCGTTGCTCTGGGTGGTTTGCGGTGGAACAGTGTCACTGCATGGCCAGGGGGTGAGACTGCAGCAGCGTCTGCGCTAGGCCAGGCTTGGGTTGAGCTTCACTCTCTTTCTCATGTTAACAAGTGTAGTCCTTAGTCGTTCGTGGCACAGAGTTATGATGCAACTGGAGATTACTTTCTTGGGTAAATCTGTTTTTCAACCAAATTCATTAACTCTTAGTCATCTAATAACGGGTCGAACTGGAGTTCTTGGGTACATGCAAACTATTTCCAGGGAAGGAAGAATCAGCATAAGCATGAGGCCTGCCAGTGTGAAACTGGGTGTGCAGGCCCAGACACCGCGGGAATCCAGCTGTTTTACTAAAGTGGAGGGGGCAGCAGGGAGACGTGGGATACAACACAAGCGGTTAATAAGGGGAAATGATTTCTTTTCCCATTTCTTTTCTTTGGTTCTTTAACAAGTTGATTTTGTAGACTCTCAAGAAAAGTGCCAAGGACTCCTTTCACCAAGGCTTCAGGGATTGCCCGCAAATGGGCAAAAAATGAGAGAAACTCTTCAAATAATAAAATTATCATTTAATAATGATCATTATGACAAATCTAGGGACTTCACAGGACTGAAAATGCCAATGAAGAGGGAAAAGAATGGTACAGAGATAGCTTGTCCCGGGATGAGGACTTTCCCCATCAGGTTAGGTGGGCACACAGAAAGATAGAAATGTCTCATCTCTTCAAAATAAATGACTCCTCCTCCACAGGACCACATCTGGTAATAGTGCCATGTTACTCCCTGGAAAACTGGCTTTGCCAGCCAGCAGATGGGTGGAAAGATGAGTGTAGAAAGACACTTGGATTTTCAGAACAATAAAACAATTGTGCCAAAAAGGAAAGGCTTCCAACTCTTTTGAGAGGAGGTACTTTTTGTTTTACCAAAATGTATACTTTTATGAGTCAAAGAACTCAAGGTTAGTGGGAGGCAAAGGAGGGAGGAGGAAATAGAAGGGCTTGGTTATGGGGACCTACCAAGTAAGGCTCACAGCTCCATCTGCTGATTTAGGAGACACCCTCAACTTCATAGCTACTAACTCAGTTCTCGTTCGCCTACTTGTTTATTCATTCATTCATTTATTCATAAAATTATAAATATAATAACTTCCTCCAGACTTATTGGGTACCTACTGGGTGCTGAGGATGTACAAATGGTCCTTATTTTTTTTAAATCATTCTATTTGGTGAGAAAGATCTCTAAACAAACATGATAACATCATTTATGTCGGTTCACCCAAAGTACCCATGGAAAAATACTTTTTCTAAAATACAAGAAATGGTATGAAGAAAAGTAAGTACCATTGATGAACAGTGGGATATGAGATTTGTAAATAATATATTTTATTAAATTGCATTATGTTGTGCTATGTTATATATTATTATATGATATGATATAATATTCAGATGTATATTATAACCTCTCTACTATTATCTTTAAAAGGCTAAAAAATTCAAATAGGAAAAAAAAATTGAATCTAACAAAGATAATGAATACTAATGATTCTTTCTCCTTAGCATCTTATTCTCTTCTCATCCATTCATCGCAGTTAGAAATGTATATTTATTTACGTACCTATTTTTAATGACTGTCTTTCATGCTAAACTGTGAGCTCCATGAGGGTAGGAAACATGTCTGGTTGTTTTTATTTCTTTCAAAACTGTGTACCTCCTGTCTAACACAGCGTCTAGGACATAACAGGAGTCTAAGTGGAGAGAGAATACATGAATAGGGCCTTCCTGGTGGCCTAGGGGTTGAGTTGCAGCGCTGTCACCACTGTGGCCTGAGTTGAATCCCTGACCAGGGAGCTACCCACATGGCACAGCAGACCTCTCCTGTCTCCCGCTGCTCCCCTCAGCAGTGTATTTCAGTATATCCACCTGTTCTGCTTCCCACTCTGTCTCTGGTGACTCCTTTCACCCCCACCTGCCGCACCTCTGGCCTACACCCCGGCTCTTCTATACAATAAATACATAAATCTTTCTTTAAAAAGAACACATGCATAGGTCAAAACACTATGGAACTAGGGGACAAACACCAGATAGCAGCGCTATCACTAGGAGAAGGTGGGGCAGGAACTAGGCGAGCTCTGCCCGAAGCTCTGAATAAGAAAGACTAGAAGGAGCTACTGGCATCCGTGGGAAAGACCCTTGACCCAAACAGGGGCCCCCGGGCATCTGTGAGACACTGAGAACTTGCCCCGGTGCTGGAAGGCCTTTGACCTTGTGTTCCTTTTGACTTACCTTTTACTCCTGGAAGACCTGCTGTCCCTGAGTCCCCCATGAGACCTCTTGGCCCAGGATCGCCCATTTCTCCTTGATGTCCCTTCCGCCCAGGCATTCCTGGATGACCTGAGGAGAAGAGGAGAGTTCTGCAGACACCCAGATGCACATGAGTGACATCAACCAGGAAGACCACCGAAGTACCTAACTGATGAGTAACAGGAACATTGTTTTATTTTTCTTTCTGGACCTCCTAACTCTAGGGGAAAATCTGGACTTGACCTCAAGGGGAGAAAAATACAAGTCTAAATTATTGAGTATGCCAATTATCACTTAAAACTCTAGCTTTATTCCAAATGGGCAGGAAAGGGAGCCCTTCAAATGTATTGTGTGTGTCATGCAAAAGAATGAAACTAGACCACTACCTCTCACCATGCACAAAAATAAACTCAAAATGGATAGGAGAACTGGACGTAAGACCTGAAACCACAAAATATATAGAAGAAAATATAAGTCATCGCAATAACATCTTTAAAGACTCATCACCCAAAGTGAAGATAGTCAAGGAAAAGATAACACCTGGGATTATATCAAACTGAAAACTTCTGTACAGCAAAAGAGACATTAACCAAAACGGAGAGACACCCCACTGATTGGGAAAAAATCTTTGCACTCCATCCAACTGATAAGGGACTGATCACAATGATATGCAAAGAACTCACAGGACTCAACAAAAATAAAATAAACAATCCAGCCAAGAAATGGGCAGAAGAACTTAAAAGACATTTCTCCAAAGAGGAAATGCAAATGGCCAACAGGCATATGAAAAAATGTTCAACATCCCTTATCATCAGGAAAATGCAAATTAAAACCACACTGAGATACCACCTTACCAGTGAGAATGGCACATATCAAAAAAACCAGCAACAACAAATGTTGGTGAGGATGTGGAGAAAAAGGAACACTCCTACATTGCTGGTGCGAGTGCAAACTGGCCCAACCACTAGGGAAAGCTGTCTGGAGGTTCCTCAGTCTACTAAAAATGGAGCTACCATATGATCCGGCAATTCCACTACTAGGGATCTACCCAAAGGACATAAAAACATTGATTCAAAAGACCACCTGTACCCCTATGTTTATTACAGCACCATTTACAATAAGTAAAACCTGGAACCAACCCAAATACCCAAAAATAGATGACTGGATCAAGAAGATGTGGTACATATACACAATGGAATATTATTCAACAATCAAAAAAGATAAAATCATGCCAACTGCAGCAATGTGGATGGAGCTAGAAGGAATTATGCTCAGTGAAATAAGCCAGAAGGAAAAAGAAAAATACCGGATGGTTTCTTTTATGGCAGGAATATAGGGAAGCCTAGTAAGACATCCGTGTAAAAAAAATAATAACAACAGTACAAAACACAACAAAGCAAAACCAGACAATTAGAAATCAGAGACCTCCTGCAGGGGAGGAGGAGGGAGAGGGATCAGAGGGAGCCAGGGAGGAGCACAGGGGATGAGGTGATGGTGCACGGGTGCATTGGGGAAGGAAACTCTATGGGGACTCCACCTGAGGGGGTGGGAGAAGCAAATATTGTTTCAAAATGAACAGTGATATAAAAAAAAACTAATTAATAAAAAAATGTACCACGTGTGTGAAATTTGCCTTAAGTCTAAAGGAGAAAAGAAAACACCTAAAGGTGAACACCTGAAGCCTCTGTCTGCTGGACCATCAGATTAAGGCCTGGCACCTGCTTCACACTTCCCAGGTGTTGTCTTAGTTTTCCCCAGACTAACCCTGAGACTGCCTCCAACTTACAGGTGAGGAACAGGTAAGTTTAAGCGACTTGTCCAAAGTCATGGAAAAGGGTAAAGCCAGAGTCAAACCCAAGTCCAGCTGAAGGATGGCTCTTTCCAACACACCAGGAGATACACGAGTGCCTGGGAAGGTTCCAGACTCTGTTCACAGTACCTGGACAGCCTGGTGGCCCAGAGGAACCCGGCAGTCCTGGGTTTCCAGGGGGTCCTTTGCGCCCTTGAATACCAGGTAAACCTTGCTCCCCGGGAGCTCCAAAATGTCCTAAAGAAAAGGAATGAAACATCTGAGTAGTTGCAGGTTGCTCCTGAGACAGGGAATCTATAAAACCTCCAACTTCGGCCATCCCTTTTCTAGTCTTATTTTTTTAATATTTATAACTTTTTTATTGATTACTTTAAGGGAAAATGGGAAATAGAATACCAACAATCTTACTAACTTAACAATTTTCATATGCACATGATATGCAAATAATACCTGTGATTTCATGTTCTAATGTTTTCAATTAGCATTGTATCATGAGTGATTTTTCAAGTTTGTCATAATTTGCCTAATTTTAAATGACAGCTTGCAGTTTACTGAGCATTTTTAAATGACAGCTCATAGCTTATTGAATTAATCTTAATTAAATTAATTCACCTAATAGCCCCGTTTCATTGACCATTCAAGTTGTTTCTAACTCATCTCCATTTTGCATGCAGATCTCTCTATATCTTAAATCGATTTTTTTCTCCTTAGGAACAATTCCTAAGGAAATATGCATGAAAAATTCCTAAGGTAATATCTGGGTTCCTTTTTATGCATTTTAAGATGATGAAATATTAAAAGTAAATCACAGACATGGAATTTCATCCTTAAAAAATTCAGGAGATATGTCTGAAAAGTAACATTTTCCTATGTGGAAAAATCATTATCACAGCCAAGAAAATGAATAGCCATCCTTAATATTCTAACACTCATTCCAGCATAATTCACAGCTGGTTTATCCACCTGTATTCTATTCCAGAATTATGCACTGCATCTGGTGGCCATACCCCTAAAATTAAATAAAGAAATATAAAAAAGTCCCTTCTCATGTCCCCCACTTATTGCAGAGAATAGTTTAGTAGTTCTTGACCCCTCTAGAACAAACCATTCCACACAGGGCTGCTCGACGGTTTGCCCAAGTTTACCACCAGCTCTCACCACCACGTGGACTCCATCCTCAATTGCATGGTTCAGAGCTCTGGGAGCCTGTTCTGAGGACTTATTAGCCCATTGACTTGTTTTCTTGCTCATTTGGTAAATATAAAATGATGTTTCAGTTTGACTTTAAATTTCACTTCTTTGATTGCTAGAGAAGATCATTTCCCTGCGTTTATAATGGATGACGTTAATACAATTCACATTTTACAGACTAAATCTAGAATCAGTGCTAAAAATGACCCATTGAATCTGCGAATACCAGTCCAAAGACAGAGTGGTATCATCATTATTTATATTACACAGATGTTAGTCTATTTCCTGATTGAATTTAAGATCTATGTGTCTCACTCGCTGTGCTTTTATTGACCCTGGAAACATTCCCACAGTAAAGGTTAGGCAGTGTCAGCCTCATCTCCAGATGGAAAAATTCAAGCATTCAAAAACCTGCCTTCCTGATCACATTTGTCTTAAGAACAGAACTTCTGCTATAGTCTGTTCTATATTTTCTCTCTGAGTTGAATATGGGGAGGGGGTGCAGAACTGAACCCCGTGCGATCACAGAATCACCCGTGACCGCTGCAGATCTAACCTTTCTTCTTAGGCTCGTTGAAATTCAATGCAGCCTCGTCTAGTCAATGGAAATTGCACATTTCAGTAAACTGTGCTGGTGAAATACGCATGAGGTCATTTCAATATTTTAAGCTAAAGCCATGACATATGGGAAAGGGACTGACTTAAATGGTGATAACCACAGGAGGCCAGAAAATTAGGCCAAGGCAAATTTTCCTGGACGAGTTAGTGTAAAATAACTCAGACTTCTGATTTTGAACAGAAAATATTAGGTACTTTCGAAGCCTTCCATTTTGGACTCCTTTTGTATTATAAAAGTTCACTCTCTTCAGGGTTTACATGAAAATACTATAGTGTAGAATATGCTTTTAATGTTTTGCTGACTGCTAAGGATGATGTTGACAATAATTACACTTTACATTTGTGTAGCTATTTTCAGCGTACAACTTGCTTTCAAGGAATCTCATTTGATCCTTACACCAACCTTGGAACATACAGAGGGACCATCTGCAGGTGAGGAAACTGAGCTCAGAGGTAAGCCATGTTCCCAAGAGCACAGGAGGAGTGACAATGACACTGCCCTGGCCCCAGAGTTCCCTCCAAGTCTCCCCACTCCACTGTGATAATATGAACACCCCCGATGCTAACTTCAGAGCTACTTCCCCTCCAAATATGTGCATAAGCTGGGGCCTCCCCGGTGGCACAGCAGAGAGCGCAGCACTGTGAAGCTGTCTTCAGCCTCTGCAGTGCAGGTTCGATCCCCGGCCGGCCGTAGAGATTCCCACATGGCGTGGCAGACCTCTCCTGTCTCGCCCGCTGCTCCCCTCAGCAGTGTATTTCAGTCAGTCTGCCTGTTCTGTTCCCCACTCTGTCTCTGGTGACTCCTCTCACCCTCCCACACCTCTGACCTGTACCCTGGTTCTTGTATGCATAAATAAATCTTTACAAAAAATGTGTGTAAGCGATATAATTCAGTTAAAATATATTATCTAAATCTAATTTACCAAGTCAGCTGTAAAAGACCCAGATGATTGCTAGAATGGAGGTCTAACAGCCAAAGGAGCCACTGCAATGGCAAAAAGTTCCTTTTCCACTTTCATCTGGGAAAGTGATTCATAAGAAACAAAATGCCCCATAATAGTTTTGCTCAGATATTCTGTTATATGTATTTATTGCCAAAGAGAATTTTAAGTTAACGCACAAAACTATTTTTCAAGAAGCCCATCGAAATAGAAGCCTGTTTCCTAACTTGTCCATTATCAGCTAAAATGATGCTGGACATGACTTAGTTAACCAGTCATCTCTGGATGGACATTTGTTCTCTTCATGCAATGGTCATTCCCTTAATTAAAGATTTGTGTCTTTTACTACCAATGCAAGTTTCCACAGTGCCAGACAGAAGGGAGAACTAATTTATAATTATACCATTTCTATAAAGATAAAGATATATACATTGATATATAGGAGAATGTTCTAGTTTTCCAATGAATCTTATTATTATTTTTTTTTTTTTAAGAAGAAAACCATGTAGCTATACCTGGACATCCAGGGCTACCTGGCTCACCCTTTGGACCAGGTGGTCCAAAATGGCTGGCAGGGTCACCTTGGTTTCCTGTAAGTGATGAAACACACACACAACATTATGTAATTTAATTATGACTCCATATAAGTGACTTATTAACTGTCATGATATTTGTCTTTACAGTCTGTCTTCAAAATTCCAGATGATAATTTTTGGGGGGAAAAAAATCTTTTTTTCCTACATGAGAACAAATGGAAACAAAGATGAAAGATGAGCTTGAAACACAATTTTAATAGTTCATAAGAGTTCTAAGAAACCATAAATCTTAGTGCTTGAATTTCTAATGTACCTAAACAGTTTCAAATTTTGGCATCTATTAAAGAAATGACTTGACAGTGAGTGACTATATCCTATACTGTGTTTTAGAGACAAAAAGCAAAAGTTATCACTCCTTTGGCTGCTACAATCCCATGTCAAGATCAGCAAGAAAGACCAACTTTGTGTCTTGCAAAAACAAAGTGAGCGAGGTAGATGCCTTCCAAGGGGTGGTACACCCAAAGGCACTGTGGGCAAGAATTCCCACAGAGCCTTAGGTTAGCATCCCATTTCCTGGAAACCTGACAAAGGTGGAATGTTAGTCCCATTATAAGGCAATGTTGTTTCTAGCACTGGGTAAACTGAGGCCTGCAGTCTGTCTTGTCAATAAAGTTTTATTGGCACAGCAATGCCCTTTGTTTGAATGCTGCCTTCTGCTTTGCTTTCATTCTACCTGCACATTCATAGACAGTCCCGTAGTTTCCACAAAGACCACAAAGCTGAATATATTCATGATCTAGCCCTTTGAGGGGAGAGGGAGAAACACATTTTCTGATACTTGGCTTATGGTAAATAAATAAATTGGAATTTAAAATTACAATCACAAATCACACGTGGCCCGGGTATTGAGGAGTAAATTCTTACCACTGGTGGGAAGTGGTGGTTTCCTTCTCTGTTGCCCAGACTCTCGTAACTGAGACCCTAAAAGCTGTACTAGTACCATCGGTAAGGAGATGCAGACTCCTGTTAAGGGGGGCGGCTAGTTGCTGAGCAGGCAGGCAGTTGGGGAAGCCCCAGCTGGGGAAGTCCCAGCTAGGGAAGTCCCAGCTGTGCTATCTGGGCTTTCTGATAAGCAGCAAGCTCTGGGAACAGGATGGGGTGACCCAGTGACCCACAGGGTGACCCGAACAAAACCACCCCAGGTGGCACTATCCAATTAACAAAAAGACAACACAGAGTGCTCAGCGCTGGAAGGTTTCCACTTACTTAGTTAAACCCTTAAAAACCTAATTCTTGAGTTGTAGAGTGGCAACCCATTCCGGTCTCCTCGTGAGAGAGCTGTTGCTCTTACTGCTTTGCCCATAAAACTGTCTATCACTAACCTCTCAGTCTTGACACTGAATTCTTTCCACATTCAAGACAAGAACTGAGGAGGAGGGGGGCCAGGCTGGCTCGTCCTGGATCCCTGTGGAGTGGGGGGCTCCTTTGCCAAGGTGGACGGTGCCCACTGATGTGCACCTGCGGTCCTCACACCTGTCATCCATGTAGCAACCTCACAGAAGACAGCAAGGAAGCCCTCGAGAAGGCCTGTGGCCCTACATCCATGCTGTGTCCTCCCTGCCTCCCTTGGGTGGAAACAACAAACATGGGCTAATTGGGTCTTGGGAGTTTGTCTAGAAGAGTCTACAATGAACCCTTGGGTGTTGCTGTTTGCTTGCTCTGCTTTAGTTTCCATGCAGAAGCTCACAGTGTCACAAGTGCCAGGATTATGAGCTTGAAGGGTGGGTTGTTATATTTCCAAACCGTACCTTTATGTCCTTTTGCTCCATTGATTCCTGAAAGGCCAGGGAGCCCTGGAGAACCCGGCTCACCCTGAGTGTTCAGTGAAACACAAGTAAGACCTTAGTTAGGTTTCATATACAAGGGACACATGCCTGACATGACCCAGTTACATCTTCCCATCCAGAGCCAACTTGGTTTTCATGACTTACAGAGGTAAAGACAATCAGAACTGCAATGCAAGCATACTACTATGTGTGCCCAGTTTTTAAAAATTGGATAAAACCCTTTCAAAAGGAGACACTCAGGCCAACAGGCAGCATTCAGTTCTCTATACTTGACTGCAAAGCCAATTGCTCACATAACTTGAAATTTAAGTTTCAAACGAACAAGTTGATACTAAAAGAAATATTATTAGAAGCCATTTCACACCAAAATCTTTTTTAAAATATCCACTTTATTGCAGAGGAACAAATTATATTATACATTTCCCAGGAGCTGGGAAGTAGGCTACTACTATATTCATTGTAAATTTTTGTCTTCTCAAGAGGTGTTTTACCCATGATCGGGAAGACTAAATATATTTACAGCAAAATCCGTGATATCCACAATCAGAGAGGGAGGTTTAGAAACCAGAACTTGGGTCATTTCTCAGGTGACTCTATTCTGGTAGATCAGCAGTCCCAAGTCATATCTCCATGGAGCTCTTTAAAGTGGGGGGTAGTATCTGGAGTGACTTGGTCATCTATGTCAGGGCAACCAAGCATGAGCACTGGTCAGAAATAACAGTAACATCATGGTCTTCCAGAAGGTTCCATTTTTCCACTGGCAGATCCCTTACATTCTAACAGCCAGTGAGAAGGCAATGCTATACACTGGGATTCCTTATGAGCACACCGAGAGCAGAAAGGTTTTATATTTCATCCCTCCCCAGAGAGCAGCCACTTACCTGGTCCCCTGGAAAGCCTGGGAAGCCAATGATCCCTCTCGGCCCAGGTAAGCCTGGAGGACCTGGTGGTCCAGGAACCCCTGGCTGTCCTTTTCTACCAGGGTCCCCTCTGTGGAATCCAGGAGGCCCATGTCTTCCTGGTGCTCCATGCCTCCCTGGCATCCCCTGAAGGCCTTTATCACCTGAGGGGTTGGAAGTGTTACAGCCTTCTTTGTGGAAATCTTGACCTCATCAGTAGTTAGCTGAGGACCTTGATCCTACTTTTGTTAGGAGATAAAGCAAAGGTAGTGGGAATCCTAATTTTTGTCCTAAAGTGCATCAACCCAGTTTCTACCTTCAGAGATCTCTCTGGAAGGAAGCTGCCCAGGAACAGGCTTGGGGCTGTTTGAGTGGGAAGGAAGCAAGCAGGTGGCACCATTTGCCTATAGGCTCATTTACAAATGAAGAAGACTTGACCCAGAGACCTCAACCATTGGTCCCAGGATAACTCATTAGGGAAAGTCATGAAAAGAAGCAGGTCTCAGGATTAAGTGTGCATTTGGGAAAACGAACACCAGGTGGTCAAAATCCTTGCTTTCTGCTGGGGGGAGGCACAAACAGAGTTGCTGGTTCAGAATTTACAATTTAACCAGCCCCAGGGGATTCATCTGCGCATTGATGTTTGAGAAGCACTGGTGGGAATGACTTGGACAGTTGCCGCGCTATTTATTTTAATACCCACCTGTCCAGACTGGACCACTTTAATCCTAGAACCAATATCATGGAATCACATGTCACTTAGCGACATTTCAGTCAATAACGGAGCTTAATATGAGGTCCGTGTAGGACCTTTACCCATGGAGTGTAGGAGGCTGACCTAGGTGTGTATAAGGACACTCTGGGACATTTGAATGACAGATCACCTAAGGACACATTTCTCAGAATGCATCTCATCATTGAGTGAGGCATGATGAAGGTCTGTCTCAGGATTGATCCCAGTTGGGATTATGCCATTCTAAAAATACATATGAAGCTCAGTTAAGTTTGAGGATGGAAAAGCAAAAACTAAAAAAAAAAAAGTATATAGGGCTATGAGGTTCATTATACCTGGTATTACACATTATGTATATCAGTCAATGTAGCATAAGTGTATATTAAAAAGGCAGCTCTCCTCATTCAGTGTTACGGGAGAAGCTGACAAGTACACTTGCTTGTTTGCAGGGCCTGGAAAGAAGCCAACTTAGTTGATTGGGTAAAAAAAAAAAAAAAAAAAAAACAAAGCAAGTGTTTACCTGCTTCTCCTGGGGTTCCATCATCTCCAGGAGATCCAGTTTCCCCAGTTTCCCCCTTTTTGGAAATTATCGCCATTTCTCCTTCATCTCCCGGGGGTCCTCGGACTCCTTCAGATGTTAAATATGCAACAGCAAAACACACAGGACACCACACATGGAATCCCTCTGTTACCACACTGCATGTTTGGTTTGCAAATCTGCATGTGATCTGCTCGACTGTACTTATGCACGCGGATCGCGGAGCACCAACACTGGTGAGTGACTTCCTGTTACGCTTCTCTCCCAACTTGTCCAGTAACTGGGTTGGGTGGGCAGAGAATGCTAAATTCAACCAAACTCAAAGTCTTAAGTGAAAAATCACAGGTTTGGAAGGGCCCTGTTTGAAAACATGTCTCTTGACCCTGTAAAGTTTGAATTGCCCATATCATTTTTTCCAGTTCCTTAGCTTCCCTTTGAGTCACCTCCACTTTTTTCCTGATGTTAAAAGAACTGACACTTTCCTCAACTTGATTCTCCAAAATGGAGAATTCTACAAATAAGACGGGTAGTTGATAATTCTGCCTTATTTTCATAAAAGCTGTGCTGCTATGGAAGTGTGCTGGAGTAAACGCCAGCCAGCTTGGTGAGAGCCAATTAGTCACAATTCAAGAATTTTGTAAGACAGTTTTACACCAGTGGCAGGTCGAAGTCAGCCATGGTGGGAATACTTATACTGTGGCCATCAGCAAACACTACTCAGGGTATTTAAAAAACTTTTATTTTGGAAATTCAATGTACCAGCGCATCCCTGGCTGGCATTTAATTAACCCAATTAAAATGAATTTTTGTGGGGCCGGCCGGGGAGCAACACACATGGCGAAGCAGACCTCTCCTGTCTCGCCCGTTTGCTCCCCTCAGCAGTGTATTTCGGTCAGTCTCCCTGTTCTGTTCCCCACTCTGTCTCTGGTGAATGCTCTCAACTCCGCATCTCTGGCCTGTACCCCAGCTCTTGTATGCATAAATAAGTAAATCTTTAAAAAAAAAAAAGAATCTTTGTGTTGGATAATCATATAGCAGCACAATAGCACAGCAAACACTTTTTACCTAAGCCAGGGCTGTGACTGACTGATTCCTTGATTCTACATAAATAATTTACAGATGAGTAAAACAAATAGTACTAGCAGAATCAATCAACTAAGAAGCAAAAGTAATTTGAATTAAATAGGAGACTATTTGCTCAAAGCGTTTTGAGGACAAAAACCTTGTTTCCTGAAATTGTCAAGCATCCATTCTCAACCTGGGACAGGAAACCTCACCTCCACTCACGGCCATCTCAGGCGAGGAGGTAAAAACCAACATTTACAGGAATGGGTGAGGATATTTAAACCAATCATCTGGAGCCTTTAATTTTTTTTTATAGTAATGAAAACTCTTCCAGGGAAAGCGGGTGCTTTCTAGCTCAGAGCCTGGCAAACCAGTGCCCCCACTGGTCTCTGCAGGTCGTGAGCAATGGGTGGTTTTGACTCAACCAGAGCAAGACTGTAAGACGTAAGACGTGTTCAAGTTCAGTGACGTTCAGGTTTCAGCGTCCCCTGATCACGGTTGTGTCTGGAGGCTTCGGTGCCCCCAGCACTGGGCTAAGTAGGGGCGAGAGTCCATTCAGCTGGCACTTTGCAAATAATTTTGATATTTTTGCAAAAAAAAAAAATTGAAATAAGTTTTGAGGCCCACGAACCCCACCGGCACCCTGTTCCCTACATTGAGAAGGATTTCTGAAACCCAACAGTAACAAATCAAAGCACCTGTGAACTCTTTCTATGAATAGAAATTTACGTGGGGTGTGTGTGCCGATGCCGAGGTGAGACTGTGCACCTGCAGCCTACCTGGCGTTGTCAACTATTCTCACCTCAGTAAAAAGAAAAAGGTAGAAAATTATGCCATAAATAGGAAAATACATAATAGATAAAAAAAGATATGTAATATTACGTATGATTATAGCATTATCACATTCATATCATTACACAGTGGATGATATAATGATGTTCTACATCATGGACCTATAACAATAAATAATAAGACTCTAGTTGTAACCTGATATAATATATCATATGCCCCAACCCCCTGTTCCATTTACCTACACCAAAGGCTTATAATTATATATAAAACATGTAATTATAGGATTATAATGTATAAATTTAGAGATAATAGCATGTTCTATTAGGACATATGCTGTAATATATAGTATAACATAAAAATTACATTAATCTATTGTTAAAATTAATAAGATTGGGAGGTAAGGAAAATGCATTTTGTTTAAAATTCTGATGCAAACACCACAGAAACGAGAGGAGGAGGGAGCCGGACCGCAGAATATTCCCGATTTCCCCCGAGACCATGTTCACAGGTTCTGCTCAAGCGCTGAGCACAGCCCTGCTCACACGCGCCGCTGCAGACCGCGCTTACCTTTGGGCCCTTTCACTCCCTGGTCTCCCGGGGGGCCAGGACACCCCTTCTGTCCAGGTTCTCCTCTTCTGCCAGGGCGTCCGTCAGAGCCAGGCTGCCCTCGCCCTCCCGGAAAGCCCGGGAACCCGGGCAGCCCCCGGGGCCCTGCGGAGAGAGAACGTGCCCTTCAGGGCAGCGTCTGACAGGCGGGTGCGCTGAGTCTGTGTCCCCCGCAGTCCAGGGGCGACCACAGTCCACCTGCGCAGCTCGCAGAGCGGGGAGTCCGCGTCATTCTCCCGGGCACCGGAGCAGCAGGGTGCCCCGCCTGGTCCCGGCTTCCCCCACACACGCCTGAAGTGCAGACCCTTCTGTTTCTGAGCCATGGTCCCTGCAAGCTGAAGAGGTGGGGCGGGCGGGAGAGGGCAGGGAGAGAGGCGGGAGGGCCGCCCAGGGTGGATGCACTCTGGCCCCGGCTTCATTGGTATCACCCAGTCCCTGGAGCAAAGGGTTTGTGGGATCCCTGGCCCCACCACCCACCCCCGTTTTGCCTCCAGCTGAAGACCCTGCCGCTGGAAGTGACCGCAGCGCGGGCCCAAAGCAGGCACTGCCCCTAGGAAGGACAAAGTCAGGCTGAGCCAAGGGGACATTCGGGGGTGGCCCTAGCAGGCGTCACTTGGCAGAAGACTTCAGCTTTTTAAATGGGACAAATCACGGAAAAGCACCACGTACCCTTTGGGCCTGGAAGACCAGGTCGTCCATGGTCCCCAGGGGGGCCGGCGAGCCCTGGCGGTCCTGGAGGTCCGTCTGCCCCTGGCCATCCCGGGACTCCACGGAGGCCCTTCATTCCAGCTGGCCCAGGGGGTCCCCCATCTCCTGGTTCTCCTTTCTCACCTGGGGCACCTGAGACAAGCCACAGCACAGCAGTGTATGAAGGATGAAGACGCCTCTCCCACCGCTCACGGTGGCTCAAATGGTGCCTCGGTGGGGATTAAATAAAATGATGTTTATCAAGTACAGTAATAGCAGCAGCTCCCCATCAGCCTGAGAATATGTTTTTCTATTAAAAAGAAGGATTAGGGGTGCAGTTGTGGAATATAACCAAAATGAAAATGCATAGATTGTACAAAAATGAAAAATGATGTAAGAATTATATAAAATAAAATATTAAAAATACTCATTGAAACATAAGAAAATTAACGATTAAAAAAAAAAGGAAGGGCAGACAACTTGAATAGATAGTTCCCAGTAGGGATGCATGAATATTATAATGTTTTCATATGGGAAATGGATAGGGGATGGTGATCAAGGGGAAAAAAAAAAACTAATAAAAGAAAACTTTCCAGCTGCTTCCTGAAGCCACAGGCAAGTGAATTTTGTTCACTGTGATGAGAGAATCATAGAAGTAGAGCAATGTCATCTAGTATTACTGGTGCTAGAAATAAAGCCGTTGTGGCAGAGTCCGCCCCAATCTCATTTTGATCTTGCAATACGGCGCATTTATTTATTTTTTCTTTTGTAGACTAACTGGGGTGTAGGTTAGGTGAGAGGATGAGAGGATGAGGATGAGAGGATTCACCAGAGACAGAGCAGGGAGCAGAACAGGCGTATCCACTGAAACACACTGCTGAGAGGAGCAGCAGGCAAGACAGGACATCTGCTGCAGCACGTGGGTCAGCTCCCTGGCTAGGGATTGAACTCAGGCCACACCAGCGATACTTAACCCCTAGGCCACCAGGGAGGCCCAGACAGTGCATTCTAGCATTGGGATAAGGTCAGTAGGATTGAAATGATAGGACAAACTGCACAGCAAAGTGAATTGAAGCTCCTGTTGGAAACAGTCCCCTCACATCATATGTTAAGAAACACCCCATCCTGGGTCTAGCTGAGTATGCCAAGAGCACAAGGTCCTGAACCCTTTTTACCTGGGCTCGAGGTTGTGCTTGCAGTGAGCAACCTTTAGAGATGATACAGTACCTCCCTCCAGGGAGAAAATCCATCTTGCTGGCTATAAAGGAGGGGTTTCCTGGCTCTGTCTCTTCTCAGATACTGTACCCACTGTGCATGCATGCATGGTATCCATAGCCCCTTGATGTCACCCCATAAAGCTTGGGTGACTTAGGGAAATGATAAGAACAAACATGTAGCTCAGGCTACTTGCTAAGCCATGGATACTAAAGGCCTTTGCCTCTGGGCCAGGAGTCTCTTACGCTGGCATCCACAAAAGAGCAAGAGCTGAGCGTATTCCTGTGTGAGTGAGTTATACCCTTCCCAGGTCTTGACACCTGACACTCACCTGGACTCCCTGGAGCCCCAGGGAGGCCCGGCGGGCCTGGTCTCCCAGGAGCGCCTCTTCCACAGGAATGAGCAGGTGATCCTGGCACACCTGGAAACCCTGTCATCCCTTCTCTGCCTTTAGGACCTTTGAGACCTGGAGGTCCGGGCATGCCAGCTGGTCCTGTAACAAGACAACGCATTCATGACATTCACAGCATGAAACTCTAGAGACTGCAGAGGGCCACCAACGTGCTGGGCATATCCATACCAGAGTGGACGTTTGATCCTGGATCAGCACTCAGTGAGTTAAGTCTCTGAATGGATTTCCTTATCAGAGAGTGTAGTAAGCACCAAATGAATTGGAAACCCATGCCTGGCTAGAGTTATTTGATAAGGTTATGTAGACAACAAAGAAGTTGCTTATGCAAATTAAAAAACCATGCAGCTCTCCCTGATTTTAATTAACCTCTAACTTTACAGCAAATCTCCACACTACTACTTTCAACCCCCGTTGGCACTGTATGCATTTGCATTTTGTATGATATTTCAGGACTCAAACTCTCAAATTTTTTATTGGAAAGGCTGTGCCATCATCTTTAGAAAAAAAGTATATTCCCAACATGCCACACCCTCATGTAAAAGTCCATTTTATTTTCTCATGTTTTTGTTTTATTATGGTTCATTTGTTTACATTTTGGAATTCATAATCTCAGTGCACATTCGATGCTGAATTATTTCGCCCTATATGTTAATCTACAAATCTTTTCCATTTTGTTGTAATCTCCACAAACATGATTTTAATTGCTAAGCAATGACTAGTGGTCGTGGGGGTGGGAATGACTTCATTCTCTTTATAGTTTCTGATTCCCTCTCAATTAGGGATATTTTCTTAGCTACAAGAATATTTTCTTATCTACAGCCTTCATCTTCTGCTGAACATTTCTTTTCAATTCGTTTTCACAGGTGAGAAAGTGGAATTACTGGCTCAAAAATTATTTCCATTGACTTCGTAATGTACGATCTTGCCATGTTCCAAACAACTGGGTTCTCACTATCTGACTGGAAGCTCAAAGCTCCCAAGGAAGCCCTCTGAGGATCAAGCATGTGCCTGGCTCTCCTGCCCGCCACTCGCCTGGACAGCCAGTCCGGGTATCTAATAAACACGGGCTTCTCTGGCAGAAAAGAAAAGCAGACAGTGTTTTTAAGAGTCTGGTGTGGGCTCTGCTCTTGGTCCCACCACCCACAGCGCTGGGGAAAGATCCATCTGGACCGCTGGGCCCTGCTCAGCTCAGACGAGACAAATCACAGTCCCTGAGACTGGAATGTCAAGGGCCCCCTGCCTTGGCTGGGGCTCTCGAAGTCTCCTTAGTGATTTCAGAAGAGGATGAGAACCAGTGCCTGGGCCCTCTGTCCACCCACGCCTGCTCCCCCGTGGGAGGAAGGTGCCTCTGCGCTGTCCCAATAACACAGCCTGCCTGGCCGGACTCGGCGCTCCCAGGAGTTCTCCCTGGCTCCAGCCACACTGCTCCTCCTCGTCCCTCGGTCCTGTCCTCCACAACCCGGCAGCAGCGGCAGCGAGCAGCTCAGAGACCCTGGCTGCTGGGTGCCCACATCTAGCGGATGCCCGGCAGCTGCTGAGCCAAAGGAGCTGCCTCGGAGCTGCCTCGGATTCCACAACAACCCATAAGACACCAAGGCGACACCAGGGTGCAGGGTGTTTAAAATGTAACCGGGGCCCATAGAAGAGGGAGAGGCTTGGAGGAAATGTGTGCCACCTGGGCTGCTAAGGAGAGACTGTCTGCACCTTCTGCGGAGCCCTGACCCAGAACCAGCGCACGCCGTGGACAGAAGGTTGGTCCGCGCCTCCTACCTGCAGCTCCAGGACATCCGGGCACCCCTCTCAGTCCTTTTGAACCAGGTGTTCCTGGAGAACCCCTCTGCCCTGGGGGGCCTGGGGGGCCACGAGCAGGGTCTCCTGGGATTCCTTTCTGCCCACGTGTTCCAGGTAAACCGGGAAGGCCTGGGGGCCCCCTAGGGGAAGACCCCTTTTCACCTCCAAGACCTGGCTCTCCCGTGTCACCACGGAAACCTATTAACCACAGAGAAAAGTTTCAAACTGTTAAATAGACAAGTATAGAATTCACAGTAAGACAGCCACCTTGAAAAAAACGCATTTTCTAAAAAATACAGGGGTACCTAAGAAAATTTAGAGAGGCTTAATAGGTAATGTTCCTAGGAAAAATAGTGACTTTGTATTTCCTATAAGCCAGAGATGTTCCCGTAAGGGGTGCCTGCCTGAGCGGTGTCTGCACACAACAGCCGTAGTTGCCTGTAACTCAAGGTGGAGAGGGTCCTGCAAATTTACAAAATTATGACCTAAAAGTCAGCGGAATATAGGTGATGTTCAGGAAAAAACGTATCTGCATCACCTTGGGATCCCGGGCCACTTCCTCACTGAGATCGCCCAGTTTTAGACATGCAGACATTCCAGAAGCGGAAAAACACGCTTACCAGGTGGGCCAGGGACTCCGGAAACCCCTGGTTTGCCTCGCTGACCTTTTTGACCATCCAAACACCTTGGCCCAGGTGCACCCGGACGACCTGGAAATCCCTTCAGACCTAAAAGACTCATGAAAACACAAATCAAATGAGATCAGAATAAGGTGATTCTAAAAATCTATGTTGTCTTTTTAATTTTCACTTGTATCAGAGTGTATTTATTTTGTGTTTCTTAGGTTCTATTGTACACACTAAATACATAAAAATTTTATTTGCTAATTATGCCTCCATAAAGCTAGAAGGAAAATAGAAATTTCTTTGCTTTTTCCCCTAAATATTATACTAAACCATTATTATTTCTGAACCCTAAAGAAATTCCAAATAAACCTGAAAATGACTCTTTTTGACAATATTCTCTACTTAATTGTCAACGATTTTTGGCTGGAAGAATATGTGGTGTCAAGGGGACAAATGGCAGGCCTCTTTTGGCTCGCATGTCTTTTTAATTGGTCCCGCCCCTAAGGAGACCAGTATGGAGGATTCTCAAAATATTAAAAAGAGATGGACCACAGGATCCAGCAATTCCACTCTGAGGCATCTACAAAAAGAATGCAAAAACACTGGCTTGAGGGCCTCTTTGGTGGCACAGGGATTAAGTCTCAGCACTATGAAGCTATCACCAGCCACTTCGACATGAGTTCGATCCCCAGCCGGGAGGTGACCCACATGGCGCAGCAGCCCTCTCCTGTCTTGCCTGCTCCTCCCCTCAGCAGTGTATTTCAGTAGATCCGCCTGTTCTGCTCCCCACTCTGTCTCTGGTGAATCTTCTTACTCCCTGCACCTCTGGCCTGTACCCCAGTTCTTCAATGCATAAATAAATAAAATAAATCTTTTTTTTTTTTTTTAAAAAAAAAGCACTGGTTTGAAAATTAATGCACTCCTGTGTTCACTGCAGCACTACTTACTCTAGCTAAGTTATGGAAAAACCTAAGGACCCAATGAAGGCTGAGACAATTGGGAAGATGTGGTCTATATACACAATGGAATACCACTCTGCTCTAGCCAAGATAAGAACATGCCTTTGAAACAACATGGATGGTTGATGCAAAGTGAAACAAATCAGAAGAAGAAAGGCAAATAGTGGATGATTTCACTTGTGTGGAATACAAAAAAAAACAAAAAACAAAAACAAAGGAACAAACAAAATCAAGCCAAAACAAATCCTGAAAATCTGATTGTAGAATTGAGGCTACCAGAGGGGGAGGAGGGTGCAAAGCAAGGGAGGAGGGGGCCCAGTGGACGATGGTGGAAGATTCTGGGTGCTCTGGTGGAGGGTGGACATGACTACATACATCTGGAGAGGTGTAAGCCTTTACCCCTAAATCATACATAGTATTATAAACCAATGTGACTCCAATAAAAAATAACACAATTTTATTCTCTTAGAATCTGTGAGTTAAAAAGTAAATAAATTCAAAATAGAAACATTTAGCCTGTTAAGTCTTTTTTTTTTTTAGAGTATTTCTACTTTATCGCTGTAAAGCTGTTGCCCGGCCTGGCTCATGTAATTCTCTTGTGAGTCATGTGTGTCCCGGCCCCAGAGCTGATGTAAATGACTGCAAAGGCTGTTTTCCCACAGTCCCTCAAAATCTTAAAATGTTTATAGAAATATCTTAATTAGTTGCCTAACAGTTGTCATTGGTTTATCTATCTTGCCTTTTTATCCTCCGGGAAAGGTGGAAGACCTAATTTCTCATAGCTCGTACCTGGAGGTCCATCCAAACCTGGCGGGCCTGGCCTCCCAGGGTAGGTTACGTTACTAGGAATGGTATCACCTGGAATGAAAAGAGAGCCGTATTCACGTACCTGATAGTCTAATGCAAAGTGCAATGTAGCTGCAGTGACAACTCCATTAGAATATTTTCTCATGGAGCTACTTCTATTCAGAATTTCTAGAAAATCATGCTGAAACCTGAATTTCAATTGTCTGGACAGTTATAAGGAGAATAAGGAAAATACTGATTTCAGGACTGAAACAGTTTTGATCATCAAGAAGAAAAACGCATGTGGAAGCCCATGAATTGCCATTACCAGGGGACTGTATTAGGTAAATGAGTTCAATTAGGCAAGAGGGAGCAGAAGTGTCTAGCCCCGAGTTCAGGAGACTGGGCTCCTGGTCTGGATGTGGAGGGTCCGTGCAAACGATGACGCTGTGGCTTCCTAGGGTCGTGAGGGGCCTGGGCTTCAGTGAGAGTCCCTGGTTTTCCTAATAACTTTGCAGGGTGGAGATTGTCTTCCCCATTTTAATTGAGGAGGAAAACAGGATCCAAAGCTGATGTCTCTGAATTCCCAACTCCTTTAAAATGGCATGTCTCTCTTGTACGACAGAAACTCTATCTCCTCGGGTATTACTTCATTGCCCTCAAATCGAAACTCTATGAGATGAATAAAAATGTTAGATTTTGATGGGCTCCAGACCACAACCTTAAACCTTATCAAATTCTGAGGTATATGCCTTTCTGTGTTATTGAAACGAGAACCAAAGATAATCTAAAATTTCGCAATGAACTATATAGGCATACACTTCACAAAAGAAAAAAAATTTAAATCAATCTTTTTCCACTCTTAAAAAGTTTTCGGCTACCATGCCACAAGTCACTTTATTGCTTGCAATTCGCCTAACTGGTAAAATAGTTTTAAATTCCTTTGTTTTCTCCCTACGATATTTACAAATGAGTTTTCATGGAGGCTGATGTATTTTTAAAGTAAAATCCTATCAGTTTTTATTAAAATACACCACATTATCTCAAAATATTGTCAAAAATAGGTATTTTGAATATATATACGTAATTTTAATTCAGATTATATAAATTGATACTGAGAAACGAATGAAGGCAATTGTGGCGTGCCACACACGCAAAGCCATAAAGACATCTCAGCGCGGGAAGGATTTGCGGTAAATATTGACTGTGCTGTACAGCTTTCATTTGGTTCACAACATTCACGGTTCAAACAGCGACTTGATGAGGTTTTACTGGGCTGTTCCACCGGAGCTGTGAGAACTGCCCACAGAGGAGCACACTTCAGCTCCAACACTCCGCTTGACATTCTGCACACAAAACATTTAAAATTACCTCTCTGGCCCTTCAAGCCCTCAGGGCCCCTCTCGCCTGGGCGTCCTGGAGCTCCTGGTTGTCCTCGTTGCCCGGGGGGACCAGGGAATCCCAGACCCGGAGGCCCCCTGGGGCCTGCTCTGCCTGGGGGCCCCGGAAGCCCCGGAGGCCCTGGACCACCCGGCACTGCGTCCTCATGGTCCCCCTGGAAAGTTTGCAGAGGAGTTGGTTAACATCTGTGCAATTCCCTGCACTCTGGGCTGGTGCAGCAGAAAGCCCGAGGCTCCAGGAGACACGTATTCAATTGCAAATGGGATTTAAAATAAGAACTTAGATTCTTCCTAAAGTTTTACACCCATGTCTGCAAGCATGTGTATGCTATTGGGGTAGGTGGTTCTGCCTCCAACACAGGACGGTGTGTGTGTGTGTGTGTGTGTGTGTGTGTGGTGTGTGTGTGTAATACAGAATAAAAATTTTTGTACACCCTCTCTCTAATATCAAATGTAACATAATACAGAAATATAGAAGTAAAAGCTAGAAAATATTGTAAGATATAGAAATAAATGGATTAAGAAAGATAAAGGGCTCACAAATTGAAAAAGTTCCTATGGATTTGAAACTGTTTTCTTGAATTCTTATTGAGAAGCTACAGGGAAAGACTCCTTCACCATCCATGGCTGGGGACCAGGGGCTGATGTCCTTTTTCCTCCATGTGAGGACTTAAGTGCAGGTTAACTGCCTACTTTTGTTCCTCTGGAAACTTCATAAAAACTGGAAGTCAAGGACATTGCTAGGCAACACTGCTTATGGCGAAATCAACACCTGGTTGCAAAGTTTGTGTCTGGTCTGGAAGAACTATAAAGACCAATGGGGAGCCTTGTAGGGGCTTCCTTAAGTGGTGGCTCCTGCAGCCAGCACATTCCTGGTGGGGTCCCCTAGAGCTGTGCTGTGGAGGTGACAGCTTCTGTGGGGGGCCAGCCTGTCCTCTTGGCCGGGGTGGGGGGGGATCTCACACGACCATCGAGTGTAGAGCTCATCTCTGTCACCCGGCTGCACGAGCGATCTCGAGGACTCTTGTGAACAAGGACACTGCTCTGTCTTCTAAGTGACCAGGTCCCAAATGACAGTCTTGAGAGTCTGGATTGTTTCAGTGAATGTAGGACTATCCCTCTGGGGAGGTCTTTTGGTGGCAGTGAATCAAAAGCTGTTCTGGTTTAAAGCTTGTTGGCCCTGTATTGAGCTCTTGCTTTTTAAATTGAAAAGGGAAAAGAGGTGCTGCGTGACCGTGAAAGTGAAATTCTAAAGCGAAAGAATTATACATACTGGGGGTCCTGGGTCCCCTCTTTCTCCATCATGCCCATCCTGACCATGTTGTCCATGCTGCCCGGGAAATCCCGGTGGGCCGTCAGGGCCTCTTGCTCCTTTGTGCCCTGGGAACAAAGGCCAATAGATACTCGACATGTTCTCAACAGCGGGTGAAGAAGAAGGACACAAAGGACCAAAACTAAAGGCCACAATCTTTATTATTATGAAAGATAAAACCAATGACCTGGACTCTGCTGGGACTGGACAACATTCTTCAAAGTGTCTCAGTTGACTGTAGTCACAGAAAGACAACGATGCAAAAGTCACAGTGGGAAATGACAGTTGCTGACCCCACAGTATGTATTTGTTTGAGAAATGTTCCTTTTCCCATTTCAACAGGAGTTTGTATTTGGGGGCTCCCGACACCACGGGGTCTCCCCAGTTTATGTGAGGCCAAACGTGGTACATTGTCCCCCAGGCAACATGAGGGGAGGTGCTAGGCTAGTCCAATCTTTCCAGAGGTTACTTCCTAACTGAAGCTAAAAGAAATAGATCTCTCTTTCACCTTTGCTTGTAAGGACTTGGACTTGCCAGAGGGCATGGGCCCCGGAGTCGCCAGAGAAAATCAGTGCTTAGAAGAAAACACAGATGGATCCGTGGAAGGTGCAAGCGTAGGGAGAGCTTCCTGATACTCTGAGGCCCTGGATCCGGTTGTCCCTGTGCCAGTCTTACACCTGAAGTTCAAATTTCTTTAGATAATTCAATAAATTATTTTTTCTTAAAGTGCTTCAAGCTGGGGCCTCCCTGGTGGCGCAGGCAGTTGAGAGCAGCACTGTGAAGCTGTCTGCAGCCTCCGCAGTGCCAGTTCGATTCCCGGCAGGCCAGGGAGATTCCCACATGGCACAGCAGACCTCTCCTGTCTGTCCACTGCTCCCTCAGCAGTGTATTTTCATCAGCCTGCCTGTTCTGTTCCCCGCTCTGTCTCTGGTGAATCCTCTCACTCTCCCGCGCATTTGGCCTGTACCCTGGTTCTTGTATAAATAAATAAATCTTAAAAAAAAAAGTATTTCAAGCTGGGTTTCTGTCACTTATAACCAAAATATTCTTGAGTAACACGGCATAACACAATGAAGCGAATGCTACCCTCTCACCATGACGAAGGAGGTCTTATGTCAACCCCAAGGTCACAACAAGAAGAATCTCAAGATGTGACTAAAGGAACATTTCTGGGAGAGGGTTTGAGGCTCAACATCCACATGAGTCTGAAAAGCAGGGAGGATGTTTTAAAACAATCTCAACCACCTTAAGTCTTGTAGAACTTACCTCTCATCACACGGGAAATTAATGCTTTATACCACCTGTAAAATGGCAGGGAGTAAGTGGTTGACTGTGCTCACCTTTAATTCTTGACACAACCCTGTCACCCTTTTCTCCTTTGCGGCCAGGTGGTCCTAAGGCACCAGGTTTTCCCTTGATGAAAAACAACAGGAGCAAATCAGTTTAATTGTTACAGGTCAAAGTTTTTCACATTCGTGTAAATCTACTCTCTCTCTCTCTCCTTTCCTTCTCAATCAAAGGTTCTAGATTCTAGTTGGATAATTTTGTTCTCCTTTTCTTCCCTGACTTCCAAGGTGGGTCCTACCTTGCAAACTTGAGGCTCTTGAACCGTATGTAAAAATGGATGGAATCTGAATAAAGCCCCTACTTGAGTCAATAGAAATGATTATTAGAAATTTTGACAAAGCACTATTGTTACACAGATTGGCACTGGGGGGAACCGGGCAAAGGACACGTGGATTTCTGTGATTATGGAAGTTCTTGGGAGCTGTAAAAAACAGGTGTCTCAGGATCAAAATTTATAATCAAAAAATAAATTTTCCTGTTGTATTTATTCTGTAGAATTGGAAGGGAATTGGGGAGGAGTTTCACCAGAAGAGCTGCCCCTAGGGCTAAAGGTAGAGGCTCGGGAATGAGTTTATGATGAATGAGACTTAATTCTGAGGGAAGTTAGTGAGCAAGAGAAGGACAAGTAAGAACCTTTGCTGTGGTCAATGTATTTCCTCTGACTAGCAAGTAAACAGCTAGTTTTGACTGATGAATATCTCATCTCTCGACCTCGCCATTGCTCTCAGACTAGACTGTTTAGTCATGGTTTATAAGAGGGACATACTGGGCCTCCCCTGGTGGCTCAGGCAGTTGAACGCCACACTGTGAAGCTGTCCATAGCCTCTGCAACGTGGGTTGGATCCCAGCCAGCTGGCGAGAATCCCACATGGCGAAGCAAACCTCTCCTGTCTCACCTGCTGCTCCCCTCAGTAGTGTATTTCCTCAGTCTGCCAGTTCTGTTCCCTGCTCTGTCTCTGGTGAATCCTTTCACCCTCCCACACATCTGGTCTGTACCCGGGTTCTTATATAAATAAATAAATCTTTAAAAAAAAAAGTGGGACATACTGAATATCAAATCCTGTCAAAACTTTGGAAACCCACTATCAGTAAATGATAGTGGCCAAATATTACATTAAATATAGTTACAAAACCATATACAGAGCTATGCTTACTTATCTGGTTTTTTTTTTTTTTTTTTTTTTTTTTTAAAGATTTATTTATTGATTGATTGATACATACATACATACAAGCACTGGGTACAGTCAGAAGCGTGGGAGGGTGAGAGAATTCACCAGAGCCAGAGCGGGGAGCAGAGCAGGCAGAAGGACCGAAGTACACTGCTGAGGGCAGCAGCGGGCAGCAGGAGAGGTCTGCGCGCCATGTGGGACCCTCCTCAGGTGGCCGGGGAGCAGCCGGGGATCGAACCGGTGCTCTAGAGGCTGCGGGCAGCTTCGCAACCCAGCGCTCAACCGCTGCGCCACCGGGGAGGCCCTTACTTATCTGGTTTTAACCAAGAAACAATCTAGGAATTTGGAAGGAAATAAAAATTATCTTATTTTCATACAGTCTACCAACATGCCCAAGCAAACTTAGTTATCTTTTTAACTGACATCTACTAGTTCATCAGCAGTGAACTATAAAGGGTAGAAGAACAACTTGTAGAGATAAATACAATAGCGGCGTCATACAGTGGACGTGAAGAAGCAGCTAAAAATGTACACAGCAATCATGAAAACTCAAGTGGACAAAATGGTTGAGATCCATTTAATAATGCAGGGAGAAAAACATCTCCACACATCATTCAGTTCCCCGCCCCCCAACATCACTGTAAAGTGACATCCTGTGGGTGAACATGTCATGAGACATCAAAAATGTGGGTGGAACAAAGTAAAAAAAGTTAAGTTAGGAAACTTGACAGTAAAGGAACTTGAGAAATAAAGTGTTGATATGGGTTGCGTGTTTCAATTCATACCTTTACTGTAAGTCATTAAGTTAAAAAAAGGACAGGGCCCACATGTGTGGCTAGTGGAAACATCCTTCTGAGGGATTACCCATTCTACACAGAAAGCCACTCACATAGCATTTGAACCAATTTCTCTTCAGAAAACACAGGGTGGTATGCTTAGTAAATAAGACCTCTGCTTCCTGCAAGAGCGGCCACGCCCTGGGAGTCTGAGCAGCTGATCAGTCAGCTCCAAAGCTCTGCTGATGAATTTTAAGTGGCAGAGTCAGATCACAGACTTTGTTGAACTAAGAAGAAAAAACTGACTAACAGCCCTGTCTTTGTCTTTACTAAAGAGACATTCCTGAGAACCTACAAAGTACTAGGCATGATTTGAGGTACCAAGGATACTGCAGTTAAAGGACCCTCAAGCCTTCACAGTGCCAACGCTCCAGGAAAACAAATGTTGAATCTGAGAGATTCCCAGAGCAAAAGATTCCAGTTGCTTTGGGGATCAATAGCTGCTTTTCACAATTCTAAGATATGAAGTCACTATACACATTTGTTAATATAACAACAAAACCCAGTAGCAACAAAAATTTTCTCTCTGCCAGGCATGCAGCTGCTGTTTTCCATGAGGTCTAGGTCAGGGACTTCAACTGCAGGTGCCCACCAGGGTCATGCCTTTTGAGGGAAGCAGACACATGAGCATGGTGGGGACTGAGGCACCCAGACACCCCTCACAATGGCACAGCCATCTCTCAACTTCCTCATATTAATAGTACAAAAAATAGTACAAAAACACCATGAGGGGTAATCAAAAAACACAGGCAGGTCCCATTTAGGCCAGATCAGTTTGTGACCTTTGGTTTTCTCTGCAGCTTCACAGGGTCTGTAACCCTGTCCATCTTGTCCACTCCTTGTGGACTTTGTAGCTTTAACAGAGATCACTGAGTTGAATTCTGACCAACAGCCCTGAGAGACAGGTGTTATTATAGCCATTTAATAAATGAGGCTCAGAAGCTTAGAGAGCAGGAGCCTCCCAGTGTTAGGGTTGGGCCTGACACTGGGGTGCCTCCCCGAGGGCAAGACTGAAGCAGGCGGATGAATGCATGCATGCAGGTGATTTCCTTGGTCATTAATATAGTTGTAGGTTCAAAACATAAAGATGCATGAAAGAGGTACAAGAGACTTCTATCTCTCTCTTTTTTTTTTTTTTTTAACTAGAAAGGTTACTAGTAACAGTAGCTGGTTACTCACCGGAGGTCCTGGACATCCTTCAGCTCCAGGGGAGCCTAGGTGACCTTTTTCTCCAGGCCACCCAGGGAGTCCCAAGTCTCCCTTAACACCCTGCCTCCCAGGAAGCCCTGGAGGACCTGGGAGGCCCATAGGACCGGGCTCACAGGCACAGGACCCCTCATTTCCTAGACAGAGGATAAAAGGCAGCTGGGTCATATTTCCAGAGTAAAATCCCCCCGAAGTAATAACTGTATAAAACCAAGAGTGCAAATAAGAACAAAAAGGATCCAGGACATGCAGTTTTTATCCTAGACAAGTGGCAACATTTGATGTGGGGGCATAGGGCACAGAGCTGGGTACCTAGCCACCATCTAAATAGAGTAGACACGTTGATTCCAGAACAATGAAGTGTTTATGTCTTAATAAAATCATCCTGACAAACCCTAGGGGGAGCATTGATGCCTGATTCTATTGAAGAAGCATCAAATTTTTTTTAAAAGCTTCTTATTTTTAAAAGTTTTTTATTTGGTTCCCAGTGAAGAAACAAAAAGAAAAAAAGATGATTAGAGAATAAACTGAATAATTTGCAAAATAAAATGTGAAGAGGAATCATTGGATGCATTGCATTTACAATTTATTACCATGCATTTTTTAATTATCAGGACTTTTAGCCTTAAAATGGTGTTTTAACAGTCAACCTCTTCAGTTGTACTAAATGCTTTCACACCAATCTGACTCATTAGGTCAAAAAGGCACCACATAATTTAAGGTGGAGAAACAGAACCAAAGACATGGAGGAATCTGGGAAATATGGACCAGCAGAAAGGAACCAGCCACTGTGCCAGCTCTGCCTCCTTCAAGGAACAAGAGGATGTGTCCTTTTTATTCCAGATGTTGGAGTTTGACTTTATGTTTACTTTTAATCATATGCACATAACTAGGGGGAGCATTTACAGGTATAACTATGGTGAGTAATTACCATAGTAATTACCATAGTAATTACCAAAACGAAATGCCACCTTGTACTCTTCAGAAGTGCCTGCCAGTCCTGATAGGTTGTTGTCTTCTAGAAACTCTGTCTCAGCTACAACTTGCCTTTTTCTCCTTTTGAGCCTCTTCTTCCAGGAGGACCCATTTTGCCTTTCATTCCTTGTGGTCCAGGAGGCCCAACACGGCAATGGACACCTTAACACATGGGAGGGCGGGCAGAGAGAATCACACCATTTCTGTGAGTGTTTTCTATAGAAAGTAGATGTATCTTTTTTTTGTTTTCTTTTTTTTTTTTTGTGGGACCCTCGCCGGCGGCCAGGGAAGGAACTGGTGCTGCAAAGGCTGAGGGCAGCCTCGCAGCCCAGCGCTCAACCGCTGTGCCACCAGGGGAGGCCCAAAGCAGATATATCTTTTGTACTTGTGTCTTCCCTCCACTGCTTGCTTTCTTCCACTGTTCATCTATGACTCTGATATGATGAAAGATTATATATGCAAATAGACCTATGTAACTGCCACATCAATATCCTGGCACCACAATCATGGATATATGACTGTCCCTTATTTCAGCCTTAATTTAGTGGGTTGCAAAACAAGGTAAGAGACAATAAAACGAGCAAAAGTACTGAAACATAACAAGCCAAAAAAAAGGGGGGGGCCTCCCTGGTGGTGCAAGGGGTTAAGTACTGCACTATGAAGAAATCTGCAGCCTCTGCAGCATGAGTTCGATCCCTGGCCGGCCAGGGAGCAACCCACATGGTGCAGCAGACCTCTCCTGTCTCCCCACTGCTCCCCTCAGCAGTGTATTTCAGTCAGTCTGCCTGTTCTGCTCCCCACTCTGTCTCCGGCGAATCCTCTCACCCCCCGCATCTCTGGCCTGTACCCCAGCTCTTGTATGCATAAATAAATAAATCTTTAAAAAAGTGGGATTTATTTTTAAAAAAGGATAGGAAAGAATTTTTTTCTTCAATTATCAATAATCACATAATGAAGAAAGCATAAAATATGACTTGTAAAAACAAAAATCCACAAGAAGTTGTGGCATATATACACAATAGAATATTATTCAGCAATCAAAAAAGATAAAATCATGCCAACCACAGCAACGTGGATGGAGCTGGAAGGAATTATGCTCAGTGAAATAAGCCAGAAGGAAAAAGAAAAATAGCGCATGGTTTCACTTACAGCAGGAATATAGGGGAACCAAATAAGACATTAGCATAAAGAATAATAACAGTACAAAGCACAACAAAGCAAAAACAGACAATTATAAATCAGAGACATCCTGCAGGGTGGAGGAGGGAGAGGGATCAGAGGGAGGGAGGGAGGAGCACAGGGGACTGAGGTGATGGTGCACGGGTGCATTGGGGAAGGAAGCTCTATGGGGACTACACCTGAGGGGGTGGGAGAAGCAAATATTGTTTAAAAATGAACAATGATGTAAAAAATAAAAAAAAAATTAAAAAAATCGAACAATGATGAAAAAAAAAATCCAGAACATCTGATTTAAAATGTCAGATAAAAAGTAAAAGGAAAACAGGAGTAAAGGAAGATTATAAAATGGCATAAACCTACAGAATAAAGAAAAAAGAAAAGGGACACAGCAAAAAAAATTAAAATAAAAATCCTTAACAAGCTGAATTCTAAGCAGCAGTGGAGAAGCTGGAGAAAGAACACAATTTAGAGAAGAAATGTGTCCCCAGGTACGGGAATTGGTTCCTCTGAAGTAGAATGGCAATGAGGGCTACCATGATGATTTGCTGAAGAAACAGCTAAACCAAAAGATTTCCTTCTCAAAAATCACGACAGTAAAACAAACAAACAAAATTCAAAGTTGGAGGTAACACACCATGCAACAAAAAGAAAAACTAAAAGAAACAACATAATTGAATCAAGCTGTGGTCTATCCACACTCAGCTGTTTGAGAAAATTACATGTGGTAAAGCAAGTCAGAATGATATAAACAAATAGTGGATATTCGCATACCAGATGATTTGATCACAAAATACTTTTTAATCACATTTGATCACAAAATACTTTTTGGTGAAGGAGGGAAGGAAGGAAACATAAAATATTAAATAGATTAAAAATGCTACCTGACCTAAGTAAACGATCAAAAAACTCCAGGATGTATTTATTCAAACAGATAATAGTGATAGAATGTTTAATGAGTTCGATGGTATTATTATGAGACTTATATAACTCTAGGTGGGTTGAGATTGAATTAGCAATAAGTATATTGAAATCCAACCAATACATTGGAAAAGAAAACAAAACAATTTTTAACAAAATGTTGTACTGGAGAAGTAAATCTATATAATTATATGGCTGACCTGGAGAATAGCATTGACACAACTATTCGGTATAACTGAATGATATTTATTGTATTTATTTAATCAAAATTAAATAATAGCTCTATTTTCTAAATAATAGCTCTATTTTCTAACAAGAGAGTGGCAGGAGAATGGATGTGGGTATAAGAAAAGAACTAAATTCATCTTCAATGGAGGGAAATGAAAGATAATGCTCAAACTCAAAAATTAACAAATAATAATACGAGTATATTGAATGGCATTATAGAGGCAAATAACAAAAGCTCCAGCATTTGTTCTAGGGGAGGAAAGAATCAAAGAGTTTTCCTGATAGAGCAGTTCTTCATAACAGACTTTGTAGATCTATAGGAATCCCAAACCACAAAAATGAAAATCATATACAAAAAATAAAAATTAAAATTGTATTTAATATTAACAAAATTCCATCATCACACTAAATCCTCAACCAAATATTTTCATATGCTTAACTGAAGGATGGCTAACATCCACGTACACTTTTATATGATAAACAATACTAGCTTGGCTTATGAAATATTAGATGGTTTCGGAAATGTTTGGAAAGTCACACATTCTGAATGGCACCGCAAACACCAAATGCAACATAAACATGAAGGACATAAACTAGGGACATTTTACCATCCGATCCTGGAGGTCCTGGCAGTCCTGGGAGTCCGGGCAGCCCCGGGGGTCCTGGGTCTCCTGGTTTCCCTGGGGAATCAGGCCTCCCAGGAACACCGGCTGCCCCTGGAGATCCTGGGTGACCAGGAAGGCCTCGTGGCCCAGGAGGCCCCATCCAACCTCCAAGAGAAATCAAGAATGAAAACTATATAGTATTGACCCCCCCAAAAAAATCATTATTGAATTACTGCAGTCACAAAACATATTTTGTTATTCAAATAGAGACTCATGGCATTCATCTATACATACATACATACATACATACATATATATATATATATATTTAAAGAGTGAAAACCACATTACTCTCAGAGCAAACTATTTTGTAGAAATCAAAAACCATCAAACTCTTAGGCTGTAGAATTCTTTGGTTTTTTAGTTTTAAGTTTTATACACATTAATGAGATAACTTTATAAATAATGTTTATTGCATATTTACCAAGCACTAGGTAGGCTTATTCTTAATTCTCAGACTGAGCTTTCAATGTATATATTTTTACTTTTATTTAGTAGTTGAGAAAACTGTGGCTTAGGCAGATTAATGGACTACAAAATTAGAGTTTGTATTTTAACAGCGATCTACCTCAAACCACTTTACCCTGGAGGCTCTCACCAATGGTGTCCATTTCAGATGCAAACTGTGGAATTTTTAAAGGAAAAAATGTAGTTTAAAAAGTCACTGACTATCCCAACTATCATTAAGCCTCACTTCCTTTAAAATGCACACCAGTGAGATGAATAAGCTCAGAGAATCATATCTTCTTACCTCTTCCCTGTTCTTTAAGGTTACCATTGGAAATAATTATATATTTTTAATTTAATTTTTTTAAAGTTTTCCACCTTGGTAACTTGGTAAAATAATCTCAAGAAACATATAAACATGTTTAGTAAACAAAAGTAGGGATTCAATAATTGCCTATGTAGGACATAAAATACCACAGTCACCTAGGCTGGTGGTCAAATATGGAGGTGGCCTCTCCCCCTCAACCACAGGAACTTAAGTAGGTTATTTAAATTCTTTAATCCTCTATATCTACTTCAGAGGTTTGCTACGAGGGTTAAGTAAAGTAATCCGTGTAAGGAGCTTCGTGTAATATCTGCAATAGCACGTGTACAGTAGATGATTAGATGCTCAGTGTGGTCAGAGGTCAAAGTGAGGAACACCACAGCAGCCACATCCCATCTCTCTCGTTTGACCTCCTATTCTCCCTCGCTGGTGGCTTTGGCTTTGACACCACTGGAAGCCTCAGTTACCGTGATCACGTCTCATAAGTTCTTCCTGCTTCTAGAATCAAAGATGGCCACCGTGGTAGTAGAACACATTCTAGTAGAACCTTGACACTCCCCTGGCGAGAGGTGGTGTGTTCCGGCTTGAATGGGGCAGACTCTTACGACCATTTGGAAAACTGGAGCATAGCAGGAGGGACACTGTGGCGTCTCAGACTAGATTATTTAACGTGATTCAGCCTCTGCCTTGTGAGCTGAATTGCTTGGGACCAGTGCCTGCAGCCGCCATGGAAGGGCTCTCCCTGCTCTGAAGCTACCAGAGCCTACACAGTGAGTCCGGAGACTCCATTAGAGACAGGAAGACAGGCCTTGGTGTTCTGGTTCCAGCCACTGTGTGGTGGCCACCATATGAAAATCCTTGATCTAAAATCGTTCAGCTTAGTCCTTTCTGAAGTCTTGAACCACAGAAAGTTAAGGGTAAAGCACTGACTGCTGTTGTTTTAAGTCACTAGGTTTTGGGTAAACTTCATCAACAGACAATTGAAACCTTATCAGTAATCAATAATGCAGCATGCTGGTTAAATTGTGGCTTTCATTATTAAATGCATGTGTGCTGAGGCTTTACATTTATTTTCAAACATGATCTTTACTCCTGAAACAGCCCTGCAAAGTCTATACCTTATAGATAAGGCACAGAAAGTTTAGGCCTAATAATAGCAGGAGCAGCTAACTTTATAAATCTTTAATATACGATGGGGTGTTTGCTAAGAATTATATACTTATTACTTCTTTCAACCCTAGAAAGAACTCCATTTTTCAGAAAATGAGGCACAGAGAGTTTTAATAAATGCTCAATATCACAGAGCTCGTAGGTAGTAGCACCTGGAATGTTTTTAATCTGCAGTATAAATGCACTGCTATTGCACTGCATTGCGCTAAGTGGCAAGGCTGGGATTGAATCATGCATATCTGATCCAAAACTCTGCTAATCTCATGGCAAATACTATAGATAATTTTAAAAAGATGATTGATAAAGGCTATATACATTGGTATGCTTCAAACAAAATGAAAATGTGCTCATGTGGACGTGGCTGCCACCTTTTTCATGCCATTCTTAAGACCTGATTGGAATCTTTTCTGTCAGTCACTGGCTGGTCCCGGGTCCTACCTGTGGTCTTGCCTGCTTTCGGGGAGATGCTCAGCCATCTCCCAAAGGGCAGAACTGGCTATAGTGCTGACACCCAGCAGCCTCAACCACCCATTTGTAGAACATGAAATCAATTAAGTTGTGGCCAACATTAAAAAAGCTTTTTTTAATGAATTATTTTATTTTATATAATTCTTATATCACTTTTCATCTTTGCATAATGTATGCATTTTCATTTTGGTTATATTCCCCATACAATTCCTACCCCCTTTTTCTGACCCTAATCCCTCTTCTCCTTCCTCAGCCCCCCACTGTAGTGTGTCTCTGGTCTATAGTTGCTTGTTGATTTTGATTTTTACTTTATTGCAATTAGTCTTTTTCCTGGTCCCTTATTTAGGTTTTCTAAATTCCTGCTATGAGTGAGACTATCCGGTATTTTTCTTTTTCTTTCTGGCTTATTTTGCTGAGCATGAGCCTTTCTTGACCCACTAAAGATAGAGCTTCCATATGATCCAGCAACTCCTCTCCTAGGTATTTATCCAAAGGCCACAAAACATTAATTCAAAGGGGTGCACCTGCACCCCTTTGTTTATAGCAGCACTGTTTACAGTAGCTAAGCTATGGAAACAGCCCAAATTCCCAAAAATAGATGACTGGATCAAGAAGATGTGGTACATATACACCATGGAATATTACTCAGCAGTCAAAAAAATAAACTCATGCAATTTGCAGCAACATGGATGGAGCTGGAAGGGATCATGCTCAGCAAAACAAGCCAGAAAGAAAAAGATAAAAAGCTTTTTAAGAGACTGAAATGGAAATAGAAATAGAGTCCATTAGACACCAAAAAGGTATTATTTTGTGAAATTTATGTTTCAGCCACATGCATATGTGGGTACATATATATGTGATATAATGTAAATGCAATTCAATAGAAAATAGATTCTTACTATGGATTGTAGTCACTGGGTAAATTAAAAAAAAAAACGGGTGGAATTTAAAGGTTTCCTGTTATATTTTGGTTATGAATCTCCAAGACACATGTTTTACCCCAGTGGATTTTGATTTTAATCTGTTAGAGACGCTATTTCATTTTATACAAACCCAAAAGGAGGTATTTCAGACTAGAGTCTCGTTCTCCTGGACTACATGATTTGCATAGTCTTGGTTGATTAAGCCAAGGCCATGATCTCTAAAGATTAAATGAACTAGACAAAGTTTTACTACCTTTGTGGTCATCAGATTTGACAAAATCAAAAATAGAGTTCTGAAAGAGTAAGCAAGAACTTTGTAGTTAATGCCTGAATATCTCAGGAAACTTCTAGCTCCTTCTCAGTGAATAGAACAAGAAGCACAGACTGTATAGAATTATATTTATTCAAGCTTTTCCTCCTTACAAGCTTAATCAGTTCCCCTGGGTTCACAGAATGCAAACTTCTAAACTTCTATTCCTAACCTTTCTAGAAATGTTAGCCAGCACTGGACAGAGTTCAAAGATGTTAGTACAATTCTTTCTTACTCTCTCCATCAAGAACACCATTAGCTGTAGGATTTGTGTTTTGCATTGGGGGCAAAAGCTATTGTCTATTTTGCTGTGGGGTAAAGGGAGGATTATTGTTTTTTGCTGCCTTTTTTAAAACTAACACTGAATCAACGTTTAATTTTTAATTCAAAATTTTTATTTCCACATTTCATGTAAGAGTTTGTATCGGGGTCCAAGTGGGTGAACAGAGTTATAACAAATAAATGTCTTCAGTGAGAGCCTTCCATGAGAATGGAGAAATGGAAGAAACACTCTAACCTTTGCTGCATCCCCAAACCTTACGTGCTTGTGATAATCTCGTGGTGGCCTGTTCAATACCCACCATCTCACCAGCCCCCTGAGATGCTGAGTGAATGTTTTTGAGAGGCAGTGTGGTAACCTGGATTTCCTCCAAGTCAGTGGTTAGTGGGTTTGAGTTCAAAGGTGCTTAGGCCTGGTTGCACATGACTTTATAATAGCAGCTGCCCAGCCCCTCCCCCAGAGGGTCTCCATTCTTGGTCTGGGGCAGACACAGCAATCCGGATCTCAGAAACACATCTCAGGAGATTTCAGAACCCGTTAAGAGTTGAGCGCCACTAGTGTGGGTGAGGACGTAGGAAAGCTGGGGTACAGATGCCCCTGGATTCCTACCTGTGCAGTCTTCCCCTTGTCTCCCCGAGAGACCAGGGGGACCTGGGGGTCCAACAGCGCCCATTTCCCCATAGTGGCCAGGGAGTCCCGGATCCCCTGGAGGGCCTGTCAAAAATAACAACACAGGTGAATAGAACAATTGTATATCTACATTTCAAATATCGTTCACTTTTCTGTGAGTAAAACTAGGAGACTGATCTGCAGTTTCTCAGCACATTGAAAATGCATGATCTTGGACATGAACCCGACTGCCTCTCCTCTGCAGACACCTGGGCTCCAAGCGGCTGCTGCTGCATTGATGTAGGTCACTCTTTTCCCGGAGGTGGTGTCCTGGGGTATCCTGGTGGGCACTAATCTAATAGTTTTATACATTTCTTAATGATTTAAAAAAAAAACTTTCTGAAAGGTGACATGATACAAATCCCAGCATACAGTCCACGTTCTAAAATAAAGTGCGATGTGTTAGGGGGACAGAAACCAGCCAGGCACAAATCTCTATTGCTCTGGTCAATCACACACTCGTGATGAAATTCACACAATTAGCAGGCACATCCCGACCTGCTCTTGCATAATTATATACGCATGGTCTACAGAGAGTATGGCGTTTATATACTTAGCCTGGTGAGTGTGCAAACAATGGGAATACTGGGCCAGACTCTTCTGTCAGAGCTGCTCTTATCCCATCTTCCTATAATTTATGGAGGATCTGGAGGAAACACAAACCTTTTTGTGGAAGAGCTGGAATTGCCAAGACACCTGGTGGTCCCGGGTACCCACGATCACCAGGATCCCCCTGAAATCATTCATTCACTTTTGTTAGAAATATTATTTTTCTCCAGTTGCCTGACATTAATTAAATAGTAGAAGGGCCACAAGTGCAGTCATTTAAGTAATAGATTACAGGCTGACTAGAAAAATGAATGGTTTTTGGAGTTCTAGAAGGAACAAAGGCATCTGACTTCCCACCTATAAGCAGAAGGATGAAGCCAAAGGCAAAGTTCTCAGAAAAGAAAACATAAACCACACAAATTTACTCCATGCCCATAAATTAGATCCTTCTGAACAAGGAGTCTCATAGATTTTCTATGAGCACTAGTGTCTCACTTGGCGCTTATGGACAAATTGTTGATTCACAACTAAGGCCACCATGACCAGTCCTGGGCCAGCGCTGAAGAAGACAGAAAGCTGCAGTGTTGGTGAAAGCAGAGAGCCCAGTGCCCTGGCTATAACCATGTGGTATATCTGAACTTTCATCATTCACTTTCAAATGTAATCATCAACTTTCAAATGTAATCATCATGACATGCATTAAAAGAATACATAAAAAATGAATTCTGTCCCTTTCAAATGTTACATTTTGGAATGACTCTGAAATTTAAAAAAAAAAAATTGGATAACAAAAAGGACATAGACTTCTATCAGGCTGGACTCAAATAGGCTTGCTTTCTTACCTTTGGACCAAGAAATCCAAAAGGACCAGGATCTCCTATCAGTCCTTGTTGTCCCTGCAAATAACCACAAACATGCCTTTTTGAAAAATGTGATTGAGTGACAAATGATCTCATTCTTGTTTCATTTGACTGACACATGCTTGCTGAGATTCCACACTAAATTGCGACACACCTTTGGGATTGCACCAAATAGCTTTGTGTTTTAGCTTTTGCAGACACAGCTAAATCATATGATTCATAAAATGGATGTGTCTCCCTTTCCAATTACCATGTGCAAGTCTGCATGAACTAAGTCCACTTTTCAATGATACCAAATTGCATTTCCTAATGAAAAGAAATTTACTATCTTTATAATGGTGGACATTTACCTTTGGTCCTGGAAAACCTGGAGCTCCATGGGAACCAGAGGCACCCTAATAAATTCACAAAATCAACACAAACAATTTCATCACAATGCAGAACCAGTTCAATGCATCATATTTCACCTTATGACATTGTGCTGTGGCTATTAATCTTGTCTGCAAGAGTAGTTGAATAAAAAGAAATAAATACAAAATAGATTTCATTTCTTTATAACATTTGCTATTTTATTGATCTTTGGTCTTACTCAAAAAAAAAAAAAATCATGTCCTTGCCAGTGTTTTAAATTCAGAACGCATTTCTGCTATTGTTGATGCTGTTCCATTTTAATTTGTTTAACTGAATGCTTGCCCTGAGCTTTATCTTTGAGATCACTGCAATATAATTTGTCCAGATATGAACAGTTTCTCTGTACTTTATGAGCAATAAAAATTAGCATGAAAGCCGATCTTGTCCCATGAAATACTAGATGTAGAGTCAAATAAACTTAAGTTTGGACCACTGAGGTCTGGACTCCAGGCAACTCTACCAATGGGGACTCCATTAGCCACATGTGTGGTGATGTTCGGGGCCTGATCCTGGTATTTCTCCTCACATACCAGCCACTGCTGCTGTAGCAGGACTGCCTTAATCCAATAGACTGTAGTTAACCATTCCAAGTGACTATCACTTTGGCACTGAGCCAGGCAGCAAATGACATTATTCCATTTCTACTGGTCAGTTCTGCTGTCTTCTGCTTGTCTGTTTTATCTAAATGATGTCCACCAAAAGGATGTGCTGGGATACGTAGTTATTCCACAATCCCCATGGTGCCATATATGTTGGCTCCAATCTCTACTTCTGTGTTCTTGGAAATACTGATGCAGTCTTACAGAAATGTGAGAGAGATGCCTGCAAGCTCTGTGAGGTGAAAGAGGGCATGATTAATCCTTACCTGAGGTCCTGGAAACCCAGGAAATCCTTTCTCTCCTTTTGCACAAATACCAGGTTCTCCCTTTAAGAGATGGCAACATTTAGAGGGTCCAAGCAACAACATTTTAGTAAAAACTCAATGAGAAATAAAAATTATTGTCAGCAGCTTAAATAAGAGAGCTACTTTAGAATAGACACCCTACTGGATTATGACAAAATAGTGAAAAACTCTAGTACTATATAATAGCATTTGAAGTAGTGATAACGCCCATATGACATGCAAAAAAAAAAATTTTTTTAATTAAGGTAGCACATCATCCACATTTTTAAACAGAGGTATGTAAATAAACTACCTTGAGTCCTGGTGGTCCTGGGGGCCCAGTCATTCCGGGTATCCCTTTTATACCCTAAAAATCACAATGAAGATCATCTGGCTTATTCCGATTTTACGATTTGAATTCCATCTCTTTCAGAAATGACCTCTTTCACAAATCATCTTACTAGATTTTAAAACAAGGAATGAGTCTTCAATTGCCTATAATTAGCAACTAAGATGTCAGCGCTATTCAGGGCAGATCTGTGAGGCTAAAGAGTCGGGGTGCCCGCTGGGGCACAAGGGGGGCGCTGGGTGAGCCCAGAGCCAGCGCAAGCAGTTTGGGAACGGTCACTGTTTTCAGGCAAGGGAGCGAATTTAATCCAGTAATTGAAAATCGACAACAGAACCCGCACACGGCGAGGGTAAGGCATCGGGGCAGGCTGACAGAGGAATTAACATTTGCCAAAAATGGGTTACGGGTTCACTTCTACACACCGGTTACCTTTTCGGTTTTCAGAACATCAAACCCAGAAATAATAGCAAAAGGACAACCGGACGTTCTGAGGCCTTTTCAGCCCACATCAAAGACGACAGTAGGGGGGCGCTACGTTCACAGCTCAAAGCCCAGGGCTCGTTCTGCAGCCCAGAAGGGGGAAACTTGAAGCCACTAGCACCCCTCTACGCCCCATTTTTCCATACTGTACAATGGGGTGAATCATCCCGCGCTCCATCAAGGTTACTTTAAGGTTCATACAGTGATGCTCCAGCTGTCATCACTTTGCTGCCACAGTTACACGTCCGGGAAATTCTGGCAACGACTACTCAGTCAAGCCACACGTGGATTTGTGGCTTACCTTTTCTCCTTTGAAGAGGGACAAATCGGAGGGCTGCACCAGCAGCGTAGGTCCAGGAGAACCCTGCTGGCCAACCTCACCCTTTCAAAAAAAAAAAAAATCAAGATAACAGAGTTCATATTAACTTTGTTTTGAAATAAAATCTGAAACAAACAAGACTTTTACTTACCTATTGTGATGTGAGGCTTACACACACACAGTGTGCCATGAATTTAAAATGAAATCATGGTAATTTTAAATATCTACGGTTTTTCATAAGTAATGCATACTTATTGTAAAAATAAATGTAAAGGATGGGCCTCCCTGGTGGCACAAGGGGTTAAGTCTCAGCACTATGAAGCTAGCCCAGCTGCCTGGGCATGAGTTTGATCCCCGGCCAGGGAGCAGACCCACATGGCACAGCAGACCTCTCCTGTCTCCCTGCTGCTCCCCTCAGCAGTGTATTTCAGTTTATCTGCCTGTTCTGCTCCCCACTCTGTCTCTGGTGAATCCTCTCACCCCTACCCTGCACCTCTGCATTGCACCCCAGCTCTTGTATGCATAAATAAATAAACCTTTAAAAACAAATGCAAAGGATGAAAGTGATCCATTACCCCACTATCTACAGTTCTCTCTGTTAAAGCTCTGATAGAGTTCTTTGTGATGTGGGCTTGCGTGTGTACATGTGTGTATGTGGTTACATTGTGCATGAAACATAATGTGTCCTTTCATTGGAATAAGACTATATGAAAATTATAAATGTAGTTCAAAGTATAAAATATGGTTTGTATTTTCATATATAATTAAACACTAAATTTTCAGCAATTTTACATTTTTTTCTTAAGATAATACTACTTTAGGATATCTTCCAATTATAATAGAAATTCCACAAAACCTGGTTTTCAATACTTATACAACAATACGGCATAAGAATGTTCTCTCGTATATTAAGTCATTCCACTCTGGTCAGACTTAAGTTATTTCTAGTTAACTTTCAATAACATTTTTAAACTCTCTATAAGAAAGTATCTCTATAAGAAACAATTAGTCAAATATTCTCATTTATGTCATTTTAGATGCTATCCTCTTGGAGAAGAAAATGTTCTTTGATTGGTTTTGTGACAATACAACCATAATTTCTCACCCTTAATTAGAAGGTAATTATTTTGTATTTTTCTGACTATATCTATTATTCTACACTCAGAATTACCTTCCCTCCTGTGTTATGGTTAACAGGTGGTAACAGGTCACCTATGTTTGCAAACTAGACCCTCATTAACTTTGTTACTCTGGGCAAATGCTTAAAAGCTCTTTAATCCCTGACCTCCCCGTTGGTGCAGTGGGTTGAGTGCTGCACTGTGAAGCTGTCTGCAGCCTCTGCAGCGTGGGTTCAATTCCCAGCCAGCCAGAGAGAAACCCACGTGGCATGGCAGACCTCTCCTGCCTCGCCCGCTGCTCCCCTCAGCAGTGTATTTCTGTTGTCTGCCTATTTGGCTCCCCACTCTGTCTCTGGTGAATTCTCTCACCCTCCTGCGCCTCTGACCTGCACCCCAGTTCTTGTATAAAAAACACAAAATCTTTAAAAAAGAAAAAAAATCTGAAATTAAAAAAAAAAAGCTCTCTATATCCTTGTTCTTTAATTCCTTTAAAATTTACTTCCTTCTCTGTGAAATGGGGATTATAATACTGCCTACTTCTAAGTATTATCTTATTGAATGACAATGTGCATAAAATTACTACTTGCTTCACTGAGAGAAACAAAGCAAATTCTCAAGTAGATCATTATTTAAACCATTAATGTTTTTTGATAAGTGAGGTTTTTTTTTAGAAGAAACTGTTTTAAGTTTAAATGAGACACTAAAACCAATCATTCAGTCCTTCCCTAAACCTGGAAACAGCAAAAGAACCAGAAGGTTGAGCACAGTTTTCTCTCCCCGATGTACCCCAGTCCCTACCACAGTAGTGGGGTGGTGACTGCTGTAAAGATCAGCGACGTGTGAGCAAACGATGGAACAAATGCATGAACAGAACACAGATAAATCTGTAACATGTATGTGTAAAGATAACCACGCTTGCTCTTGTAGCTGGAATAAATCTGCACTAAACCCATAAAGACTGACAAGCAAGGAGTAGCTTCAAAATGTTGGTCACATTACAATTTTTTCCACGTTGTAAAATACCTTATATTCATTTTAGTCAAAAAGACCAAGAAGGTCAAGTGTGAAGACCACAGTATAAATGCCACACGATCATGGCACCTGGACAGATTAGCAACCATTTCAGGTCTCCCCACCAGATGAAAGGCTGCCTCGGCATTTCAAATTAGGATTTTATTCACCTGCCAGTCCAAGGGGGTGAGCATAGCATCTTTCAGATCAGAGATAAAATTTTCCATGCTCTTCTGTGGCCTGCTGTTGCCCCCACGCCTGTCTAGCACTGAGGCCACTAAACAGGTAATTCCTGCTGTTCTCCCAAAGTAGTATTTCTCAAATGGGGGCTCATGGGCTTCTGGGACTTTGACCCACATTTCCTCCAGGGTTCATGACTCCCCAAGTTTGAAAAACATTGAGCCTATTTTCTGTTAGTCATTTCTCTAAGTTAGTGGTTCTCAAGGATGGGGCGGGGCAACTGGAATGCCCTTCCCCCCAAAACCTTTGGTAGGTTGGGACGCTTTGAATCATGACAACTGGGAGGAAGGGAGGCTCCTGGTGTCTAGTGGATGGGGGTGGGATGCTGCTCCCCATCCTGCACAGGAACCGCGCCCCCCCAGGCACACACACAATGAACTACCAGACACACAGTGAAGAAGACCTCCTCTGAGTGCTTTCTGTGTCCTTGTGGTATTGCTGCTGTGTGGTTACCAAGCAAGCATGTACCTTCATGACCTGTACTGTCTGCTAACATCCTGTAGAGGCGTCTGCCATCATCAGGAAATCTTCCCATTTATTGTGGGCGATGCTGTCTTCTGCTCATCGGCTCTGCTATCACTTACCCAACCATGCTGGTCTCAGCCTGGGGACCAGGCCTGTCCTGCTATAGCCCCAAGGCCGGGCCCACAGCCTCGCCTGCCTCCAGATGCTCCATGTCTATTTGCCCACAGCTGAGGGAGCCACTCACACGGTTTGACATTCAGAGTGTGTCCGGATACGCCGCCGTGTTAGATACTTTCCTACAGCTCATCCTTGCTAAGTCTCACGCCTAGGCGGAAAGTACTGCAGGGTCTGAGGAGGGCAGGGGAGGGGCGGGATGGTGACAGAGGCGTGTGGGGAGGGAGGGAGTGGAGAGCGTGGGTTGTGACAAGCTTTTGGTTCGTTGTTCATATTTTTCCTATTTATTTATGGGGAGTTAAGGATGCTGATGAAGTTTCTGGAATGAAGCCAAACAAATCAGTAATTCAACAAATAGTGACTCCGGGTCTGATAGATCTTCAGAAATGCGTCATCTTTACGCTGGCGTGAACTGTGTCCTGAAACTGACTTGAACTCCGTGTTTAGTTTTATCACTACTGCATTTTACAGTCAAGGGTACTGGTGCCTTGATAATTGGGCAAAAGAAAATTCTCAGCCATAAATTTGGGCAGAGACTAGACAATGCACGCTATTTAGGTGATCATCATACCCGCCGCCTCAGTGCAGGCGGGGCAGTGACACGGCTGCCGTGCGAAGGGGGATTCTTACCACATCACCCCTTTGTCCCTTTACGCCCGTGCCGGGGTTGCCCTGGAAAAGAAAATTTAAAGAAGTAATTGCTTAGAATGTCAATGTAGCAAATACAAGCAAGTAAGACTTTTGGGCAAGCCATTTGCTGAAGTTTATTTATTAAATATTCTGGAAAATCTAATAAGAAGACGTGATTCTGACAAAAATCACCAGGCACTTGGGCCTCCCTGGTGGCCCAAGGGGTTCAGTCTCAGCACTTTGAAGCTATCTGCGGCCACTGCAGCCAGAGTTCCATCCCAGCCAGGGAGCTACCCACAGGGCGCAGCAGACCTCTCCCGACTCGCCCGCTGCTCCCCTCAGCAGTGTACTTCAGTAGATCTGCCTGTTCTGCTCCCCACTCTGTCTCTGGTGGATCCTCTCATCCCCCTCATTCACACACACTTCTGGCCTTCACCCAAGTTCTTGTATGCATAAATAAATAAATCTTTAAAAAAAAAACATACACACACAAAATCACAGGTCATATATTTCCCATACAGCTCTGGGCTCTATTTGTAAGTGACTCATGGTACCTACCTTCAAGCCTGGGCCGCCGGGGTGACCTGGAGGTCCCTACATCAAAGGCAAAAACATACACAAATTATTACCAGTCATAGAAAGCAGAATGTGTCTGTGTAGGTACCCCCAGTTCCTCTTTAGGAAACTCTTGATTTTAAACTATTTCCCATGGATTTCTAGCACGAATGTGGGTGGGGGCCTGGTCCTCCACCCCCAGCTGCCTGCCCACAAGACACTCCATCAGAGTGGTGGGTTTGTGCCAACTCATACGTCTACAATCCCTCGAAGAACCCACCTGTGCCTGACTCAAGGCTGCAATTTTCCAATTTTGCTCTATTTGCACATCAGATCTGGGTTTTTGGAGGGACAAAAATCAACAAGTCTGTACTTACTGGGGGCCCCGGCTCTCCTGGGAAACCCATCGAGCCCACTGGTCCTCTTGCTCCTGTATGTCCCTAAACACAAGAAAAATCAGTGTCTCCATTTCCAAAACTGTCATCATCTCACATTCAGCTCAGGTGGTGAAGGACCTCAAGCAGAACCACAGCCCCACACACCCGCTGCCTGATGGGCTCCAGGGGGCGGGCACTCTGGTGGGTGTGACTGACTTCGCTTAGGGTTAGATCAAGTCCCAGAGATCAGTCTATTTTATGACAAATAAATCTACTAATAGCAAAAGTAGAGAGCAAAAAGAACTTGTCACTAGCTACTCCAACATCCCGTGTGTGAGGCAATTTTGATGTGCATCAAGATGATTTCAAAAGAGTAATACTAATAAGCATTAATTCATATTAAAATGTCAATATATTTACAGTCCTGAATGTATTTTTTTAGACATGCCCTATAAAATCAATGTGACTAGAAATGTCCCCAATTCAAGATCAAGATGACTCAGCCATAAACAACTTTCTACAACATATAAGTTGCGGCAAATTTGCTGGCCAGTTCTGGAAGCATGGAGAGAGGTTCTCTATTCTCCTGCGGACCTGGTCCATGTCAAATGATCTTGTGAGCATGCAATGAGATTGACTATTATATGTGGTAAAATATATATGATAAAGTTGACCATTTTAGCCATTTTCAAGTGTGCTACGGTTCTGTGGCGCTAAGTGCATTTGCTTTAGTGTATAACTACCACGACCTCCCAGCTCCAGAACTTTTCTATCTTCTCCCATGAAAGCTCTGCCCCCATTCAGTGCTAAAATACATTTCTTTTAATAGCAGTATCATGGTACCTTATTGATTAAGTGGAACTGAGCTATGGGAGCTGTAAGGAATCCTAACAGGGTAAGTAATCCTGTCTGCAACCAGAAGTTACCAAGTGAAATGATAGGCTGAGCACTGGGAGACAAAATTGCTTTCGATTTTAATCTCATGAACATTGATAAATTGGAAAGACTAATACGATCATGGGATTACAAGTTTTAAGGAGGTGAAGGGGGAAAGATTATATATAACATGCAATTACTGACTCAGCAGGCAACTCATCGCCACTGCACATATGTCATTTATGTTGTTTCTAAGCAGACTTATCTTCTTAAGTGTTAAGCAACTGTATAGACCTCAGCCGTGTGAAATGATCATTAAAAGAGAGGATAATAGACGGAGGAGACCCAAGGAGGTCTCACGGCTGTGAGACCTGGTCCGTCACACAGGACCTCACACTTGATTTAATGGTCTGCTCTCACCATCGTGGAATTCTTAATAGATTTTTGAACCAAAACCTGAATTTCATTTTCGATGGACTCTGTGAATTGCATAGTTGGTGCTGTCAGCCTGCACCCCAGCGTGGACCACATACTGCTGAGGAGCAAAGAGAAGCAGAGAGAAGCATAGGGGAGACTTACTGGGAAGCCCGGAGGTCCTGGGGCGCCTCTGTCCCCCTGCAAGAGCGACAGTCCATTATAACTCGTCCCTAAAACACACAGTGTCAATGCGGGGAGACACACAGGCATCATTTGGACCCAGTTCCAGGGTCCAGTGTGGAGGACCCAGGTGTGGGAGAGCTCCAGGGAAGAGACTTTTGCTCCATTCTGAAGCCCCAAGTTCTACTTCTCAGCCAAAACCCAAGAAAGGTTGCTGGGGTAGTGCCAGCAGCAAGATCGAGATGCTGTTTCATCCTTAAGTTTAAAGTGTTCATATTCCTAGTCTGAAGGTGCCTTTGCATCAGGTTAACTGTCTCTGCTCTCCCAGCCAGATCTTGCCTTGCCTCCCGCACCCCCTCACCTTAAGGAGGATGTAAAGGGAACCCATGTAGGGCCCCCTCACCCTCTGTTCAGGACTCTGCCATTCTGCTCTAAAACGCTCCACTTTAGGGCCTCCCTGGTGGCGCAGGGGGTTGGCACCGCCCTGTGAAACAGTCCACAGCCTCTGCAGCACGAGTTCGATCCCCGACCAGCCGGGGAGAAACCCACATGGCACAGCAGACCTCTCCTGTCTTGCCCGCTGCTTCCCCCAGCAGTGTATTTCAGTGTATCTGCCTATTCTGCTCCCCACTCTGTCTCTGGTGAATTCTCCACCCCACCCCGCATCTCTGGCCTGTACCCCAGCTCTTGTATGCATAGATAAAATCTTTTTTAAAAAATATAAAAAAAATTCTCCACTTTAAAGAATCAAAGGGTGTACAGCCCCTTGGCATCACGCTCTCTTTTAAAATTGCAAAATATTGCAAAATCCACTTCTGTAAGTTGTCCCGTTGGGGTCACTTCAGTGCTCTCCGGATCTGTGGCCTAAAGTGCACTCACCTGTTGCCCATCACCAGCTCCAGGGAACATTCTTCATCTTCCCCTGCAGAAACTGTTCCCGTGAAACACAAGCCCCCTCTTGCCCCCGCCCCAGGCACCCACCGTCCTGCTCTCTGTCTGCGGGTCTGAGTCCAAGTGGGATCGCACCTTGCCTGTGCTTTTCTGACTGGCTCCATCCACGTACATGAGCTCGAGGCTCATCCCCGGGGTAACCGTGTCAGAATCCCCTTCCTACTTTAAGGGCAAGTGCCAGCTTCTCCACATCACTGTCACTGCTGTTGTTTTCTGTTTTAGCTTTTCATAGGAGTCATCAGAATGGGCGTGTGAAGTGGCTGCAGGCACGTAAGAACATTTTTTTTCAAAGCTTTTTTATCTGCAGCCACTTTTATTAGAGATCCTGTTTCTCTTGATGCTAATGATTCTCTGTATCCGCCTCCCCGTCCGTCTCACTTGTGTGCTCTTACACAATTACACAAAAATTCACTGTAGCGAATATTGCACAGTACAAGACAGTTCACAGTGTGCTGACGTGTAAATTATTATAGCAGGTTGTCTTAGCAGCACCAAGATGACAGAGTGGATATGAAATGAGAGCTCAGGGGAGCACAGGGGGTGGCTGGGAATCACAGCAGCATGTAAGGGTCATCTTGGTCCCTCCAAGACTCCATATCATTTTCTGGAACAACCGTGATTTGGGTGCTAAATTTATTAATATATCATTGAAATGAAAACCAAAAGTATAGTTCTTGCTCTCTAACAAGGATGAGTAGGCACGGAGGCTACAGATTCTAAATGCACTGAGATTTCACCACCCATGGGCCCCCCCCCAGGGTGCACGGCACTTGGGGTGTCGTGGCAGCAGCCCAGGAAGGTTTTCATCTAATTGGCGTAGGATACTCTTCCTTAAGAGAAATGCCCACATCTTGAAAATGTCCTGTATTGCTGTTCTTGATGTCTAGCTCGTGATCCCCTCCTGCTCGGTGACTGCTCATATCAGAGAGACCAGTGGTATCTCAAGAGTTCATTTCTAAGTACCTATGCATCATTCTCTGTTAAAAACACAAAAATGCTAACTTTGTCAAGGACAGTGCTATTTTTGAGTTCATTATAGTGACTTCTATTATATTGGATGCAGATACTAATAGAACAATAAATCGGTGCTTCTAAACTGACGGTGATTTTTCTTTGCAGGTGACAAATGGCATGTAGGGAGACACTGTGAGAGTGGACGGTGAGGGGTGCTCCTGGCATGCACTGGGTAGAGACCAAGGACAGGGGTCAGCATCCTACAATGCCAAGGTCAGCCCCCTGGTCATATGGCCCCAAATGTCAACTATGCCAAGGTCAAGAGCCCTGAAATGGACGTATCCATTGCAACCCTGCAATAGTTGGAAAGTAACAGGAATTACAGCAGAGCCGCTAAAACCAAGGGGCTTCCCAGGAGCAGAAAGGTGATCCCATGGGGCCCAGGCAATGGTGAAGCCTTGGGCAGGTTTCAGCCTGTGCGCTCCCTACAGGGGCCGCCTGTTGTGTAGATGGAACGTTCAGGCGCACCAGGAGCTCAGTGCTTACCTGAGTACCTTTAATAGCACCTACGATGAACACTGAATTTCCTTTTTCTCCACTTTCCCCAGGAGGACCCTGGAAAGAAAATACTCATCAAAAGGGGGTAAAGCATGTTGTTATTTCAGTATTTACTTTTCTATGTGAAATACCACTCTCTAGAAAATTTACATTATAGTCATATTTCACAAGTGGGGACTGTTTGTTCTCTACATTGTTATTAGCATGTTATGGTTCTCAGATGTATTTATTTGATATTCAGTTAAGATCGATTAAGGAATCTCAAACTCAGAGTATCTACTAAAATATTTATGATATATATATATGATAAATGCATAATATACTTTTATACACTTTATAATATACTTTTATACTTATAAATATATATAATATACTTATACTATTATACTTATAATAAAGTATAATATACTTTTATACTTTTTATAACTTACATACATCAGATATAATCAATACTAAAATATTAATAGCTATTTACTAATTATTCAGCAGGAAAATTGTATTTTCCTTACAATATAATGCACATGTATCAATCTACAAGAAAACAATTTTGCAATTGTTAACTAATAATTTTGTTCCTTAGAAATCATTTTTTTTTAAGTTGATTTTATCCATTTCAGAATTTGTGTTCAAATAGTCTGGGCACCTTGTAAAATGAACTTCTGGAAAAACAGCATGTTCCTTTCGGAAGGTTTTTGTATGTCAGTGGCAAGTTTCACTAAGGTATTTAAAAATTGCATGAAATGCCTTAGTGTTCTCCCCTCCCCAAGTTTGCCTATTTAATATCTTAATTAACATGCTAATATGTCTTACATTGATGATCACATTAAGATCCTACTATTTGCATATGTGAAGCTCCTATGGAGGACACGCAGCTTTCCAAGCTCATCTGTTCTAGAAGATGGCCTGACTTTGCTCCCATGGAGACACTAAAGGGGCCGGGAGCCTTCGTGGAGCATCAATCAGAACCTACCGACTCCTTCCTTAAAGCCATTCAGGGCATGGAATGAAACCAGCTTCTTCCCAACCCCCTCCTGGCCTCCTCCCACAGCTGGTAGGGCCACTCACGCCCCAGGTTTGCCACCTCTGTCCTCACCCTATCACCCCGGTTCACCACGTCAGCCACACGCTCTCTCACTGCTTCTTGAACAGTTGAACCTGTTCCCGCTGCAGAGCATTTCACCTAAGATTCCCCCTGGGGCGAGCACTGGGTGTCTTACGGGGGGGCCTCCTGGGCCAGGAGCTCCTCTTCCTCCTGGAAACCCAGGGTCCCCTCTTGAGCCTTTGTAGCCATCCCGTCCAGGTTTCCCTCTGGGTCCTGGGGGCCCAGGGTGCCCCTGCAAGAAACAAAATAAGCGAGGCATTTATGGAGGAGTCCATGGACAGAGGAGGTGCCGTGTGGACAGACCAGGGCAGCAGTGACTCACGGGTTTGCTTATTTGATTTCCGGCCCCCCCAGGAATGAAATGGTGATGAATGAATAGAACATGAAGGAAATGAATAGAACATGAAGCAAATGGATGTATAAGTTAATGTCATGGAAAGTAAAACCTTTGCACAAAAATGGAATTGTCAGCATCAAGAGTAAATTCTGTTGCAGATTCCTAATGCTGTACAAACTAATCAAACTTTATATTGTAACTTTATCAAGTAGCTGGGGGAGAAGAGATTGTTTTTGTTCATTTTTTTAGGGGTCAATAGAGGAGAGGATTTTTTCCCCTTCTTTCCTTCTCCCCCTCAACAAGCTCCCTGTGCCCCACGCTCCGTCTGCCTCCCTCCCCTAGGAGCCTCCTCCCTCCCCGAGTCCCGCCCCTACTTGTTTCATTTCATGACACTTCCACCCCCACTCACAAGAGCAATGTTGCCCAGTGAAAAAAAAAAGTAAAGTTCCATATAACCCAATTTAAATTAATTTTGTTTGGAGTACTTGGGGGATTTGGAAACCTTCCTTGAAGACTTTCAAAGACTCGATGAACTGGAAAGCCCCCAAATTCCCTTTTTTTCTTCACCTGGTTTTCCTACATGAAATGAGTCAAGCCCATTTCCAATGTTGGGACCTAGTGAGAAATGAAATTTTTCATACATTTATTTCCAACTCACATGTTGGGATGCTTTTCTCTAACCTCTTTGACAACCTTGTTATTTGACTAAAATATTTTGGCATCAGGCTTAAAATAAGACCCTGCAGAAAAGTTTGCTGTGCATGTGTGTGTGTGTGTGTGTTGTTGTTGTGTGATTTTGAGGGTTATGATGTTTTAAGGGTTTGGAATGTTTCTCCATTCTTTTAAAAATTGGAGAAAACCTCAGGATACTTACAGGTATGCCATCCAAACCTGGAAATCCAGGAACACCTGTTGGACCCTAAAATCCCAGAAAACAAAGCAAAAAACAGAAAAATTATAAACACTCAACAATAACTGTGATCTATTTTTACATTAATGATCGTAAATGTCAATGTTTAAGAATCAATGTTCTTTCTTTGTGTACTTCAGAAGCAAACTTGGCGGTTTCATTGCAAAGAAAATATTCATGCCTGAAATTCCTGGACTATTTCTGTCCTGGAAAAGCAAATTCTTAAAGGTAAACACCACTAACTAACAGGAGTTTGTGCACACATTTTCCCTCCACAAAGCTGGGGGAGAAGCTCAAATGCTCATCAATAGGGAATAAATTATGGGTTTATCCACACTATGGCATATTATGTAGCATTTTTACAGGAGTAAGTCCAAATTACATAAATTGCTATAGAATGATCTCTAAGCTATAGAACTGAATGGAAAAAGAAAAGCTCAATATAAAACTATAATGTCATGTGATTTTTTTAAAAGCTGTGAAGCCACTCAACACCTCACTTAAGCACACAGAGAAGAAGGCATACTCTTCTGGAAAGGGAAGTAGAATTGATTATTAAGAGGCGTTCAGATGTCATTTAAAGTTCGCGTATTTGTGATTATAAAATATCTGGCAGAGCAGCTGGTGAGAGGTTAAGATGAACCTTTCCCTAAGAGGTTTACCTTATCTCCCCTGTCCCCTGCTGTTCCTGGAGGACCGATGTCACCTATTAATCCTTTCTCTCCTGGAATCCCGATGGGTCCTGGACATCCCAGGGGTCCAATTGGGCCCTGTGGCCCAGGAGGTCCTGGGTAACCCTATGAAGGAAGATTTTAGAAGTGCGTATGTGTGTATAGGAGAGTGAATTTTAAGTCATATGTTATAACACACGTACACATGTATAGTCACGGGGCTGGCAAAAGACTAGAAAATTAGAGTCTGAGCAAACTGTAATAAAAACACAAATGAGCAATTAAGTACAATAAGGAATACAAAATTGCCTCTATCTTGAGCTGAATTGAAGCTGTACCATACATTTCATAAATTTGAATTACAGCATACACACACGCTCACACACACACATCCATAATGTTTATGGTTCTCTTACTATTTTCATTCTGTCAATGACATTCATCAACATCATCAAGGAACTTAAAAACATGAATATCTTATTACCATTGAATCAGTGACACAAGTTAACCTTACGTTAAAAAGCAGATTATCTACTTCAAATGGTTAATGATTTGCCTGCCCTCCTAGGGGGAAATACTTCCTTTTTTGCTACTTTCACCTAATTTCTTACTATAATTTGGAACGCGCTCTCCCTGTCACATTCTGTTTATCCAACTTTCCAGGAATGAAAAGGTCCCCTTTTATTTTAGGTGAAGTTTCGTGAGCTCAGTGGCCTGCGGGACCCACAGAGGAGATTTTCAGCAGAAACCAGGAGCTCCCTGCCCCTTCTTGCCAGCCCCGCGCTGAGATGAGCTGGATAGAGACACCCAGCTGGTGTCAGCTATTGCTCTGTGGACACACCTGCGAGTCTCATGTCCCTTCTGGTCGGGAGGAAAGAGTCTGACCTCAGACAAGCTCTCTTCCCGCCACCCCGTGAGGTAGCTTCCCTCTGCCCCAGGCTCCCTTCTTCACAATCCTACAGACAAGTTTCCCTCCAGGACTGAACTTCTAGGAGCTGTGCATTCTAATACCCCCACTTCTGTACTCTGCTCAGACTTCCCTCATGGTCAGTCCCCCCTCGGCAGCTCCGTGGACACAGTGGGCTCTCCAGCTTCAAAAATATCCAGAATGGATCTCTTGGCTTTCCCTCAAAATCTGATCCTCTGTCTACCCACTGAATCCGGCCAGGTAATCCTGAGCGCTGGCCTTGATATTCCTCCTCCTGTTATACCCACATCACATCCAGGGTCAATTCCTGCATTGCACGGCTGCAGCAGATCTGAAACTCACACCTGCGTCCTTGGCCCTCCGGCCTCCCGAGTGCTTCCCCCTCCCCCAGAGCTCTCTCCGCAGAACACCAAGGGTACTGTGGGTCAGGGCTGCTGGGGTGCCTTATGTTTCCCAGCACCCGTGTCCCACAGACCGTGGCGGGGAAATCCCCTTTGAGTGAATAAGGGTCAGTGGTCAGCAGTGACCACCTCACAGGCCTGAAGGTCCAGCCTAACCCCTGGGAGACACACTCTGGCCTCACTCAGTCAGGAAGGGGGTGTGTGAATGGTGACTCAAGGATTCTCTCAAATGTGATTTTTATGACATACACATTGACTCTGTGCAGTAAATTCGCAGAGTAAACTCTGGCGAATTTACTCATGTTTTTATAAAACAGGGTATGGGAACAATGAAGCTATTTGAGTAAACTCAAAACTCCCAACCTGGGTTTCTAAGGCACAGTCTAACCTCATCTCAGTCCACAGTTTGATGTGGGTAGAGCATCTTTGATCCCTGTGGTTTTGTAAGTAACTTGCTTGGCAAACCTGGGATCAGCCCCTTGTGTGAAAGAAACAGAAGCCTCATGGTGAGAAGTTTTCGATAAGACTTTGCCCAAAACACAGGGGTTGGGCACATGCACCCGGTATGTTGGCATCTGTCCAGCTAGCTGTGACATCTACACACGTCAGAACCCATGTTATTTCATGACCACTTGAGAGCATCGCAGTGTTCATCTGAAGGCAGGATGTCACCTGCAACTTTTTTAAAAAAGATTTATTTTATTTATTTATGCATACAAGAGCTGGGGTACAGGCCAGAGGTGCAGGGGATGAGAGATTCACCAGAGACAGAGTGGAGAGCAGAACAGGTGTATCCACTGAAACACACTGCTGAGGGGAGCAGCGGGTGAGTCAGGAGAGGTCTGCTGTGTCATGTGGGTCAGCTCCCTGGCTGGGGATCGAATATGTGCTGCAGTGGCTGCTGTGACGATAGCTTCAGAGCGCTGCGCCTTAACCCCTTGAGTCACCAGGGAGGCCCTCACCTGCAACTTTTTGTGCTTCTTTACATTTCCCCAAAATATTTAAGAGAAATTATTTTATATGACTCCCCTCTCCCCACACGTATTGATAAATGCATGATGAGCAAGGGCTGCCTGGTCTGACCTGCCCCCCACCATGTCTCTGGGCCACGTTGAACCATCAGGCTCGGCCCCAAGTGTGCACAGGACCAAGGACAAGCAGGGAGAGCTGCCCCTTGGATGGGGTGGGGGAGCGGGACAGAATGTTCTACGGAGAGCTCACCTAAATAAGAATCTTCTAACTGTATAAAATGTAATTTCTATAAAACTCCATGACATTTAAAAAAGCGAGTCCCAATCAGAGTTGGGGCCGTGTTCTGGCCACATGTCTCGTGAGATCCGTGAACAAGCTCCCACCAGGCTGGCCAGCAGGAGTGGGAGTGTCCCCCGCCCCCACCCGGAACCAGGCTGCAGCCACGGCGCCCAATACCAGGCCCTAAGCATGAACCCCAGACCCCTCGTATGGTCACCCCCACATTGAATGAAGGGCCAGTGAACACTCCAAATGGAAGAACCATCTGGGGACCCACCCAGGCCGGGTCCACACTAGGGCTGCCCCAGACACACGCTGCCCGCCCTGACCAGGCCCACACACAGGACAGGGCCCTGCCTGGGGCCTGGGGCAACAGCCCTGCTGGGCCCGAACAATGATTCGAGAACGCTCATCACAGGTCATCTGTCCTAGCAGTAAAAATTGGAAATCTGCCCAAATGAGACTGGTGGAGTCCCTTGCGGAACATACATACACCACACAGCCTGTCTCCGTCTGTCCAGGGGCCCAGAAGCAGGACCTTGGCTGAGGAGCCAGAGAGAAGGGTCTGCTGTATAATGGAGGGTTGAGGAGGCAGCAGCGACATGACACGGAGAAGGGCAAGCAGCCACGAAGGTCTGGTGTTGAGTCTGTCCCCACTGCAGGGCAGCAGCTCTCTGGGAGCGGGGTGCTGGCACCAGGCAGGACCCAGGCTGAGGGTGGCCCTCCCCATGGTGAGGGGCCCACAGTCACCTCTGAACAAGCCTCAGACAAAGAGAAGCAGCCGCTGACAGCTGGAAACCCTGGGGGCACTGACGCCACAGGCCCCGGGGACATGCACGCTGCAAGGGCACGGAAGAGGAACGCGGAACACCCTTGGGATGTGCACCAGGGAGAAGCAGCGATCCTGAGTGGCCAGGCTCTGCTGTCAGCCCCGTCTCTAAACCCCAGGCCCACACTTCCCAGCTGTGTGACCTTGGGCACGTTTCTTAACCTCTCTGTTCCGCAGCTTCTTCGTCGGTCAGCAGCTTTGGACACACAGAGAATAATAGATGTCAAGGGTGTAGCACGCTGCCTGGCACGCTAAAGCGACTGTGATTCCCACCAGTTCCCGGTCCAGGGGGAAAAACAGACTCACGGCGTGTGATCCCACCTGCCTAGAAACAAAGGAACAAACATTTTCTCCAAATGTTTGTTTACTGGTGAGCGTTTCTAGAGGGATATTCTTGACAGCAAGAAAGGGCACGTTGTCGGGTCTCACGTGAAACGCGAGGCAGGACGAGGCCGCAGTGCTGGGGGAACTTCTTGCCCTCCCAGAGGCGACGCGTATCACAGAGATGAAGGACCGCCTCGCCTTCCCCGGGAAGTCGCTGATTTGACAAACATTATTCACGGCCCACAGCATCCCCGGACGCTCCAAAGTCAAAATGGCACTTCACGCGTCCTGCCCTTTTTTTCTTACTTTTTCCTCATCATCCATCATGATAATAGCGGCGATCTAGCGAATACCCATACAAGCCACAGAGCTCACCATTTTCAAGGGAGCTTAAACGTATAAATATGTGCTACACAAAAGACAGCAATAAAATATAGAAGATAATGATGGAGGCACGAGCCACTTGGGGGCATTTTGAGGACGTTGCCCAAGTCTAAACTACAATCTACACGTGAGAATAAATGATTCCAGCTGACCTTTCTTACCTATGCAAATTAATCTTACTTGGCGAGATTCATTAACATAAGTTAAAAGCTCCCTTTTTTTTTCCCTAAGAGTAAGGTCCGGGAACCAAGCATTCTCATTAAGTTTAGGAATTATCTTCTCGTCTTCCACGTAATTTATAAGAAAACTCTTCAAATTGTCTGTGCGAATGCTGTAGCTTATCATCGTGTGTTATTTAGAAACATCCTAAGATGCACATCTGGACATAAAGGGTAAGGGAGGCAGCCAATTAACTGGCTACACATTTCCTTAATGCTTTTCATTCTAGACACGCGAGGCCGAATCCCGAGGCTAATGGAAGTGTGGGGAAGTGGAAATAGTTAGCACAGTGCAAGGATGATAAAACTCCATCTGTACAGGAACGTATCCTGGCTTGAGAAAGGGGCGCCTGAAATGCTTCTAGAAAGCAAGCAAGCAAGGAGCGCTTATTTGCATTAGGAAGTGACACTGACGCGCTTCCTGACCCCAGGCCTCCCTGGCCCTGCTCTGCGCACGCATGTCCTTGTCACTTGGGGACAAGCTCTGCCCTTCACAGACTGTGTCGTCCTGAGCCAGGGGTGTCCCTCCTGTCACCTCTCCATACCCATGTGGAATGACTCCCGTCTCTGCACCCCCACACACCCTTCAGATTCAGATGCTTCCCCAAGACACCTCCGTATTCCCTCTTCTCTCCCCTTGCAGGGGTGGGCACTCAGGGCAGGGAGGGCAGTGCCTACGGGACCCCAGGGAAACGCTTTCCAGAGGAGAGCCTAGAAACGCCCAGAGGGGAGAGGGCAGCCCCCTACCCTAACCTAGAGGCAGGCTGATAAACCTCAGGAAAGCAAGAACC